TTTCACAGGACGTCAGTGATGAAAATCAGAAACTGCATTCACTCTAATTTCATGTTCATCCTGTGTTGACATGATAAAAACAATGTTAGTGGATTACTGAAAGTAATAAACACATTCTGATTAAGCTTATTTTCTCCACTCATATATCTGTAATAAAATGCTCAGGTTTTTAAATAAAAAATCTCTCTTTAGGGTCAAATTTCAGCAAAAAGACAAATCTGATTAATCACAATTTTAATCATTTCACAGTCAACATTGATGCATGAAGATTAGTGTATCAGTTTTAAAAAAAAAAATGAATTATTGTTTTTAATGTGTATTAAACCCATTGGTAGAATAATAGGATACCAAAATCCATTGATTTCTCCATCATGGCTGGGCCAATCAATGAAAAACAAAATGTACAAAATTTGTAGAAAAAATTGTCATATGATTTTATTTTCATAAAACTGTAGCGACGGAAATCTCATTTTTTTTTAATATAATTCTTTTTTTTTTAAAGTATTGCTCAAGAATAGGTATTGAAATCAGGGTATTAGTACTGGTATATGTATCGAAAAACCTTAAACAATACTATGAATGTGCAACTAATTTTTATGTTTAAGTATCAAAAAGAGTTAAAGAATGGAAGACTGGTTAACTGAAGAAGAAGAAAAAAAGCATGAAAAATGACCAACAAAAGGATCTTACCATAGGGCTGGAGCTGGAGGCGAGTCTTTTAGGTGATAGCACTGGTGTTGCACAAAAATTTAGCAGTAAGCAAAGGAAAATATCTGAAAACACATCTGAAGGGAATTGGTAGTGTATGTGTTGGATGGAATGGAGGCTGCCTCTGCAGATGTGACCTAAACCAAAAGCTAACTGGTACAACATTGGATGCTGAGGAGGATCTTACACAAGGTGTTTTCTCCTCAGTGGATGATGTGCCAACATGATAGTTTGGCAGTGAACTATATTTCCACTGTTTCTAGACCTTGCTAACATCAGCTAAAGTAATTAGCCTAATTAGCAGTAAAGTTGAGCTACATCTGCCTTCTCAGTCACATAAGTCGAATACTGACACATCAACGAGTTAATTCATCGCTGTCTGAACAAAAGCTTCTATCTCTAAAAAGGTAAGTTTTTAGGAGAAGATAAAAAAAACCTTCTTAACTTACAGTTTAGGTAAATGTAACAAGAACTGCCGACACTTTTGACAGTGTCAGTGGCAGCTGACACTGTCATAAAATGAAAAATGAAAAAAGTGGAGAATGTTTTCTGTAAAAAAATTGTAAAAATGTTCATAAAAAAGTAGAGATTTTGTTCCAACAGTATTGATATAGAATTGTTTTCTTTTTCGTGAGATTTTGTCTGGTGAGACTGGTAGAATCTAGCTAGCTGTGGCAAAACAAAAAAGAAAAATTAGAGATTCATTGGCCTCAACATTAAATTGCAATTTATCAGAATGTGTTATACCACAATTTAGAGCATATCACAGATCTTTAATTGCACTGTCCCTGTTGTGTCTCCTGTACTGTATCACATAACCTGGTCTCTCGCAACTACCTCTAGTAGCCTACTAGTGATCTAACTACGGGTTCTTTCCTCTTTTTATCTTCCTCTCAGTCCTGTTCCATCTGATGACGCATGTCTGCGAGAGGGTTTCCCAGGTGGATGCTAGATTGGGTTTTCTCTGTGTGTGATTAGTCCTGCCTGCAGTGGGGCTGTTATTGTGCTTTCATGTTATAATAATTTCTTACTGCTTGATTGCCTCAGAACCTCTTCTCTGTATGATCTCTGCTTAGGGAGCAAAATTACAGTTTTCTTCTTCGTTTTTTTCTCTCTCCCATTCTGTCAGCCTCTCTTACTCATTAACCTTCATGCCTCTTCCATTCCTCTGAATCTCATTTCTGAGGGATCTTTGCCTCAGGAACCATCAAAGGTGGATAAAGCATGTTTCACAGTCTCTTGCTCCTCAGTATAATTGGTCATGGTGATGCTGGAGCACCTTCCCATTGGCTTCTATTTTAAGAGATTCTGATGAACAGGTTTTCTGTTGTTTTCTAAGCGCAGGGAAATTTTTGTAGAGTGTATGATACAGATGCTGCACATAGATGTTAAAAAAGGAAAAAAAGACGCTGGAGTGTTCATTTAGAGGGCCCATATCATGGAAAAACAATTTTCAACAAGAACGTTTGATGGGGATATGTAGAAACTGTTAAAGTTTCAAAGCATAATATTTACTGCTTAGTCCACATGATCCATATATGTAAACAAAACTGCAAAAACAGTCTGTTTTGAAATCATTGTTTTGCCACGTCACGAAAAACCAACACATTTACATATATCTGCTTATTCAGCCTACAGCAGTTTAGTCAACCTGGAGTGATTCGACTTGGACTGCTTTTTGATTAAGGCATAATGCAGGAGAGACAATTAGAGCAGAGGTCATTTACATATATCAGTCTTAAGGAGTTATAATTGGTCATAGTAACAACAACAGCCTGTTTAATTCTGAGGGGTAAAGACAGGTTAGAAAGTGGTCATGTAAAAATGAATTATATGTTTTGGTACATAAATTCAAAAGTGGGCCTCTGTAGAAAAAAAACAAATAAAATACAAGAAAAGTGTAGGATAAGGGTCCACTGTTATGGTCACATTGCACCATGTTCACAGTGACAGCCTAAGATGACAGTCTTCACTTGCAGAGACTGGATTAAATTCTCAGACCAAATCATCAGTATGCACAGACTTGCATCACGACAACCCTTCATTACCCACAACTTCCCAAAGGAACGACAGATAAATAGGAACTAATCGGCTTTGGAGAATGGCATTGTGGGATTTGTAGTTTTAGCTCAGTGAAGGACACTGTGAATGCTGTACTTTGTCAGAGGAGATATGGAGGGCAAGGAGTATGAGGAGAGAAAGAGAGAGATGGAGGAAGCAAAGAGGGAAAGGGGAGAGGTAATGGAAGTTAGAAAAGGGGAGGAAGTGCAAAGATTAAAGGAGTTTAGTGCGTCATCCTTAAAACGAACTCTGAGTCATCATCTGACGTCATTTTGAGTGTCTGTGTGTGTGTGTGGGTGTGTGTGTTGCTACACTGCTAAGAATACAAAATGAGAGAGATCAAAGATTTCTGAGGGCCGGCTTTCATGGATTCTGTACAGGCTCTCCAAACCTATTACATTTGAGAGAGACAGCTCTGTCAGCTTATCTAGACCAACTCAGCCTTACAGTAGAATTTCTTCCTGTTGTTCTACCTTTAGTTTACTGATCATGCTGTTAATCCAGTTCCACATTTTCATTGCGTCACTGCTTAGTCATCCAGACAATGTACTGCATTTTGTGTTGCATACATTACTGTGCAAAAGTCAGAGACCACCCTTTTGTTTAATTTGCCCGTCAAAATGGCCATTAACTACAAGTTATTCATTTCTCAGCTTCAGGAAAAAAGGAGAAAACATTTAAGAGAAAATCACACATAGGCCTCAGCAACTGTAAAAGATCTGCAGGGATATTTTTCCACATCTTCAAAGTTCAGTCTTAGAAATTGGTTGTATTTTCTGTTTCTCATGATCCAATTAATCCTAAACACATTCAGTGATGTTGAGGTCTGGATTTGTGGTCAGTCTGTTGTTCTGAGAATGAGCAGCTTCTTTCTTAGATTTTCAAATGTTCTTCTTTTTTATCTGTTTCCTAATGGCTTATTGAGAACTACACATCATTGTAGACTCATAGAGTTGTCCTCTCACAGTGGAAGGATGGACAGGAACACCTGTGGATTTTTTTAGATCTGAAGCAAGAGTGGAGCTTGATTTTCTTCTCTATCAAAGATTAAAGCTTTGAGCACTGTTCATGTGACGGTGTCAGTTTTGGTGGTGTACCAGGTCTCGCACGGTTATTAGGAATCTCATTTTCTCTCTTTTAGTCATTTTTTTTAAACTTCAGTTTTGGAGAGTGCAGTTGAATTATATTTCAGAAATATCTCTTGAAAAATTAATAACTTGACTGACTTGAAGTAGTGATAAACACAATTATAAGCCGTAATAAGAGTACACACACACACACACACAGACACACACACACACACACACACACATCTTCTAAACCGCTTATGCTTCTGGGTCGTGGGGGGCACTGGAGCCTATCCCAGCAGTCACTGGGTGGAAGACAGGATACACCCCTGGACAGGTCACCAGTCCATTGCAGGGCCATAATAAGAATAATTATTTTTATTTGTATACTGTCATTTCACACTCAGTCATTTTTCAGAAAAGAGGCTAGGAGGAAAAAGGTAAACATATCGGGGAAAAAGATTTGAAGATTTATGTGACAGAGCCCAGTTGTGTTGCATGCTGTCTGTCGGTGTGCATCCTGGAGGAGGCCACAGTCAATCAAGATGGTCCAGATGTCAGTGTGGTATTACTAACCAAACAAGAAATCTGCTGGCACTGACAATCTGGCGCTTCACGGAAAAAGTTTGAAAAAATTTACAGTTGAAGGTGGTTTTAAGGAAGTTGTTGCGCCTTCCGGAAAAGTGAAAACTCTCAGTCTGAGGAATGTAGCTGGGTCACTCTGGACGGGTTTCTCCCCATCTCAGATATGTGAAACAGATGATAATGTGAAAGAAAGTGCACACAAGGAACTTCCTCTTTTGCCGCTTGGTGGAGGTCATGCTGAGGGTACTAGAAACTGTATTTCTCATCAAGAGCTTCTGTTTGACTTTGTGCTGCTGCCTGGCAGTTGAAGTTTACTTTCCATCCCATAACTAAGTGCTTTACTGGGGCTGGTGGAATAAATGACCTCTCCAGACAGAATATATTGACAAAACCAACATTTGAGCAGAAGAATCTAAAAACATGCTGTCGCTAAATGAAATGTTAGTTTATTGTGACTCATGCACTCACAATCATGTCCTATACCCACTTACAGATTAATCTAGCAGCACTAACTGTATCCTCTCTCTCTCTCCCTCTCTCTCTCTCTCCCTCTCTCTATCTTTGTCCCTCTCTCTGTAGAAGAGTGTAAAGGAGGGTCTCCTGTTGAAGCAGACCAGCTCCTTTCAGAGATGGAAGAGAAGATATTTCAAGTTAAGGGGCAGAACTCTCTACTATGCCAAAGATTCAAAGGTAAGACCCACTCTACTCTTATTGGCTAGCTGGAACTAGGAAACCACTAAGATTTGCATGTGCTGTTTTAAAGGCTGTTACACACTGAATACTGTGCCAATAGATGACATGAAAATCTGAAATGCAGACATGATTTTTTCACATTAAAGCTATACACACCATACACAGTGCTCTTTGTTTTGGAATGGGAGGTTGAGAGTCGGGAGATTTCACCATGCTGTTTGAGCCAGCAACAGGCAGAATGTCTTCAAGTACAAAAATATATCTTTGCACCTCACAAAAAGTGAAAACAGTGACATTTAGTGACACAACTGTCTAAGCGTTGGCCCCATCATCAGGAATCCCTGGTGATGCCACAGCCGTCCGTGACCGGGAGTCCAAGAGAGCACAATTGGCCTCGCGCTCTCTGGGTGGGTAGGATGGCGCCCCCTTCTCCCCCACCACTCAGCGTGATACTAGTCATCACAGCCGTCCGTTAGCTGATGTAACAGAACCGCCGGTTGGCGCTTTCCTCCGAGAGCGTTCGGCTGTCCAATGTCAGGTCTCGGAGGAAGGCTTTGCTAGCCTACACCCTCCTAGCGCTGGTGGTGTTGTGTGATTAGGGGGAGTCTAGTTGCTGGAACACATCAGATTGGTCAGCTTGGTTGTGGTCATGCTGTTGTGATATATCAACTGTGAAAGTTGGTAGACATTTTATGGGGAAATAAAATAATGCAATGTTTTCACCTACTGTAAAATCACATTTGGTGTGCATGATAACAGTTGCACAAGACCTGTAATTAATTCATTGTTGTCTGAATAAATCACACAAATAAATTGCACTTGTTTTGCAAAGGCCTGCAGAATGATATATTAGAGATTCTTACATATGTTTTTACAGAATGTGTTGCTGCAACTGTATGTGAAACCGAATGAATTAACACTAAAACCTAATTCATTTACTTAAATCTTGGCTGAGAAAATGCTCTTCCCCAAGGCTCCCACTCTGCTGCTACTGCCCTTAATAAATATTAATAGAAAATATAAAAACCTCCATGTAATAACACTATTTCTGTGACATTGCTGGGTATTTATGTGCTTACCTGAGTGATTTAATTATCTTGCTATGTGCTAGCAAGGCTAGTTATCCTAACCATAGGTCAGCAACTCACAGGATATCCACTACTTCAGCCTAGACCGCCACTACCTAGAACCCTTTCCAACACTCCAGCTGTGTGTGTGTGTGCGTGGGTTTGTAAGCGTATTGATTTTGATTTGTTGTGTTTTTACAGTCTCTTATATTCGACGAGGTGGACCTTTCAGATGCCAGTGTTGCAGAGACCAGCACCAAGAACATCAACAACAGCTTTACAGTGAGTACATACAGCCATTGCATTCGTACATCCATGGACTGCTACTAATACTATTTCACTCTTTAATTGACCACATTCTCACTCACTCTCATGTTCTTCCTCTCTCTTTGTGTCTCTCTCTCTTCCTCTCAGGTGATCACTCCATTCCGTAAGCTGATGCTATGTGCAGAGAGCAGAAAAGAGATGGAGGACTGGATCAGCGCTTTGAAGTCTGTACAGAAATGGGAGACGTATGAGGTCAGCTTTTGACCCTTGACCATTTATCCTGACAAATACACTGCAGGTAGCAGTGAACATTAGCCCAGTGCTTGTGGTTTACTACAGGCTAGAGTTCAGTCATTGAACTCAGCTCCTGTCCTTAAACCTCATTAACTTTTAATGACATAGTTTATTTGTTCTTTGTGGTGGTGAAGCTATAGTGATGTGTTTTATTGTGATGTATTTTGAGTCATTGAGTGTTGTAAGTATAGTGCTGTGTGTAAGAGCTGAGGCCAGCGTATATAGAGCGTATATAAATGTGGTTTGTGATTTTATTGAAGAGAATAATGATGTTACTGACAGCGAGTTTATACTGATGTGTTTCTGATCTCAGGCGAGTCAGTTTAACATGGAGCATTTCTCCGGGATGCATAATTGGTACGCCTGTTCCCACGCTCGCCCCGCCTTCTGTAACGTCTGCAGGGAGGCACTGCCCGGGGTCACTTCACACGGCCTGTCATGTGAAGGTAAACACTCACAAACAAATTTGTCAGTGCCCATTGGACGATCTTACAGTTTTATGCATTCCATTTTTAATGGTTGAAGAAAAAAGTCGATATGGGTGGCAAAAATTGATGCTTAAATATTGACATTTATTATTTAATTATTAACATTTAAATGTGTATTAATTAAAGCTTGACTGATATATATCAGCCAATATTCACAACTCATGGTTTTAACTACATATCCTATATGAAAATATTGGTGCCAGTAATGCACCAATAATTAGTGACCGTTTCGGTTTTGGTATCGCCAGGATATCAAGGCAAAGGCTTAGTTGATTGTGCCACTGGAGAGCCCAGTATGAATCCTGCTCTGATTAACTACATCACAACTGGGGAATTTCAGCATCATCATGGTTAAAATAACAAAAAACTATGCATCCACATGTCCCCTTAGCATGAAAATGACATGTTGTAATACAAAAAAATAAAACAAAAACAAAACTGCAATGAATTCTGGGTAGCTCTGCTCCCAGTGCTACAGTATTTATATTGTTTAAGTCATCATTATGAGTTTTTGCTGTTTATCTACATGAAAGAAACCTGACAGTTCTCAGTTCTCATCTATCAGTAAAGCACTTTTCAATTAAAACTGTTGGAGTATAAAATTAAAAGGCCTATTGATAGACTTGGACCGGGGTGATCCTGCTCCTGCTTGTTTGGAGTGAAAACCTGCAGCCACACCAGCCATATGTGGATAAGACTGGACATCCTGGACTAGAACATTTTTGGAATGTTGCTTTGACAATTGCTGTTTTTCTTCACTTAAACATGATGGAAATATTATACGCTTCTTTGGATACAACATCTGCATCATTTACATACATGAAACACATTCTAATATATCACAGTGTCATTTCATGATACTTAACGCAAATCTTATTTTTTTTTAAGGTAGAATCATATGGTGGCTTAAGTATGAGGATAATATGTGGTGGAGACTCTGTTGGTTCCCCCATTTTTTATTCTGGAACGTCTGTCTTCCTTCATCTGTTTCTGATTTTGAGATTGACCAAGTTAAAGTCGTTTCCTTGCCTCTATGATTTCTGTTTCTGTGTTGTCTTTTGCACATCGATCTCTTTTTCTATCTAACCTCTCTGTATTCCTCCATCATTCTCTCCCCATCATTTGCTCTCTATCAGCGTGTAACCCATCATTTTAAACTCTCAGACAGTCAGACATAATCAAGGAGAATTCTCCATTTGCTTGTTATAGCTGTGAATTGATGTGGCTGACAGATTGTAATCCTTCCCCATCTCTCTCTCTTTGTGTGTGTGTGTGTGTGTGTGTTACAGTGTGTAAATTTAAAGCTCATAAACGCTGTGCCGTCCGATCCACGAACAACTGTAAGTGGACCACTTTGGCATCCATAGGAAATGACATCATCGAGGATGAAGATGGGGTGAGTTTGTTTCATATTTGTTTTGTTTCCTTTTGTTATTGTGCAATATGAGCTCATTAGTGAATACGTTGCTTAACTATGTGTGTGTCTTAACTATGTTGTGCATGTGTGCAGGTGTCCATGCCTCATCAGTGGCTGGAGGGGAACCTCCCGGTCAGTGCGAAGTGTGTGGTGTGTGATCGGACCTGTGGCAGCGTGCGCAGACTGCAGGACTGGCGCTGTCTCTGGTGCAAAGCCATTGTAAGTGCTCAGGATTCAGCACCTTACACAGAGCAAAATAGTGAACACAAAAACTCTGTGAACTACACATTCAATTTGATGAACTCTTTCAGTGCTGCGTTATGGAACCTTTACATGAATCAAATTACCTCTATATTACTGTTTAAAAGTTTGAAATCACTGCTCATATTCATGATTGCTGATTAATGTATGGAGTCAATATAGAATGCTAATAGCTAAACACTAGAAGGTATTTTAGTACATTTTATGCAATATTTTAAGTTTTTGGGAACAGCAAAAAGTTATTAAATGATGAGTAATATCTTGTTATTGTATTTACTTTGTACTTATATGTAATTATATTTACATTATATCTGTGTCTAATATTATATGTAGAGTAGTTACTTGATACGGTTTCTGCCTGAGATTTCTTTTTAAACATTAGCTTTTCTAGATATTAACTTCATTCTTGATGTTATACAACTTTCAACAACAGCGATTCAAAACTTTTCAAAGATGTATAATTTCATGCAACTAGTTGCATGTTGTGAGTTGCATGCAACATAATTTGTTAACTTGTTAAGCCAGCTGCTTACAGAAACGTTAGCTTTGAGAAGCTCACTTGTTTGTCGTCATGGCCCAATCATTTGAAATTATTTCCTCTAACATGATCACTTGATGCATCCTTGGTGTTTAATTGGCTGTTTCACAAGCTGAGGCGGTTGCAGTTGAGTTTCGGCTGAGTTTCATAAGTTGCATGACACTTTACATTATGCAAATTAAGTTACCTTTGGTTTCATGTAGGTTTCAAGCAACTAAAGTTGCATGTACATTTCACTGTGTAAAGCCAGGATAGATACAGTATGTTTGTTGTGTAATCAGGGTTTTTAGGAGCAAATATTATTTATAGGCTAAAAAGGAAGTTCACTGACTTCTGCTGTTTTTGCTGGCCAGCTATGTTAACATCACAGCCTAGACCACTGCACTGTAGCATGGCTGAAGTTAACTGAAATATTCCCCTTCGTACTTGCTTATATTCCAACATTATGGCAAAAGCCCCACATTTGCCTCTAGCTAAATCAAGAAGGTCTATTGGTAAAATGTGTAGATCCAAATAAAACATGATTAGCCACCCAAAGTCTCTATATGATTAGATAAGATGGACGCTGCCTGAAGCTCTAGAACAGAGGTCACTAGCTGTTTCTGAAGATTTACTTTCCTGTAGAAACCACTGACTGACTCGAACACACCTGATACAAATAAGCAGATTGATGATCTGGATTAAACATGTTCAATCAGGGTTGGAAGTGAATTTTTCAGGGAGGCAGATATCCAGGAGCAGTGTTGTTGACCATTGATTTAAGCAAGATGAGATTACAAATAAGCCACTGTAAGTGTAGGTATACAAAAATGTGCTCTCTACAGTTTCTCATTAGGTTGAATGGTAGTTTTGCTGAAGTTCATTAAAGCTTGTCTAACCTAGCAACAGTAACTATGAAAGAATGCATTTGTAGGTGGAGCTTGAGGTCAGTTAAACAATTAGTCCTGAAAATATTCACTACAAAACATTAAGAAAATGTAGTTCATGTTTATCACAGTGTGGTGTGTGTGTGTGTGTGTGTGTGTGTGTGTGTGTGCAGGTGCACAGTAGCTGCAGGGAGCAGTTGGGGAAAACTTGTCCACTGGGTCAGTGTAAAGTGTCCATCATCCCTCCCACTGCTCTCAACAGCATTGACTCTGATGGTAAGGGTTGCCGAGGCAACCGCGTCAGCACCTCACGTGCTATCTAAGTGTCTCCAAGCAGATAAGAAATACCGAACGTGAATGCCATACATTCCAGCCACTAAAAGCAATACACTTTAATGGGAAGAAATATGAATAGACTCTGCTTCCTTTTCCTCTCATGCGTATGTTTTCTCGTATGTGACGTTGGACAATAACATTTACACTCAGATATTCATTCCTGAGCTATCTGACCAAACATACAGTGAAGTGACAAGACTGATTAGATTCCAGACGTGCCTGAAAGTAGTCCGTTATAGACACACAGCAAAAGAGTTCTGTAAACAATGGTCAGATTTTTGTGGGCCCAGTTCCTCTTCTGTGGCCTTTATGTAGTAAAATCATGTAGAATTGTGACATAACAATCTAAACCTTGACAAAACATCCACCATCCTTTTTTTACCGTTATTTTCACATTTGAGAATACCTTTTATATTGTGTGAACACTTTATGACCAAACCTAAAAAAAAGTATATTAATTTTTAAAAAGTGAACCTGAAAATTTTTTCTATGTAACTTATTTCTTTGTCACTTTTTTAATGTCTCTCTCTCTCACTCTGTGTTTCTCTCTCTGTGTCTTCTGTCTGTCTTTCTCTCTCTGTCGCTATCGCTCTCTTCTCTCTCTCTCTCCTCTCTCTCTCCTCTCTTTGTTGCTGTCTTTCCCTCTCTCTTCTCTCTTTCTCGCTCTTTCTTTGTCTGTCTGTCTTTCTGTCTCTCTCCCCTTTCTTTCTCTCTCTCTCTCTCTCTCTCTGTCCCTCTCTCTCTTACTCTCTATCTCTGCAGGTTTCTGGAAGGCTACTAGTCCGTCCTGTTCCAGTCCTCTGCTGGTGTTGGTGAACAGTAAGAGTGGAGATAATCAGGGAGTGAAATTTCTCCGCAAGTTCAAACAGCTACTCAACCCAGCGCAGGTCTTTGACCTCATGAACGGAGGACCGCAGCTGGGGTGAGACTGACATACACATTAGTTACATAGTAGTTACATAGTAACTACATAGTAGTTACTGAATAACAAGTCCTAATGCAGCATATTAGCTACTAACATAAATAAGAACTGACAGTGAAATTAACCAATCTTGTTTAGATGTACAGTTCACCACCGTATCCATATAATATATATCTATTATATATGTAGGAAAAGCTGAGTCTAATGTGTGTGTGTGTGTGTTTGTGTGTGTTTGTGTGTGTGTGTGTATGTGTGTGTTTGTGTGTGTGTGTGTGTAGACTGCGACTGTTCCAGAAGTTTGAGACGTTCCGTATCCTGGTGTGTGGGGGTGATGGCAGTGTGGGCTGGGTGCTGTCAGAACTGGATAAACTAGGACTGCACAAACAGGTCTGGAGTCACGCGTGAGATTAAGGAAACAGAGGATTGAGAAATAAATAAACAAGACTGAGCTGTGGATGAGAACTGCAAGCGTCTTTTTAACTGTGTTTGTGTGTGTTGCAGTGTCAGTTGGGCGTGTTGCCCCTCGGTACGGGTAATGACCTTGCGCGGGTGCTGGGCTGGGGTGGGCTGTGTGATGATGATGCTCAGCTGCTGCAGATCCTGGAGAAACTGGAGAGAGCTACCACCAAGATGCTGGACAGGTAAACAGAAACACTCACAGTTAAAGAAAGAAGCAGAATGAGTGTCTGAGGTTAGTCATTTTTGAGCTGGTGTTTCTGATCAGGATGTAAAAACGTGTACTTTGTGATTAGTGCTGAGTATTGAAATTCAATACTTTTTCGCCTACAGGCTGAAATATTTTAATACCACAGAGTATCAAAATATTCAGGGTCAATCAGTAACAGATTTCAAAACCTAAGTAGTCAGTTTCATCAGCAGCCAATAATCATGCTTGTTCCAAAATCTAGTTGAGTGATTGGCCATCTAGTTTACATTCTGCATTCTGTATTGAAAAAAAAATCAATTCAAAAATTCAAAAAAGATAGAGAGTACCCTCTGAATTACTTCAGTACTACTGTATATCTAAAAATGTTGTCATTCATACCCTATGACCAGAAGTATGTGGACACCTCAAAATTATGTGGACGTCACACCTATTTGAGCTTGTTGGACATCCTGTTCCAAAACCATGGGCATCAATATTGAGTTGTACCCAACCCACTCCCCCCAGGCCGCTCCTTTTGTGGCTATAACAGCCTTTACTTTTCTGGGAAACTTCTCATGAGATTTTGGAGTGTGTCTGTGGGAATTTGTGTCCAGTCAAAAGAGTGTTAGTGAGATCAGGTACTCATGTTAGACGAGAAGGCCTGACTTGCAATCAACATTCCAGTTCATCCCAAAGGTGTTCAGTGGAGTTGAGGTCAGGGCTCTGTGCAGGCCACTGGAGTTCCTCCACACCAAACTCATCAAACCATGTCTTTTTGGAGCTCACTTTGTACACAGGGGCCCAGTCTTGCTGGAAGAGGAAAAGGGTCTTTCCTAAACTGTTGCCACAAATTTGGAAGCATATAATTGTCTGTAATGTCTCTATATGCTGTAGCATTAACGTGACATCTTTGCTGGAACTGAGGGCCTGAGCCCAAACCATGAACAACAGCCACAGCCCATTATCCCTCCTCCACTAAACTTTACTGCTGGCTCTGACGCATGGCTATGTGCTTGATTTTATACACCTGTTATCAATGGATGTGGCTAAAACACCTAAACTCAATATTAGGAGGAGTGTCCACATACTTTTGACCATATGGTGTATGCTTTCTTATCAGCATTAGTGAGCCAATGTTTGCTCCAAAGTCAAAACTAATGATTGGTTGTGTAAATTATGTTATTAATTTCAGTGTTTCTTAATTCATATTTTAAAAGGTTTCAAAAAGTATTGTTTAAGAATCTGTATCAAAGTCTAAGTGTTGAATCAGTATTAAAAAAATACCCAGTCTTAACAATAGCCAGCCCTAAACTGCATACACCGATCTAAAGATGGCCAATCAACCAATCTTTTTTCTTCAGATTAGCTCACAAGATATCAACTACTTTTTTTGAAAATGAGAACTTCTTGATACTTTTTACTGTATTGTTGTTTATGTAAATTTATTCTACTGTGTTTTTCTTACTTTTTAAGTCATGTGCTCAGGTGCCTAAGACTTTGTGTGCTGTTATTATCCCCAAAAGCCTGAGATGTTATTTGTACCATCTGTATTTTACTGTGTAAATGGTTACGATCACATTTCTGTGTTCAAAATGTTTTTGAACCATTTAGTCATACCAAAGGAATCAATTTCTCACTCTTTATTCTCATGTGTATGTATTGTGTTGTGATTAGATGGAGTATAATGACATATGAAGTTCCCACAAAGAACACTCCTGCTATTGTTAAGGAGGATGATCCGCTAGATTCTCCACTCCAGGTACACTTCCTGTTCCTGAGGCTGCTCACATTAGCGTGTGGCTAGCTTTTAAAACCTGTTCCTTAGATTAAACATGAATTTCTTAAGTCAGTCCCATCTGGTTTAGCTTGGATGTGTTGTGTTATTCTGTCATTATTCCAGATTACTCACTATGCTGATTCTGTTGCCACCCATCTGACAAAAATCCTGGACTCAGACAAGCACAGTGATGTCATATCCTCTGCTAGGTGAGTATGGGAGTAAGCTCAGCGACATTACATCGTCTGTGTGTGTTTCACTCTGCTGGGTGCTGGTGTTTTAGTGAGTGGTGTGCTGGACTCTTAGCAGTGACTCCTTTTTAGGCATGTTTGGTCTCGTTTGACGGGAGTGTCACCAGCAGCTGTGACGTCTTTCAGATTTATTATGCAATTACAGACGTCTGTGGGATAATTTCTTAGTAATTGCTCAATTTTTGCTGAAACAAATTATATCAAAGAACGTTTTTTGGTATGATACTTCTTGCGCGATACCTGTTTTATTACATTGCAGGTGTGGACAGGTATTTACAGCTTTAGCAGTAATAAACTCACAAATGCTTGACTGGAGCTGTCCCAGCATGCATTGCTCTGAGGAGGTCTGGGTGACCATAAATAAGTATAAATAAGTAACACACCTCCAATACATGGCCTTTTAGCTAATGTCAGCCTGTTAAGCATTTAAGTTATTATTATTATTGTTATCTTTATCTCCATAATTAATTGCTGGTAAAAAAAGTAACAAAAACAAGTTTCTTTTTAGCTTCAAAGGATGAACAAGACTTATTCCTAAAATAAAATCCCAATTTCATCTTTAATTTCTTTACCAAATGCAAAATATGATGCTTAAATGTCAAAGAACTATATTATAGTACACCTAGATAATAGTATGACACCTTTTCAACCTCATTTTCCTTTAAAGTGGTGACAGACCGAAGGTTTGAATTTGTAAACAATACTGTTTTGGTTTTGTCAACATTTAAAACAAGTTTAAGACTATAAAATCTGTGTTGTACAGTATTGAAAGCATCTTGTGAGGTGCACAAAGCATGATTCTGAGTATGTGCTGAACATTATCATCAGCATAATAATGAAAATCTGCATTTGGCACACTATGAAAAAGACTGTTAATATATACAGTAAAAAGCAGAGGTCCCAGAATTGATCATTGAGGTACACCCTAGCATTGAAATTAAGTATAACCATCAGTGTCTCCCTATACTGTTGTTGTACTTGATTGATTTGTAAAGAACATTTTTGACCAAAGCCCAAACTTAATAGATGTCTTTTTTTGTTTGTACCACAAACTAGCATTTTGAGCACACCAACACCTGAAGAGGAGTATACTTTATACTTCAATCATCTTTCATTGTTATTGTGATTAAACAGCTCAGTAATAAGCATTAAGGCCGCTGCACACCACACATGCTGTGCCACGTTGTACAGCATCTAAAAATTCAAACTCATTGTTTTTAATGAAGGTACGTTTAATGAAGAGACATTTTGCCATTACTAAATTAAATTAAACCCAGAACCAGACCACGCAAAGCCTTAGTAAATCACATAAAGCCTGACATTTAAATCAAGAAAGACAGTCATTCTAAAATCTTTTAATAAACAGATGGGATGTGCATGGGTACTCGAGTATCCATTCGAGGTGGCAATATTCGAATATAGAAATCACTGTTTGGGCATTTGTTCCATTTCAGCACAGAAAGACAGTAAATATACAGACTAACAATTCAGTGAAACTCTAATGTTCTAACAGAACTGTAAAATGTAAGAGGTTTTGCTCATAATTGCAAGTAAGTATGTTATGCTATACATTGCTACCATGAAACACAAGTGCCTTAACGTGGGGGCGTTACCAAGAACGTGTTGTTAAGGACATGACTGAGAAGGCAGAGATAACTCAGTATTTATTGTTAAATAGACTAGGCTGATATCAGGTCCTAATGCAGTTAAAATATACTTCTCTGATCAACTAACCTGTTGACATCATCTACATCATCCAGTGTAGAGGGGAAATGACCACGTGTAGAAGACGACACCAGCAACTAGTGTTGTACTGGTTAGCTCATTAGCTCATCTGATGCCCCTTGGCTATGTTTGGATAATAAACCATGTTTTGAAATGTATACGTCCTCATGATGCTAATGTTGTTGTGCAAGACCAATGCAGTCACCTAAAAAAATAGCTTTACATTCATTTCAAATAAAAAATCAATTTTTTGCCTCTCTGCAGTAATCAGATATTCGTTCATGAACTCTTAAGGTTACTTGAACATAAAATTAGTCAGAATGTACGTACCTAAAACAAACTCATGTTAATGTTTCTCCTCAAAAACAGTAAGTATGTAAAGAGTAACTGAACGGAGAAGTTCATAAATCATGTAAATTTATTTTTTTGCGTGAAGTTTATACGAGTTGAGTGTAAATGCACTCCATGTAGTAGAGCTGTGCTGTACTGTATCTGCTACACAACTCTGCATGTCCAGTTTTATGATTTTAACTTCAACAATTCAACAGTGCATTCAACAATAAAGACAGTATGGAACTTCCTTTATATATTGATAGAAAACATGGTGGCACATGGAACACTCCAGTTCCTCATGCTGATCCATTTTACTACAATCAGCTATCCTGTGGTCAGATTTGACCAAGTCTGTGTAAATAACTGATGAGGTTTGGTAGCATTACATAATTAAATAATGCCTTGTCCTAAACTTTCAGGAATGGATATTTAATTGTTTCATTAAATATTACCTGTATTTTTCCACTTTTAACCCCTTAAACACTAAAGGACCTTAAATAGACACACACTTCAGTTCCTCATTGTCCCTCATCCTAATCTTTCTTACACCTCGCGCTCTCTCTCTCTCTCTGTAGGTTTCTGTGTGGGACAGTGAATGATTTTGTGGCTGAGGTTGGTAAAGCCTATGAGCGAGCCACAGAGAATAAGGAGGAGGCAGACACGATGGCTAAAAAGGTACAATTGTGTAAAGTGCGTGAGGGTGTGTGTGTGTGTCTGTGTGTGTGTGTGTGTGTGGGTTGCTTATAGAGGACTCGAGTGTGCATACACGTGTGTGTATGTGTGTAGGTTGTTTAAAGAGTGTGTGGTACGTATGCGTGTGGCATATTTGGAGTAAGGTTGTATAAGTGCTTGTGTAATAGGTATAGTGGGCATTAGTAGGCTGAAGCTCAATAGGCAGTATGATGCAGCCTACTGAGCACATTCAGATACTCTGTTTATTCCTCTATAATACCTGTACTTTGTAGTCTGTAATATTAAAACCACAGGCCAAGAAAGCTTTTTCTTTTTGATTAGAGGCCTGTTGTGTACATCCCTCTCAATACCATATACATCCAACCATAACCCTTTAGGCCAGTAACATACTTCACACCTACACATTTACTTTACAATCAAGCTACACAATCACAGTTTTGCACATTGTTGCATTCTAAAATACGCTGCGATGCAATTCATAATGCAATGCAAGTGCAAACTGCATTCTGAGCATTGCAGCAGGGGGCACTACAGTGGCAGCCTAGCCGGGGTCATGCCATCTTGTACCAACAGTGTTCTTTCCTCTGGTCAGCGAGTCTGACAAGTCTCTGTCAGAGCTGTTTGCATGGATAAACATATATATGATCTTCCCCTCATCATTCCATATAAATAAAACAAGCAGAACACCTCCTGTACTGCAGACATGTTTTGTCAGGGATGTGGGAAGTGAGGGTGATAAGGGGATTGCAGCATCCCTAGATTTCAGAATTGTTCAACCTCAACTGCTTAAAATTAAAAAAGGACTGAACATTAAATGGTTTGAGCCTAGTGCACAAGCAGATTTAGGGATCTGGGGTAACAGCGTACACAGCGTTGTATGATATTTCTGAGCCCTATTATATGTAATGCCAGAGAATGTGTAGTGAGGAGAACAGCCACTCAGTAATATCCTCTGGGTTTGTTAAACACCAAGGGCTGCTCCTGAGTCCAAAATGAATGTGCTGTTAATGAGATTCATGTGCAAAATAATAGTTTGTGAATGCTAAATCATTTTATATATATAAAATGCACTTATTTTCAGACGATAGAACAGCATAGAATATTACAATAATGCTGTCATATTCACATCAGCGGATCCAGTCCAAGTTTTGGGTGTTATTTTTTTGCACACTATATTTGTCTTTTTTTATTGATTATTTTTGCTCAGTAACTGACCTAACTGAAAAACTGAGTTATGTATCACAATATATCACAGAGTTAGAGTTGTAAGCTCAGGCCTTAATGGGTTAAAGCTTTTGCAGTAGGTCACATCTCACACAGTCTGTGTGGTCCTTATGACTCTGTAAACAACCATCTAATTCCTGAGAGGGATTATTGAGGGCGGTACTTGAATCCACTGCTGAAGTTGACATGGTAACCTTCTTCTCTCACATGTTGTGCTGTATAGAAAAGAAATACCAAGCCTGGCTCTTTCATAAACACAAATAGCTTTTTGAGAGTGCATCAGTGAAGGGAATGCATAACTGTGGTACACACTTACTGGTTGAACCCAGCTCTTGTCCATGAAACCCTCTCATCCTCCCCCATTAGTAAGGGTGGGCGATGTGGTCAAAATATGATATTATTTTTCACAATACACAGTATATATACACCGATCAGACATAACATTATGACCACCTCCTTGTTTCTACGCTCATTGTCCATTTTATCAGCTCCACTTACTATATAGGTGCACTTTGTAGTTCTACAATTACAGACTGTAGTCCATCTGTTTCTCTGAATACTTTGTTAGCCCCCTTTTACCCTGTTCTTCAGTGGTCAGGACCCCCATGGACCCTCACAGACCAGGTACTATTTGGGTGGTGGATCATTCTCAGCACTGCAGTAACACTGACGTGGTGGTGGTGTGTTAGTGTGCGTTGCACTGGTCTGAGTGAATCAGACACAGCAGTGCTACTGGAGTTTTTAAACACTGTGTCCACTCACTGTCCACTCTATTAGACACTCCTACCTTGTCAGTCCACCTTGTAGATGTAAAGTCAGAGACGAAAGCTCATCTGCTGCTACAGTTTGTGTTGGTCATCCTCTAGTCCTTCATCAGTGGTCACAGAACGCTGCCCACAGGACGCTGTTGGCTGGATATTTTTGGCTGGTGGACTATTCTCAGTCCAGCAGTGACACTGAGGTGTTTAAAAACTCCAGCAGCACTGCTGTGTCTGATCCACTCAGACCAGTGCAACACACACTAACACACCACCACCACATCAGTGTTACTGCAGTGCTGAGAATGATCCTACTAAATAAATAAATTAAGATAATGGCATAATGGGCTGACATACAGTAAGCTACTTGTTACTACGTGATATATGTTGTTACTGTGCACTGATTGTTGTTGTTTCCAGGCTCTCTATAATTGGTCTAAATCTGTTTTATGCTACGTGAAGTGGTTCAGTGTTCTATAAGTACTGGTGATACCAATGATATACTCAGAAAATCGTACTGTAATGTAATTTATCACAATAACGATAAAATATCATCATACTGCCCCCCCCTACCAGCTACATACCTTTTTTCTTACCCGTTTTGTCCTCTGCAGTGTGCAATGCTGAATGAAAAGCTGGACTCTTTGGTGCGGGCACTAAGTGAGGAGGCCGATGCTCAACTAGTGCCTGCCGGTTCCCAGTCGCCTGAGCAGGAGGGTGAGGGGAGCGGCTCGGACACTCCAGGGGTCCCCAGACCCTTCAGATCCAGAGAGCAGCTGATGCTGAGAGCAAACAGCCTGAAGAAAGCCCTCCGGCAGATCATAGAGCAAGCAGAGAAAGGTCAGAGAAAGCTCCGCTCACACTTAAAACAGGCCTGCATTATTTAAATGCATGACTAGCTTATTGATTGGGATTCTGAAGTGGAGCAGTTAGGATTATTCATTCAGCGCTGAACTGTGAATATATTAAGTTTATTGGGCAGAATTATTAAGATGGCCTGTATTACCAGTTCTCTTCATGTGCACTAGCATGTATAATGAATGAATGTATTAATTTAATCTTTAAAGTATCTTTAAAGTATCTTTAAAATGAATATATATTACAATAATGCTGATATTGATTCCTCCCTTTACCCCCCTGTCTCGTCAGTGGTGGATGAGCAGAACAGACACACACAGGTGCAGAGGATGTCTTCCTTGTCATCAATCAAAAGAGGCAGCAGCGAGGACCTCAAGGAGGCAGAGCCACGTGAGTGACAAACTACACTATGAACATGTTTAATGAGATTACATATATTTCTGAAAACATAATGTCTCTGAAACAGTAATATTATACAACATGGAAAAAAAACATTGAATACCTGTTGATCGAATTAAAATCAAAACTTCTATTCATCCATGTATCATGACATGTCCACTCAAAGCCATTTCATGATGCATGGATCACTAAGAACAGCAGCTATTCATATTTGCTGTTAAACAAATGAAGACTTTTTAACGACAGTGAGAATAATCTAAACAAATTCTGACTAGAAGTGTTCTTTTGAAAAACTGGTTAAAGTGGGTTCATAAGCATAAAGCCGTTTATATAAAGACATATTAGCATTTTTACAGATTTTCTCTGTCTTGTACAGGTCAAAGTGCAATCAGTCCCACCTCCACTGCCCCCATAGTGCTGGAGAAACCAGACAGCTGCAACAGCGCAATGCCTTTCACTGAGGAGTCTGTGTAAGAGCATACACACACGCAGTCGTTATGTGTGAGAGATTAGTGGTCTTACAGATGTTCAAAGTGGATAAGAGGAGATGAAACACGATGTTCTGCAACACAGATATAGCCCCCAGCTCAGCAGCAGGCCATAAAACTGTGTACTGAATCACACAGATTTATCCTATTCAGCTACACTATTCATATCCACAACATAAAACATTTAAATGTACATCTATCTGTCTGTCTGTCTTTTGTAATAACGATGTTAACCATTCTGTCTCTGTTTCTCTCTGCACACACACAGGCAGTGCACAGAGAAGTGTGTGATGAATAACTACTTTGGGATTGGCCTGGATGCCAAGATCTCTCTGGAGTTCAACAACAAGAGGGATGAACACCCTAAGAAGTGCAGGTGCAGTGGGATTATCTGCTAACTCAGCTGCACTCACACAACCCTGCCTGCTGCATGAGCTTTACAGCAGATTTTACATAACTATGTCATGCTCTTTCTGAGAGTATACAGTCTTACATGTGATTCTTTTGAATTCTAAGAGTTTGTGATCTTTGGTACTGACCAGTGCTTTAACATTCACATTGGGCTAACAGTGAGAAATTATTGGGCAGATTGTTGGTACCTTGGTACATAAACATCTGACCGATAAGTAGTGGTGTTGCTGCATGATCCAGTGGTCTGTACACCACTACGTGTGTGTTGCAGAGTTGATAGTAGTGTTCTGTGTGTAATACACAGTAAGTAATTGTGTGTTGTGCTTGTTTCCGGTATGAAAATATGTGATTTGAGTGTACTGTGTGGTGTGGTGTGTGTAATGTTGTGTACTGATAGTGTGATGTTGGTCTCTTTACTGTCTACAGCAGCCGCACGAAGAACATGATGTGGTACGGTGTACTGGGGACTAAAGAGCTGGTCCAGAAAACCTACAAGAACCTGGAGCAGAGAGTGCAACTAGAGGTGTGTTTCTGAGAGAGAAAGAGAAAGAGAGGTAGAGAGGCAGAGACAGAGAAAGAGCTCATTGGTCACTTTAATAGGTACATCTACCCTGTGTCTACACTATATTGCAGTTCTGCAATAAAAAAATTGTAGTTTATCTGTTTCTATGAATAATTTGTCAGGCCCCCCTACAACATTCATCAAACTGATATTGACTGATAAAATCATCAAATGCTGGAGTTTTTAAACACTGCATTTCTGTCCACTCACCATCTACTCTAGAACTTGTCGGTCCACCTCGTACAAGTCAGAGACAATAGCTTGTGTTTGTCATTCTCTAGTCCTTCGTCAGTGGTCAGTTTCTTGCTACAGGACCACTCTTAGCTGGATATTTTTGGTTGGTGGGCTGTTCTCAGTCCAGCAGTGACACTGGGGTGTTTAAAAACTCCAGCAGCACTGCTGTGTCTGATCCACTCGTACCAGCACAACACTAACACACCACCATGTCACTGCAGTGCTATGAATGATACACCACCCAAATAATACCTGCTCTGTGGTGGTCCTGTGGGGGCCCTGACCATTGTATGAATGATTAAAAGGAGGCTAACAGACTACAAAGTACACCTACAGTCACACACAAAAGTTTAGGCTCCCCTGGTCAAACCACATTTTGTTGTTTTTGGAAGTGAAAATAAGTTAACACGCCCTCCACAGAAAACACACTTATTTATGGCATTTTTCTGCTAATTGTAGTGCACAATTTATACTTTCCAAAAGTTCAAAATATTAAATGTGCCATAAGCTTTGCACTGGCCACATTTAATGTTTGTTTTATGTAAATTCAAAATATATATTTTGACCAGGGGCACCCAAACCTTTGCATGCAACTACATATGGTAAGTGGACCTGATAAAATGGACAATGAGTGTAGATACAAGGTGAATGTACCTGATAAAATGGCCAGTGAGTGTAAGTCTGGATATCCATGCAACCTTACTGAAGAATGAAGAAATGCATTATGGATAATTTACTCCACTTCCCAGATTAGACACCATGATCTGTTTATGTTTATCCATGATTGTTCATTTTGTTTTGTGGGAGTTGCTTGATTCTGCTCTCCTTGTTCACATAATTCTCCAGTTATTGTTCACGGCATAATGTCTCTTTCTCTTTCTTTCTCTCTCTCTCTCTCTCTCTCTCTCTCTCTCTCTCTCTCTCTCCCAGTGTGATGGAGTACCCATGTCATTGCCTAGTCTTCAGGGTCTGGCTGTGCTGAACATCCCCAGCTATGCAGGAGGCATCAACTTCTGGGGAGGAACCAAAGAGGATAATGTGAGTCTCTGGTCAAATTAAATGTTTTATTAATTTTCTAATTTAAAATAACACATCCTCTACACAGTTTGCACATCTTAATATACAATTACTGTTTATTTTCTGAATTTAACATATTGGAAAAAAATAAAACAGAAAATGTGTCCCGTGCAAAACTAATGGCACATTTTAGAATTTATGTTTCATTTTCTTCCAATATGTTAAATTTAACACATGAACAGAAATTTTGCAGAAATTTAAGTTTGTTTCCTGTGGAGGATGTGACCAACAATACACGTAATTTCAGGGGTGTACAAACTTTTGCATACAACTGCATGTATGTAGTCACTGTCAGAACAACTTTTAATGGAGGTTCACCCTTTAAATGGAGAGCTTTATTACAAACATATCTAGAACCTAAAAATAGCTCAAATAGCTTGCGTTGAAGTCCCTGTAGTTACTAAATAATAAGTCTAAGCATGTAATAAGTCTGGAGTTTTAAGGCGTTCCTTTAGTTAGTCCATATCCATAGTTCACATGAGCACTGTCGAGCGTAGTCTGCTGAATGTGCTGAATGCATTGCTTTAAAAACAGTTTAAAAGCTGTTTAAGAATTTAAATGCGAATTCGTTGAATGAGATTTGCAACATGAGCAGCTGAGCTTCAGCCTGCACTAATACAGATGTTTGGAAGGGTCAAACTAGGATAGTGCATTACCAGTCTTCATTTGTGGTGTTAATAATTTAGCGTGTTAATGCGTTTTTGACGTTTTTTTACATTATTAACATGTGAACTACACACGTGTACATACACATATAAAGTGAGTGTAGTGGGAGTAGCTGTGAGGATTAGTATAAATCTTGTGGAGGCTGGAATGTTTGACCTTTACTTTGTCTGTGCTGAACATGTGCTCCGGGCCATTTATCTCAGCGGATTTGTTGAGAAGAGATGCAGAAAGAAAGATTATGAAAAGTGCATGTGAGCAGAGCAGAACTGAGGAACATGATGCAGCTTTACTGTAACTGACAGTGTAGACTCACTGATCACACACTGATAAACACACTTTCACATAGATCCTAACAGCCGTATTCAGTTTGAAGGCTTAGATAAGACCTGTTCTCTTCCTCCTGCAGCTACAAATAGAAAGTCATTTGTCAGCTTACAGGAAGAGGGCAGAGTGGTATTTATTGCTTTGTAAAGACCTGAAGCCAGGAAGTATTTCTCTGAGTGACTGACAGCTGCGCTGAAAGACAAATTGAAAGGCAATATATGGCAGAGCTATAGAGAATTACACCAACAGCCTATATTAAATTGTGTGGTCAACTCATAACTGCACTTCAGTAACCGCTGGTGACTGCAGCAAATTATTGGTTCTTTCATTTATACTCAAATACGGAAACGCTGCAAAAACAGCTCATTTTCAATTCATTGTTTTCATGATGTCACAAAAACAAATGCATTTACATCTAACAGCCCATTCAGCCTATAGCAGTTTCGCCCTGCATAATCACATAGAAGTTATAAGGAGTGTTTTAGCCTGAACTGCTGTTAAAATGAGGGCATCCAATCAAAACAGAGATCATTTACATATATCAGTCTTAAAGGCACAATAACAAATACAGCCTGTTTAATTTTGAGGGATAGAGAAGTTGTAAAGTGGTCCGGTAAAAATTAATTGGCTGTTGTGGTACACTAAACACACAATAAGTGAAGATTTTGGAAGAAAATAAATGCAAGAAATGTAGAAATGAAGGATGTTAGAGAATCTTACATCACTTGTGTTTTTTCCTCCTTGTTGTTGGTGTAGAATTTTGGAGCTCCGTCGTTTGATGATAAGAAGCTGGAGGTGGTGGCGGTGTTTGGAAGCATGCAGATGGCCATGTCTCGCGTCATTAACCTACAACATCACCGCATCGCACAGGTGTGAACACACACACACTCGTTCATTACTAAAGCATCTGCACATGCACAAACACACACATAACTCAGACACTAAGCGGTGTGTGTGTGTGTGTGTGTGTGCGCAGTGTCGGCAGGTTAAGATTACCATTAAAGGTGATGAGGGAGTTCCTGTGCAGGTGGATGGAGAAGCCTGGATCCAACCACCCGGCATCGTCCAGATCATCCATAAAAACCGCGCCCAAATGCTGACCAGAGACCGGGTCAGTGATTCTGTGTGTTTAAGTGTGCGGGTCTTTTTTTTTTTTCATCATGGTTTTGTCCTCAACAGCGACAATGTTTATTGTCATTTTTATAGAAGTAGTTTGTAGATCAATTTGTTTCAGATCAGGGGTTCCCAGTCCCACTTCTGGAGACCCCATGCTCTGCACATTTTTGAGTTTTCTCTACCTAACACATCTGACTCAGCCCACAAAATGCTTGTTAAGTAGTCTAATCAGGCATGCTTGATGAAACAAACACAAGAATGGGCATAGTGTTGGGTTAGTAGGCTAGGACTGGGAAGGAAATCCTGTGCTAGATATTAGAGTCACTCAAGACGCTAGATATTCACCAGAACTGATGATCCCCCTAAAGCAGGAATAGTGTCAGTCACCGGCTCATTCCCTGAAGGTGCTAATTAGTATTAGGTGTATTTCTGTGTGTATAATGTCCCACATTCTTCAGCTACAGTTGCACCTAAATTTTCCCATGGGGATCAATAAAGTACTATGTACTATAATAAGTACTATCATTTCTGGTAAAACACCCATTCATTTTAAAGTTATCCCTTAATTAAAGGCTTTGTATGTGGGTCCTCACTCTCATAACTACTCATATTGTGTGAAGCCATAGTTATTTAGAAATGAAAGTGCTATCAGGTGAGGTAATCTGTCAGGTTCAGCACTGCCGTGTGCTCAGCGTGTGCGTGTATGTCGTAGGCGTTTGAGAGCACGCTGAAGTCGTGGGAGGATAAGAGGAAGTATGACAGCTGCCGCTCCACCCGGCCACGCCTCAACTCCCAGCAGTCCATGGAGTATCTGACTGAGGAGGAATGTGCTCAGGTCCAACAGCTCGGCCTGGTGGCCGATTCACTCATCAACAGGTACGGCCATCTGTGTGCTGTGTTTATATAACGTATAATGAAAAGCATATTTTACAGTTTTAAATATCTGTTTTTGTTTAGTGGCAAGTTGACTTTCTAGTTTTTGATTATTTTATAACAAGTACAGTAAGTACTTGAATACGATGTATTTGTCTGTTGCCAGTAATGTTTTGTTGAGATTTTGTTTCCAAGTGTGAGGCATTCTGAATAGTTTTATTGTAACTTCTTCAGTTTTCAAAGTTATACAGCTTCAGTGAGTCAGTTTAGAATTATCTCCAGCTCTGTTCATCATTCTGGACACATCCTGAATTTTTTAGCAGTGTCCTCTTGTTTATTTGAAACCTGTGCAATAGCTCAGCGCTGTCATATTAGTCAGTTTACACATTGATCTTAAATCAAATTGTTTTCACGTCATTAAAAATATTGATTGCAAACTTTTCAACAGCCTTTCTGATAACATCAGTAAAAGAATTACTGAATGATGCATGTGTGTGTGTGTGTGTGTGTGTGTGTGTACAGGATACGGGACGTCGCAAAGACACATAAGGTGGTGGAGCAGGAGTTGGCTCATGCAGTGAATGCGAGTGCTGCCGTCCTGTCTGAGGCGTTCCCCTCCAAACCCTCCAGCCCTGAGGTACCACACACTACCCTCTAACACACAGTGTGTGTGTGTGTGTGTGTGTGTGTGTGTTTCCCTCACAGCTACTGCTCTCAAAACCAGCCGTACTGTTGCTGAACTTGTGGAGGTTGTCCATTTATGTAGCGTCAGATTGTGCAGTAAAGTTTTAATGAGATTTTTCAGGCTCTCTCACTGCAGAGTGTGTATGTGTGTGTGTGTGTGTGTGTGTGTGTGCGCATGCGCAGGTGTACTGTAGATAACCTGCCACCCACACACACTCACATATGCAGCCCTTTTGAAATGGAAGCTGTTCTTGATGGCAGCAGGAAACAGAGGAGATGTTTTTGTCAATTTCTCGTCAAGAAAACATCTAAAATGCCATTTAGCATCTAGTTTATTGTATTTGAATCTAAGGCTAGAAGTCGTAATTGTACATAAAATAATAATGAAAAAGCTTTATCTGTTAATTTTGTAAATATATACATTTAATTTAAATTATTTTTTTTTTACTATTTACTATTTAATAACTTCAATAAAACATCTAAAAACACGTTTTGGTGCCTATTTTATAATATTAGAATCTACAGTATATATGTTATTTGTTTGTAAAATAAGCACTATTAAGCCTTTTTCTTTTTTAATTTGATTTGGTTCTTCTTCTTCTTTAATATTAGAATGTTTAAATGTACAGTGCATAAGTTATCATTGTTGGTGAAATAACATTAATTGAGCCTTTAGTTTTTACAATTATTGTTCTTCTATTTTATTATTTACCATTTTATATATTTGCCATTTATGTATCATCATTATTTACCATTACCATTATTTTATTATTCACTGTTTAATAACTTTTTAGTATTCCCAAAATAATGTACATTTTGAATAAAACATACAAACACACTTTAGTTCCTAGTTTATAATATTTAAACTTACAGTGAACACATTATTATTGTCAGTAAAAAAAAAATTAAGTTTTTACTTTTTATATTTATTTTTGTTTTTTATAATTTAACATTAACTTTTAATCATTAACTTTTGATATCAACAAAATAATTAAAACATGGAATAAAACACAAAACACAATTTGGTGTCTAGTTTGTTATGTTTAAATCTACAGTATGTAAGTTATTATTATTTTTTAAATAACAGATATTAAGCTGTTTTTGTCAGTTTCTGTGGCTTTATTCACGGAGAAAAGAGTGAAGATTTATCTGCTGTAATTACTGTGATATTCAGCAGTACGAGTTGTAAAGAGGGTCAAACTAAGTGTTTTTGACTGTGTGTGTGTGTTTTGTCCGTGCAGTGTCTGAGTCGCAGCACGGCTGTAGAGATTGTAAACAGCAGTAAAGTGCTGCAGCTGGAGACTCGGATGCTTTTAGAAGGAAAGCTGCTGGTGAGAGGCTTTTTTCACTTCTTCCTCATCTTGTCGAAACACATTCATACATTTACACACACTCCAGTGAAAGGAAATGTCAGACGTTTTGTGCCCGATCAGTTCATTTCTGTCTGACCTGCTGTCAGAACTGCTGTGTGAGTTGTACATCTTACTGGAATGTTTGTTTGTTGGCTGTTGGCTGTTTACTGTTTATTTTCTTCACTCATCTCACTGCAGCATGAATAATGCTGTTTTAGAATATCTGAAACGTACTGTGTGTCTGTGTGTGTGTTGTGTAGCAGTTGGAGGCTCCTCAGGAGGAAGAGCTGCTCTCCACACTCAACTCTCTCAGTGCTGAATTAATCAAACTGGAGGACATCCACTGGATCTGTCCCAGCATGCACTGCTCTGAGGAGGTTTGATATTAATAAGGAGCACATTAGCATAAATAAATAAACACACATTCAACACATGACCTTTTGATTTATGTCTTTTGAGTGGCGTACAGCTCAGGACAGGACTTCCCAAGCATTAAAATTCAGTCAGACATAATAAATTAACCCAATCATGTCCAGCAACTACATGTAGTCTGATAATGAAAAAAGTTGTTTTAATTGCGCTAAAGTGATGAAATTTCATATAATTATACCTGGGACAAACATCTTACAGTGCCTATTTGAATTTTTGGTAAGACTTCAGTATAGACAGATGTAACAGTGCCTTTGTAACACGCTTCTTAGGCCTAATCAAGCCAGTAGCTGATAAATAACTTGCCACTAATTGCCTCTTTATTATGCAACAACTAGGGTGAACTAGGGTAATAAGAGGCCTAGGATCAATGAAGCACTTTCCAGACCATGTGGTCAGCGGCGGAACAAACCCTCATATATACAAAATGGTAACTTTTCAGGAGAAGAAAAAAAACATCCCTAAAGGAGCTCTATATGATTCTGGAGGACGATTGTTGATATTTGAAGTCAGCAGCAAAACAAATACACCCTTCCCTTAGTGCTCCTTCAGAAACTCGGCCCCCCAGATTCATGGATGCGCACTGTCGGGGCCAACACGCCTTTTTAGATCTTTGTGGCCATAAAACCCTTTACAAACTTTATACACACAAATACCATGATATAACATTTGAGTGAACAACAACACAGCATGTAATGTAGCTAATGTTAGCTCGGTACTGGTTAACAATCTGTCACTACAGTTGCTGTTGTGAAGCCAACCAGTTGCTATCACAAACATTCGCAAACAAGACAAAACAGTACTGACCTATTGATTCTATGAAACAGCAAAAATGAGTTAATGTTACCCACCTATCAAGCAGGAGCAACCTCATCATCCCTTTCCATGCATTTCAACTGTCAATGATTCTTAATTCAGCTTCTTTTTTGCCAGCTTCTTTTTCAAATGTTCCCGTTCCACCTTAAAGGTGCAGCAGTTAAGATTACAATCCAGCGCCTCAGCTTCTTGTTTGAATTTTCCCGTTCCACCTTAAACTGTGCCCTTCATGCTATGTGGGCGGTCACTGTTTGGGGAGGGCAAAACAAAATGTGGAGAGGGCCAACGTATTTTTATTGATATGTTCATAATGAAATTTGAACACAATGTAAAGGGCAGCAGAAATACTACAGAAATGGAGATACAAGGTTTTTTTGACAATGTGTAACTGTTAATAAGTGCTAATTTACTTGGCTGTTCATTACTACTTTATTTTGCAATAACTGGGTTGAAATGGTGTAATAGGAAGTAAATTACTGACTGGTTGATAAGGCTTAATAAGAGCATAATAATGGACAACTAAACTATTGTGCAAAAGATTATGATGTATAATGCACGAAATAAAAGTGCTTTGAAAATGCAGTAATTGCTTAATAAAGTGGTAATGAGCAATGAGTTAATGAGCAGTTACTGGCTTGATAAGACTTAATATTTTCAAACTTTTATCCACAGTGAAATTTGCACTTCGATCGTTTGGTTAAACATCAATATTCCATGTGACCAGGACTGAATTGAACATAAATGCAGTGATAAAACTCACTTTTTAGCTGTGCAGGATGATCAATTTGAAGACGTTCTGCAGATTTTGTGCTCAGGCAAGCTTAGAGAACATACTGACCAAAATAAATGTAAAATTTCAGCTATGGACATGAATGGGTCAAACAGTGTGGTGTAATTGCTTCTAATATTGTAAGCTGTCATTTCATTACAATCACTGATAGTAGATTTTTTGTAATGTTTTATTGACAGTAGATTTTGTTGTTTGTTGTTTAACTAATGTGCAATACAGTAACACTATACACAAGTTCATATCTTCAGTCCTCGTTCCCTCGTTCCTTCATTCCCTCTCTCTCTGCGCTGTCTATAGGACTCATCCCGGACCAGTACTAAGAGCAGTATGAAGCTGAAGATCATGCCCAAAGTGAAGAAGGAGAGGGAGAAGCTGCATAAGCAGCGCTCCAACAGCTCTCTCTCAGGTCAGACTCACAGGACAGGCTGAAAAATGCTTGACTTGCATTGTACTTTGACCTTGTGGTATGTGTTAAGCTTCCCTTGTTTATTGCTGTGTTCTTCATGTGTTTAGCATCTCAGAGTAAGAGTGCTGTTTTAATTGTCCTCCATCCGTATTATTGTGTTCTTTAAAGGAATAATTCAGCATTTTTTACCAGTTTTCCCCTTCACACCATATACTGCAGAGTTCATCTGCTATGACATTGTTTCGTGTTTGCTTCTTTAGTTTTACACTGGAGCTACAAGGCTTATGTTGCTACAACTAATGGAAGCTTATAATCACCAATGAGCATCATGCAAACAGCATGGCTGTTTTTTGGAACATTGTCATATACTGTGAGAATAGTCTAATTTCTACATAATTCAATCTTTGAGATGTAAACAAAGTCATTTGGAGTGGTTTGTGAAATGGTTCATTGTAGAAAAAAGTACCAACTTAGATTAGTTTATAGTGGTGGTCATAGGAACCAGGGGTCGCTATGTCTACAGTGTAAAAATAGCCATTTAATTTACCAAAAATTATTCTTCCAAAATGACCAGTGAGTCTACATGTTTAAATTTAACATGATTATGGGAAAGTAAATAGTGGCACATGTTTTCTCTGGGCACTTTCTTGCGTTGTGTGTACCTCTGTCATGAATATATTTAAAAAAATATATGTTTTAGGCCAAAGAATAATTTACAAAACTCCTGTAAAACAATATTTCAGGCATCAGTCAACATATAGGCACTAAACACCTAAAAACAGACGTCTGGTTCTTGTCACCACCATGGTGAACATTTCTGAGTCAGACAATTTAATTATGCAAATACTTTGAAAAATCTGTGAAATTACCCTTCAACAGCTCAACACAATTTCGGGATGCAGCTTGCATAGTGCTGATTGGTCAACATAAGCTTCCATTGTTACTTAGCCGCTTAGCTTCATAGATCCAGTGCAAAACTAAAGAAGCAAACTTCAGACACGTGACTCAGCTGGTTATCTACAGACTGAGTAAGTGAATTAGTGCTTTAAGATCAGAGTGAAAAGTTGATTGTTGATCAGCAGTCTTACTCTGACAGACAGTCTCCCCTACAGTTCTCATGTTTGTTCTGTGGCTTGTTATGGTTTCTGTGACATTTGGTTGTACAGTTGTGCATCAGGCTGCCATTTAATGGAGTGAAGGCTGTTTTATGGTGAAATCCGGTCCAAAGATCAGTTTCTCTTTAGACTGAATGACTGAATAATAATTAAAGTTTTTCCCTCTAAATCTAAGTTAAACACTTAATGAAGCCTCAGCTTCACTCCAGAAAGTGCCAGTCAGTCTTTGTGGAAGCTTGTGTGCTATTGGGTCTATTTTATGTTTTTGTTGTGTATGTGTATGTATGTGTGTCTTCTCGGGGGCTAGTGGAGAGATGGGGTGTGGAGGAAGTGGGCACGTGGCTGGATTCGTTGGGGTTAGGGGAGTACAGGGAGAGGTTTGTGGCCCGAGACATCCAGGGCTGGCAGCTGACTCAGCTCCAGAGACACGACCTGAAGGTACAGCAGGACAGTGGCCACAGGGTGGTCATTTTCTGTTTGCTGCCCTTTCATCAACATGCATTCAAATACAGGAGAATCAGTTTCTTTATACACAAGGTTTGACATTATGAGAACTGTATTAAAAGAATAGTTTGCCCAAAAAAAATCGTCTTATCGTACATGTAGTTAACCAGCCAGTTTTTCAGTTTTTACAGTGGCTTCAGAGAGTATTTGGACATTTGTGCCAAACCTAAAAATGTATGAAGTTGTGCCAATAAACAACTCATCAAAGCAAGTTTATTAGCAAGTTATTTTAAACAGATAATTCCAAGACTGTCATTTTCTTCTTTCTGTTCTTTCAAAAGACAGCATATGCATTACTGATTATCAGTTAAGCAGTTTCTTTGCAGACATCTGCAGGTTTGCATCCTAAATGCTTTTTACACTTCTGAGTTCATGATCCCAGCAATGAAAACAAACTCAGCAACACCATTATAAAAAAACAGCCCCAGACTTTGATATTTCCACCTCCATGCAGTCTGACTGGAGTTCTTCTCCAGACTTTCTCCACACAAAGAATCTACCTTCTGACTTCATTTTATTGATCCAAAAAATATTTGTTGTTATTTTGGCTATCTACCACAGCGTTTTAGCATATTGTTGACATTAAATAATGAATATGGACTTTATACTGAGAATGAACTGCAACAGTATCCAAATGAAATCAACTCTAGACCTTTTATCTGCTTACTTGTAAGTGAAATAATGTGGGACCAACACACATCTGGTCATGGCTGCTCAAAAACTTGAGCAGCCAACTGTCCAATTATTTTTGAGCCCCTAAAAATGATGGGCTGTGCATGGAAATGTTTGTAATTCACAGTTCCACTGTTCATTTCATGTATTATGTAAATAGCTTCAAATTAAAGCTGAAAGGTCTGCACTTTGAGCTCATATTCATTAGTTATTCTATTCATCCGTCTTAGACAGCTAAATAACAGTAATATTTGTGGACTATTTATGGAAATTTTGAAAAATCAGTGGAATCTCCTGCATATGTGCTCAAATAGCCTTGCATATGCGGTTTGTCACACTGTGTAAAATTAATATTTATGAAAAACAAGCATGTCGTTTTCACAATGCTAATTGGTGGGGTATATGCTAACATTGCATTAACATAGCTACATTAGCCTTGAAGCTCTGATGCAAAACTAAAGAAGTAAACCTAAGACACCAGACACCAAACTTTGCTGATCAACTACATTTGAAGTAAGACGAACATCGTCTTAATCTGATGTTTTTGCTAAACAGTTCTTTTAATCCTAAAAAAGTAGCAGTTCATAGAAACTATTGTCAGACACTCTAGATGAGCTTTTAACAGCTGTAATCAGCTGCCTTTGAGATATACACTTAAGTATATTGTGTAAATCATTGTTTGTTTACTCTCTCAGGATCTTGGGATATCAAAGGTGGGGCATGTGAAACGGATCCTGCAGGCAATTGAAGAGCTGGAGGGTCTGCTGTAGTGTCCCAGTGCTGTCGGACACTCTTCGCCACGGGAAGCTGCCTTTCACTGAGGAACAGGCGTTTAGTCGACTCTAAACGTGTGAGTGAGCAGCTTTGAGAGGCATAGCTTCACATCACGTTGCATCGACGTTCTGGTCCTGTTCTCTCTTCGTTCTCTGCCTGTTGGTGGTTTCGGTGATGCTGATCAACAGATGTTGGGCATAGACTACAACTCCCAGAATCCTTTTCTTTTCTCTCGCTTTCCTTATTGGTTCCTATTACGAGTGTGGTTTCTTGTTGTCCATCTTCCATGCATGAGATGATTGTTTTCTTTATCTTAGTCATATTCTTATGTTTTCCTCCTTTCTTTTTATCTATATTGACACGTTCAAAGCCATGAGACACAAACTGGAAATCCATTCTTTTAAAAAGGGGAAAAAAAGTACTGTCTTCTCCTTTTGCCGGCATCTGAACAATGTAAAACGAACAAGAACCACAGAGGACATTCTAAATGAAGTGCAAAAAAAACCAAAACAAAACAAAACAACAAAAAAAAGCATCTTGAATGTATTGTGGACTTGTATTATCTGTCTAAATCAGCAGAACTGCATAGTAGCTACTTCTGTCTATATCTATTCAAAGACAGTTGATGTTCTCTGCATGCCTTTCAAGCCCACAATCCTTGAGCAGAAAAACAAAAGCCGCAAGACGTTTTTTTACTTTTTACTTTTCTCTTCAGTCGTCGCCGAAGTTGTGCTGTTGTACCACTCGTGTGCCAGGTGAGCTGTTGTTCTAGAAGCTTTCAGTGACGTAAACTTGTGCCAAGTTTTTTTTTATTATTATTATTCAGAGGAATCTCGTGGGGGAAAGAATAATCATGCAGTGTCGTACATTTCAAAATGTATTTTATCTTATTGCCTTGCACTTTAAAGAGGAAAACAGTTTTTCGGAAGCAAACTTGAATGTTGTGTGTTAAAAATTTTCCTCTGTTTTTAAGCATATTATGAAAAGTGTATCCCTATTTATGGCAAATCTAACACAAGACTAATATATTGTCAGATTTAATGAACGTTAGACCCATGTCTCTATTTACAGGGCTGGATCTCATAATCTCCCAGAAGGTTTCAATATATCCATATTATATAATGTTATATAAACTATGTGGAATTCGGTCACTTTCTTAGAGTAAATGGAGACAAACTTTGATTTTGAAGTTGATTAATGTACGGCTCGTGATCAGCCTTTACAAAATGACTGGAAAATTCTCTTTAGGGTGAAATATATGCGGTACAATGTAAGTTTTCTCCCAGAACTGAGGAAAAAAGGGAAGCATAAATAACATACTCTTTCAGTGATATTTGTGAGCCAAAGTGTAACAGTATTTCTTGAATGGAAGGGGAAAAAAGAAAAAAAAACATAAAAATGGTCTTGATGCAAACTTTTGATGGACAATTAAGTGCAAATGCTGGACTGTAATATTTATGTGTTTGTATGAAGATTCTCGCTGTGTGTGATCAAAGTCCACTGTTTGGAGAAAAATGTTCCCGTTGTCTCCTAAAAGTGTCAAACTATTACAATAGTGTTAGCAAAGCAAGGTTCATGGAAATGGCTGTGGTTCTGTGACCCACAAGAAAAACTGATTTCTCTTTTTTTCTTCTAAAAGGGGCACCGAAAGAGACCTCTCGCACCTTTTTTTGGTTATCCATAATTACAGCTAATAGCAAGACTACTGCTTACTGTTTATTGTTTACTCTTGAAGTTTATTATTTATCTTTTTGAATTATTTAAAATTATGTTTCCGTGCCATATGGGTAGCTTCCATGGCTCTAGGTCCGTCCCTTGGCTGCGAACACCTCTACTCCAGGATTGTTGCTGTTAATTTGAAGCAAAAATAAAGTGTGGCCATTGCTCTTTGTGTGGCATTTTCTCATCACTGTATTTAGCCTAACTCATATTTTATGCTTATTCTGCTGAAATTTCACATCAGTAGGCATTAAAGATGACTCTTGTTCCTTTATTTCATTTTTCAACAATGGTTGATTTAAGACTTATCTGTACTCTTCAAACACAAAAGCATTAATCATAAAGAAGATTGATGGATAAAAAAAAGAAAAAGTAGAGCCTTTAATGTAAAGCCTGTTTTTAAATTTCCCCCTTGAGGTCTATTTATAACAATTGTGTGGCTTTATGTATGAAAAATGGTCATTATTCATTTTTATAAGGCCATTTTCCAACCTCTTCATCCTTTACCATTAAACAGCCTGTTTTTTGTTACTGCGCCTTTAAGACTTAAGATAAATTATCTCTCTTCTGATTGGCTGTACTGTTGTGGCCCTCATTCAAAAAGCTCAGAGCTGAAACACTCCTTAAACGTTCAGCATAAACAGGCGAGGCTGCACTGCTGTAGGATGAATAGGTGGGTTTATGTAAATGAGTTGCTACTCAGACAGAAACAATTCAAAACAGGCAGTTTTAGCAGCTTAGTTTCCATATATGGACTGTATGGATTTTGTAGTGAATAATACTTTTTGAAACTTTAATCATGTTTACATACTGATTTAAACTCATTTATTAAAAAAAAAAAGTGAGGAAAATTCAATTTTCAATGATATTGGCCCTTTAACATTTACACGCATCAGCAATTGTACTGATGCATTACATTTTGGTTGTCACAGCCTTATCATAGCCCACCTTATTATAGCCCATCTTCTACAAGGTAACTTCATGAGAAAAGGAAAAACATTACTAACTTTACTTTTAAACGAATGCTCAAGAAGTCATTTTGGACAATTTCCATTCATCATGAACTGTTCACGCAATGTGAGTGGTAGCTGAATTCAAATGGTGTTTAAAAAAAGTTTTTGTACAGGATTTTGTTTTGATCATCAATGATCTAATGTGTTATATAAAAGAGGAACCACAGTCCCATCACTATGTGAACAATAACTGGCCTCTACTTCTCTGGAGGAACATCCTTGGCCTCCTCCAGCACTGGGAGACTGTTGTCTTCTTCCTCCTTATCCTCGTCCTCCTTATTTTCCTTGTTCTCCTTCTTTTCTTCGTCATCTGATTCGTCCCAGTCCGACTCGCTGATGTCATCGTCTGAGATGTCCCAGTCTGGTTTGGTGTCTTCCAGTTCTGTGGTGATGTTGTCCGTCACCTCTGGCTCAGGTTTGTGTTTGGGGTCCTCCAGCTTGCCCCAGGCCACAGGGTCTGCCTTCTTCAGCGTCACCTCTACTTTAGATGGTACCATACTCACAAAACTGCTCTTCACATCAACTACCTGAAAGACAAACAGCAGCCAAGGTCACATGTACAGCTCACAGTCAGTCACCACCACCAAGTTTCCCTCTTAAAAAAAATAAATAAAAATAACAAAACTTGTATTCTCAAGTTAATAGAATTATTCAGGCTTCAGACATGAATTTGCACTTCTCTGAGTATTATAAAATGATAAAAGTTTTACTTCTACTCAATTGCTTATCCCTCATTCACTTTTCATTTTAGATCAAAATGATTCCAAAAAGAAAAGTGGCCAACAAACTTCAGTTCCTGCGGATAGATCTGGATGGACTAAGTTCCACTGCAGTTCTCTAATACTCAGTACTTAACTCCTGCTCCAGCTGCTTGTTTTTAGGCTACTTTTACTTCTACTTTAGTTATTATTTCACTGAAGTAACAGTATTATTACTTAGAAATGCATGATCAGAATTGGATGATTTTTGTGATTTTATTTTGATTTTGAGTCTGTAATTTTGTTGCTAAGCTAAAAAAGTGAAGTGATCGCACTCGCACTGAAGTTGAATGATGCTGCTATACCAAAACGTCTTAGCATAATTATGCACGACTCATTTGCCAATTGCTGTACTTTGAGTGTTGCCCTTTGTTCTTTGTTTCATATATATATATATATATATATATATATATATATATATATATATATATATATATATAAACCAAAAAAAAAATAGCCAGTCAGGTTTGGCTTTATTCATAAAAAATGATGATTGGAGCAGCTCTACTTTTATTCCATTCTTTAAAGCAGCTCTATGTAACATTTGGGAATTTGGAGACATCTCTTATACAACATGTGGAGGAGCATTGTGTATCATTTGCTTGTGGACCTCCATGAGTGGATGAATCTGATGATTGCGAGTGTGTTGAAGTATTCAAAGAAAACAGTCAAATCTTGCATGACGTTTCTTCTGAGGATGTAAGTGAATTAACTATTGTCATCACATCTTTATCAGCTTAATGCTGATTTTGCATTTGAGACCAAAACATCAAGCTGGACCTTCCTTTTGAGCCTGTGTGTGATATTAACACAAAGATTTGAAATTTAGATAAAAGTCTTTAAAATGATTATTTCAGCCTTTACTGGTCGACTCACAGCAGCACACACTATATTGTAACGATTTGTCTGCTGACTCAGTAACGCTACTTTTTCAGTTTTAATAACTAAAAATACCTTAAATAATGCTGCTTTAATTTGAATCCACATTAGATTAGTTAGCAGGGTTTACAGAGGACTGGTATATGGTTTTCAGTTTATTTTACAAGCATTCTGTTACTGTTTGGTGAACTGAACAGCATGTGTTTTGGAGAATGAATGAAAGAGGTAACTCTTACCCCCCACAGGTGGATGTCTTTGTGAAACTCCTTGTCATTTTCAAACTGAATATGGCATGTCAGCTGTAGCAAAACAGAAGGAGAGATATTCATTACTGCCATAGTCTTCTAAGATGTCATATTCTCCAGCATTTTTAAAATGTATCACTGTGAAACTGGCCTCAAAATATGCTTAGGCGCTTGCTACAACACTGAAATCACAGTGAAATTTGAGTAGCTTGAAAGGCTCAACAAGACACGACACACATTCCTAAATATTTCCATACCTATTATTTATTAACTATGTAATAAACTGGGCTCTAAAGTGGCGCAACTGTCTAAGCGTTTGGTCCTATCATTGGGAGATAATGAGTTCGATGTCTTGTGATGCCACAGACATCTGTAGCAGAGAGTCTAGGAAAGCATGACTGGCCTTGCTCTCTCAATGTGCAGGATGGCCCTACGTCTCCTCAGTTGGTCAATGTGTGCATGCAGGCATTAGTTTCTTAAATGCGGGCATTTGTTACTTAAATCCAATGTTTAGACCACATTGCGAGTTACGAATGTTCGAATCTGATCTGGATCCACACTTGTTGTTATAGTAACAATGTAGTGTAATTTTATCTCACATTCTGACGTCAAGAACTTCTGGCCACTGAATGATGAAAAAACATGTGATGACACATGAAATCTGACTGGTTAAACTGACTAACATCTCCAGATACCCAGTTTTAATTGGATTTGAAACTACATACAAATGAGCCTTGAATCTGATCGGAAAAAAAAGACTTCATGTGGATTTCAGCAAAAAAAACATTTCCTGCTCAAATCAAATATTCCCAAACATTTGATTAGAGCTGCCTGTCTCAACGAAGCCAAGGAACTCTCAGTAGTCAGATTGAACTGAAAGAGTAGCTTCTGCCAACATCACAGAGAGGGGGAAGTGTTAGCGGAAATTTAAAAGTCATCAACTTACCACTGTGCGGTTGGCCTCCACATACGAATGCTCAGGGTTGGCGTTCTTGGCATAGATGGTGACCACCACCTGGTTGGCAGTCTGGTGCCAATCATGTCGACATGCCACCTTCTTCTTATCCTGTCAACCAAGGGCAACCAAACAGTGGCTCATACACAGGGCTGGAAACTCTGTCTGAGCTTATTTTCCTTTAAGGGAATACTCTCATAATTAAAGCAAATGTCACTTTGCTGACAAACACGTTTTACTTTTTATTTACTGTTAGCTACGTTAGCAATCTTGGCTAAAGCCTTCTTTTAAAAGACAAACAAGGCTTTACAGCTAAAAGGCTGTACTAAATTTCCATAGCAAAGTTGATTCTCCATCTGCGTCTGGAAAACCAGAAAACCAAATATAAAAACTTAATAGACTTGGAATTCTTGCTAATTATGCTAGCAAATAACTGAACAGTAAGAAATAAGTATGCTAAGTGTTTCTCCAAAATATCACGACTGTGACAGCTTGCTACTCCTATTAAGTAGGTACACAGAGTATATTATGAAATCCAGTAAGCTATGTTGTACATATAAAAGGAACAAAGAAATGCTTTACCTGTTTGTGTGTCCAGCAATGTTTGCCTGTACAACAGCCCTTCTGATCCAGAAAAGCATTGAAGTCAATAGTCTTTATGCAGCAGCAGCTCCAGTATTTGTATCTGAATGTTGTATGAAACACATATTTAATTAAATCTTCTGTTTCAGCACAGACTATTGTGCAAGAGACAAGAGACTGTTCTGGGTTACACATGCTCTTTATGATATTTAGAATTAGTTAGTACTTTAGAATTTCTATAGTAAATATAGAAAATAATCAATATATAAAAACATCTCAATATGACCAAAATAAACATCCATTAATAACATACACTACATTCAATACTGACTTTTCATGTAAAGCATGTATAACGGTCCCCGATCCTGTTCTTGGACATCTACCTTCCTGCAGAATTCAGCTCCATCCCAAATCACACCTGATCCAATTAATTAAGTGGATTGATGATCTGGATGTGCTCAGCCAGGGCTGGAAGTGAACTCTTTAGTAAGGTAGACCTCCAGAAGTTGCTTAGTTGGTGATCACTGGTATAATGAGTGCAGGCAGCCATACAAACACGAGAGTGATCATGTTATTGTGAATAACGTCATGGCTGTGATTTGGTCGCAGGCACGAGCCAAAAGTGAGATGCCCCTATTATTATTGTTCTATTCATAGATCTATTGTTCTATTACTTTTATACAACAGTTCTGCAAAATAAAGAAAAAATAAAGCAAAGCCCAGAAGATTATATCAAATGTGCTTTAATACTGGCAATTCCTTCCACTAAAAAAGTAGCAGCCTTTTGCGTTCTGGATAGAACAATTACACTGCCGCAATATCAGGTTCAGCTCAGTTTTTTTAAACTTGCCAGATGAACCTAAATGTTGTTATGTTATAGCATGTCTGTAAAGCAAGGGTGTCCAATCTCATCCGCAGGGTGTCTGTAGGGCTACAGGTTTTCATTCCAACAAAGTAGGAGCATAAAAGATTCCACTTGTTTTATCAGCGGATATCACTCTTAAACAATCAACTGTTTTGCTGGATTGAAAACCTGTAACCAGAACGGCCCTTTGTGGATAAGACAGGACATAAATGGTGAAAAGCATTTCACAGTCCGTCTTGTTTGCTTATTGTTTATTTGTTCTGCATTACAACTGCAGACTGAAAAGTTCGCTTACGAGCAGCGACGGATTTAGAATTTGATGTAATCCTGCTGTCAGAGTCTTCTTCAGAATCTGACCAAAGAGTCTGCAGGTCAAATATTACCTTATAGAAGTTCTCATGTATCCATTTCCTGTTTAATATACACTAAAGTAGAACCTTAGTAACAGCTAACTGCAGCAACACATGAGTCACTACTTAGCAACTGGTGCTAAGCAACCACCCAGTTAACGTGAAAACACATGTATTTATAACAAATAACAACATGGATAGAATGCTTCTCAACTGAACAGACTGTGCTGAACAGATTGTGAACTAACTGTTATATACACAGGCTATATAACATTATTATATGCATCATAGGGATTCAAATATTAGAGTATTTAGAATGATTTTTAATTTCTAACTGCATTTTAATGTTAATTTCATTTATTTTTAATTTAGGACTTAGAGAGAAACTGACAATAACAAATATATCAAAGAATGGAATCTCACCCCTCGTGAAAGACTGGTGCTCCAGGGTGATATGTGCAGGTCTCGGCATTTGTCTCTGGGCCCTGGTAAAGCTACAAACACACCATAGCAAATCAGTCATTTTCTTAAGTCACCCACTATCTGCCTCCACCTACACCTGCACATACACTGCATAGCGAATCAGCGATTTTCAAAAGCATCAGCTCTCTGCCTCTGCACCTCAGAGAACACAATACAGTGACTCAGCAGTTTTACACAGATGAAAAGGATGAGACACTGGTGCACCTAAAAATGCTCAACTGTGATATTTTCAACTTGTCAGTTCACAGCCTTTACGGACAGCAATTTCCTTATTATAGCTTCTAAAGATATGAACATACACAAAAGTGGACAAAAAACACAATTATCAGGGCTAAATTGTATAATTCAATCAATAAATTGTAAACAAACTCATTCAGAGTGGTCTGATGTGAAACACTATTCTAGAGTAACATAACGAGTCAGAAATGTTCAGTGCAGTGGTGAGAGGAAGCAGACATCCAAACATTAAACATATATCATAGAAAGTGATTATATGAATTCATGAATTTGAATGTCTGAGACATTGTCTTACGATAGTTTATAAAAGGTTTTGGCCTAGAGATTCATGCAGGGCAGTATAAGGCAAAACAGCCCCCAAGAAAACATTTTTTCAGATGTACCACTCTTTTACCATTATTAACATTACATCTAAAAATGTAGAAGACAAGTGTAGATTCACTGGTCGTTTTGGATAGTAAATAAAATGACTACATGATTTGTGTTGCTGACATTGTGATCTCTCATTCCTAATAACCACCACTGTAGAATCTAGAGAGAGTTCTCTTTAATGCGCCATTTCATATTAATCTAATCTGAGTGCCTCTGTTATTTGGTTCACAATGTATCACAATGATTAAATTATATATATAGAAATGTTGAAAAATAGGTGGAATTTCCCTTTAACCCATTTTAATTTTATATTTTTCTTCAGAACGTCTGTCTTTTGGTAACAATAGTAAAAATGTGACTGTGAATAAAAGTATGTAAGTTACATGTAATAAAAAATAATGAGAAACACTGTAACTATACACAATTTCAGAAGTTTAGACCAATCAGAACAAGTCCTTTGTCATTTCTCATCACACTAACTGTAGCTGTTGGACTTGAATGGGTTAAGGTGGAGTGAGAAAGAACACAAGCCTAATGCAATTAACCTGTGACAGGTGTAAGCTAATGGACACGTTCATAAAGTAATCAGAGCTTCTTCACTCTGACCTTTCAGACTTACAACCAATTACTTTCAGGCTATTAACCATCAGCCTGCACTTCCACATAATCTAACAGCAGGAGGAGTTGAGATCAGCTCCCATTAGAGGATATGAACCTGCAGCCTTAATGATAATGAGACTAATTCTCTCTAATCCTGCTGCAGGGCCTCTCCAGAGGCTGCAAGGTCAGAGGCTGTAGTGTACGTAAGTAACAGAACAGGGCTGCAGGGCGGGCTGTGGATCAGGGTTTGTTCATTAGCTCTTAAAGAGTGAGGCGAGCACAGGTACGAATGACTCTGAGGTGAGGAAATGTAGAAAGGAGTCTGAAAGCAGACACCATTCTGATTGTCTTCTAGTCCTGAGTGGTATTAGTACAATTCAGTATCACAATATTTCCACAAACAATTCCATTGATATTTCAAAATGTCTACATAATTCAATCATTAGGATATCACTCAGAGAGAGTCACTCAGAGTGGTTTGAGTTGAAAGCCTCCATTCTAGAGAAACATACTGAGTTAGGATTGCTGTGGTGGTGATAAGAAACCAGACACCTGAAGAGTTTAATGCCTCTAAAGATACATCACAGGAAGCTGTTACATGAAATAATTACAAAGACATTGTCTGATTCCTTCAACATTATGACAGTTTTGAGACAGGGCCTAGAATGTATGTTTAAACATCAATTCATGGTTGAGAGGTACTTGCAGTGCCCTGTAAGACAAGTTATTTCGCAAAGAAAATGATACAATTGTGGAAAATAAGTTATCAACATAACATAAAACTCAAGACATGTGTAGGTTCACTGGTGGTTTGGCTATATTTGTGTTGTAGGTACTAAGAACCCCAGTACCTTTAAACTGTGTGAAAATCTGAGTCATTTGGATTCTTTACAATTAATAATTTCAAATCAAACCACTCTGTATGACTTTTTGAATTACATTTATGAAAAAAAAAAAACAGAAATTTTGCAGAATAATCAATGAAATAATAATAATAATATTAATAACAATAATAAAAAGTTTGGCAACAGAACCAGCACTATTTTGTGGAATAGAAAGCTGTCACTCATATAATGCTCTTTATCTATAAATTCCTCTAAAACTGAAAATCAGTATCATCATGTAACATCAATACCAGTATACTGGTATAGACGATCTATATCTTCTAGCACTAATGTGTTTTTTTGGACAGGCAGTCAAATCTGTTTGCTCCCCACCCTTATTCATTAAGAACCTGATGCTTTTCTTGAAGTCATCAATCACATCTAACCAGATCCTTTTAAATCCACATTCATGGCCTACAGTTACTAAACAAAACATCACTTCTGTTTTGTCTAATTCACGTCTAAAGCTAATCTGCTGCATCCACTTTCACCACTAGAGGGCATAAACGCTCAATTTTTCACACTTCCAGTGAAGTAAGTATAAATAATGCATCAATGATCAGGCAGGGGATTCTGCTGATGCCTGACTCTGGGGATGTGCATGAGCTTTAAGCATGTGGATGGTTTATTAATTAAAGGGCTCATTATGAGAGTTTAAATAAGGTCAAATTCTGAGGAAAGCTACAGAAATGATATTTAATTTCTCCTGGACACATGCACCGGCCTGCACACAAGCATTGCCAGAAACACTCACCATTTTGCAACCTGCGTTCTTGCACTTTGTGCCGACGATGACGTCTTCTCTCTCTGCGGGGCAGAAAAGGGAGAGCAGAGGGACTGGTCACATGACAGGAAGTAGTGAACAAAGTGTGCTGAGAAAAGGGGAAGAACGTGTGTCTCCACCTTAGATTGCAATCTTTGCAATCTTCACATCTTCACAATGGTGTCGCAATGGATAAAACCGCAAATAAACAATGCAGAGGAGCACTGCAGAAGGCGAGCATAAAACTGGGTGACAGTTATTCACAGAGGTTTACAGATACAGCACGCTGTATTTTCTACTCAAACTGGAACAAAAGCCAAGACATCGAATAGTGAATGGAGTGCCATGGAGATTCACGGTCTGGGCATGATTGTGAACCTCATTGAACAGAGCACCTTCACTATAAATGTTTATACCCTAAATAGTAACGATCTTTATGTTTTGATATTTGTTCATCTTCAAATGCTAAAAGGGGACAGTAAAGCTTTTGTGCTAATATCATGCTAATTAAGCATTGGATTTACTTACTGCTTGACAACTTAGTATTTAGGGTGTGCCACTGCTGCAATTCCATATCTCTCAGTGGATGAGTGAACCATATAAGCCTTTATGGTGCTACTGAAAGCTATCAGTGAAGATTCACTCTCATAGATTTCATTTACATCTGTAATTCCAATTCCAGTCATGAGGAACACCACCCTGAACAGTTGTCTTGCTCTAGCTAATTACCCAGCCCTCAATGAGTTACACAAGGGGTCAGGGGTGTTGTGAACACTGGAACTGACTACCCAGTGCCTCCTGTTGGAGGGGAGCCTGAAGGGCTTATTTACCCTGTTTCCAGTTTACTAAGTACACCTCCCTTTAGATATATTGGCTAATTTATTAGAAACACCTACCATATAGGTGCACTTTGTAAGTCTATAATTACTGACTGTAGCCCAGCACAATTTGTCAGCCCCACTCTACCCGGTCCTTCACTGGAAATGGGCCACCATAGGACCAGACAATATTTGGGTGGTGTATAGTTCAATTATTTTCAAATGTTTTTAAGAGATGGGAAGGTCACCCACACAAACTACATTAACCAGAAATGTATGGGACAACATGAAATGATTCAGGACAATGAAGTCACACAAGGAGGACTGGGAAACAATGGGTTAAAAAGATAGTAAAAGCCTTCTAGAGATTATCAGGCGATAGGTTACAGTAAGAGCTTTCACACTGTCCTTTATGAGACCATTAATGTGTCTATAATGGCTGTGTGGTGGGAGCAGGCAGCTCACCTATCTTCTCCTTCTTTTCTCTCTCAACGATTTCCATTTTCTCCAGGATCTGTGCCAGAGAAGGTGCCACCTTCACCTTCAGCTTGGTCTTGGGCTCATCTGAGCTGGAGGAACACACACACACAAAATACACATTTCCTACCTTAAAAAAATTCAGAGAAGCAGTATATTTTTCTACTGTCTTGACAGATGTCATCAAATCAAAATCCATTTTATAAGTCTTGTTCTTTTCTCTCTATACCTGTAAGAACCTCTCAGAGAAGAACAGACACAGACAGGGAGAGTGTATGTGACAGGAATAGAGAGAGAGATACCTAGAGGCAGAGGTATAGTGCATGTCTTGACTTAAGTGTTTTATTATTTTTTACATGTTCCATTTGTTTAAAACTGAAAGAGCAAAACTATTTTTTGGTACTGTGTTTAAGGTTAGAGTAGTGGTCGACAACTCATTACAGATAGATATCAACATATATATGGGACACATCATTATTACATTTACTTATTTCCATTACATTATTTCCATTTATTTAATTTTGAGTGAAAACAGACAGGTTTTTTTATTTTTATTTTTCAGTGTCAGGAAAAAACACTAACAACTAAACATCATATTAAATTTTTCAGTAGTTAGTGTGTACATATTTTGTCTTTATTACATCTTCCATTCTTTTCAGATCTGCTTCAGTTTTTCAAAGAAATCTGCAGAGATAGTTTTCCACACCTCCAAAGTTCAGTCTTGGACGTTGGTTGCATTTTCTGCTTCTCACAATCATAGTTACAAATTAAGACTCTCGGTTGTTTAGTTTTGGTGTTCAACTGCTCTTTTTATAAATTTTCTTTTCTCAGTAACAGCTTCTTGACAGCTACACATCCTTTCAGACTCATAGTGTTGAGTTCTACTCACAGTGAAAGGATGGACAGAAACACCTGTGGATTAGATCTGAAGAAAGAGTGGAGCCTGACTTTCTCCTCTCTCTGTCAGTTTTGGTGGTTTTGAACCCTGATTTTGGAAAGCCCTGCTTTTTTCCCACCTTTTTTCCTTCGAAGGGAAACATAATGTCAGTGACCTCTTTTGGCTTTTGGAGGACACAGCTAAAACTCACTGGTTTTAAGATCAGAATGATGAAAGAGTTAAAGTGGCTAAAATTAATCACTAAGAACTGATATACTTAGGAAGCTTTTGTGTGATTCTCTGTTAAACTTATGCTTCATAATTTTTTAACTGAAAAATTAATGGCTTGTACATAAAGAGTACATAAACGGCTGTTTTGACTGAAAATTTAATGAAAGGCTCTCTGACTGCGCAGTATTATATATAATACATATGGGACATGATTTTCCCTATTAGTTCTTACATATACTGACACTGTATAGAAACAAATCTGTGTAGGTACCTGGGTCTCTCTCTCTCCAGTGCTTCAGCAGATTTAGGGCCCTGGTAGATGATCTCTTCATTGCTCTGGTGTTTCTGCTCGCCTTTATCAGACGTCACCTCCGGCCTCAGCGGCTCCTCTGGCTTTATATTACTATGGCGGCCACGAACACAACCCTGATAATCACAAGACGTAAAGCGTGAATCAAATGTGAAAAGGCATAAAGATGCGTCACTACATTCATCATTGTATGTCTCTCACTGAAGGATGCTTATTTGAATGACTGACAGAAACATGTGGAGATACTTCTACATTGACGTGTGGAAAACGTGCTTTGTATCAGAGATGGATCCTTTACCTTGATTGAGAGAAACTCCGAGAAGTCTGTAGTTCTCTTCTTACAGCAGGACCAGCCCTGAGGAGAAGCAGAGAGAGCATAAAGAAACTACACTACAAACTACTTACACCAATAAAGGCTGTAATGTCACAGTAATAAAAAAAAAAAATTCACTAAACTAATGGTTACAAATCAATGTCCAAGTCTAAAGACTAAGATATGTAGAGCAGGGCTGAGAAGCACTGGCCTTAACGATAATGAGGAAGAAAAAGCGTTGATAATGTGAGTCATGTATTAAGACTAGGCTCAGTGTGTGATGTGCGCTGGTCCACTGCAAGCTTACCTTTAGTGCATCATGGAAGATGGGCACTCCAGGGTGATAACGACAGGCATCTACAGTGACAAAGAACAGACAGACGTTTAACAATGTTTCAGAAGGGTCACATCCTGTCTCACTGTGCCTAAATGGGTGTGTGTCATATGACATCACACATGTTGCAGTACGCCCCAGCTGACCCCACAGACGAGACACTCTAGGGACATTTATGGCTGTTGGTAACAGCTGTGGGCAAGAGCAAGACCACAAGACCACCAAAAAACTCCCTCCACAAACACGTGGCTCAGTCACAGCTGATCTATACCTCTTATTTATTGTCACTATCAGAACAAAACCTTGTACCTCTATTTTTTTTATATTCTTCACATAATTTGAAAATGCCTACTGCCTTTTACAATGTGTCAATGTTTCATTACAGAAGGACCAAACCAATTTACATTATGCCCAAATGTTACATTAACTTACACTGAAAGTTCTTTATCCCATTAGATAATTTTTTTTTAAATACAAGGTTTTGCAATGACAGCAACAATGTTATGTACACTAACAATTTGTTTTAGTTACAGGAACATACAGTAGTTTTTACAAATGATACATGGTACAGAGCCCAATGGTACAGAGCCCACTGCAAAGAAAAGCAGAACAGCTACGTTTCCTCTACAAGAAAAGTAAAAAATGTGTATCCGAAAGGCTTCATTCAGCCTCCCGTGCAACTGGGAAATGGTTGAGCTTCTAGAGAACTAGTAAGAATTCAAACTATCAACAATGCTGGCAAGTAAGGTAAATAAGGCAGTAAAAATAAGTCTTACCGTCCGAGTTTTTGTCCTCATCATACCTGTCCCCACAGCCTCTGTTATAACACAGTAAAGCCATGTCACTCTGATCTGCTCTTAATCACTATTCCTTTTTATTTTGGGTGCTCTTTCATTCAGCAGCAGCTACCGTTCAGCTTGCCCTCTCCTGGTTAGTCACAGCAACTTAAAGACTCCTTAACGCTCCAGAACTTTCAGCTGTGGAGAAGGAGAGATCCAGAAAGAGCGATGGTATTCAGGGAGGTACAGAGTGGACTAGAGAGTGGGGGGAGTAAGAGAGGAGAGAGAGAGAGAGAGAGAGGTGCCTGAATGAAAACTAAAAATAGTCAAACCCCCCACTCTACCACCTCACAGCTGTTGAGTTTTATCTGAAGTTTGACATTCCTGATATCCACTACAGACAGAGATCCTGATAGTCGCTCAGAGCAACTACCTAAAATAAAAGAATGGTAAAAGCAATAATAAGGAATAACTACTCCACTAAGCCTGTTACAGTTCTTAAAGAGAAATTCCATCAATATTTTTTATATATGTAATACTACCTTCTGATAAAGGAAACAGCTATGGGGGCAGGTCTCCCACCATGCCTGTTTGGACAAGGTGGCCAAAAGGTTTTCCTTTTGTGATGCTCAGAGATCATTACTCTATTGTAATGATTAGGACTCAGCTGAAAGAAACTGCTAACTGCTTCTGTACTATTGTAAAAGGACACATAATAAATAAATAAATAGACAAACAAACCAGTAAATAAAACTACCTTTTTTGTAGAGAAACTTTAAATCAGTAAAACTAACTATCAATGGTTATTTCTAAAAATGAAAATGAGGGAAACGAAATGAAAATGTTAAGGTGAGAAGATTTTTACATATTAAATGATATAATTTAAAATTCAATGCTAAAATGTTCAGGACAAAGCAAAAACAAACAAGCACGCTGCAATAGTTGCTACAATATCTGGGACAAAAAATAAAACAATTCATTAAATTCCAAATGTTAAAACCTTTTAATAGAAACAAAAAGAAAACCTAATTTAAAATCACTTAAAATAAAATAAAAAACCCACAGGAGTACCCAAATGTTACAAATGCGTTCTTTATTAAGAAATTGGTGAGCGCGAGCGATAAATCGATATATTCACAAGGCATTCATTCATGGTTCATGGTAGGAGCTTGCATCACAGATACGGACAACATAACCAACTGAAAACCAAACATACGAAAGAAACGACTCGAGCAAAAACGCACAAAAAATTAAAACCTATCAGACTAGCACAGCCAACCACTGATAAACCAGTAAAAACAGGAAAATACACAGAAGAGCCCATTACACCCACAACAACAGTTTGCTTATTCAACAAAAAAGCACCATATTTAATAGATCTTTGCAAACAATACATGGAATTCTGAAACTTTGATTCCTCAAGCATGTCAGATAGAAAAAAAAAAACATGCAGGAAAAAAAACAAACAAAAACTTCAACAGAACCAACAAACTCAAAATGGAATCACATCACACCTCTTGGTCCTGAATCAAGCATCTCATTGCAGGCATAGAAAAGAAGATTAAGTTTAAACTGAACCAGGATCGTTAGATCATTGGTTTCAACCAGTGCTTTATACCCCATTTATCTCAGAAAGGCAGTTTCAGATGCAACGTTAGAGGAGAGACTCTCAGGCTTCAGTAATAGGTGAAAGGATGTATTAACTCCCACCACACCAAGCATTCAACTGTTCTCAGCAACATTCACCACACTGGATCCCAAACATCTTCCACACTTTAAGATGGGAGTTAAAAAATGGTGAAATACAGAAAAGCCTGAAACATGTTGAGGTATGAGGAGCTTATGAAGAATGATGTTATGAGATGGTCACTGTGAGCCAAAAAACCCTGTGTTAACTTCTTTCCACCCAACTGTACTCTGGGAAAGTATGAGCAAGTTTTATTTATTTATTTGTTTGTTTGCTATCTAACACGGACTAAGGACTGTATTCACAGTTTGGCTTCTTGAGCTAAGCGTCCAGCAGAAACCACTATGGCCTTTGTCTGGCTTGACCTGAGGCAGGGTAAAAAGTAGACGTTGCAACTGGTATCTGAGGTACTGCAAATCTGGAATTACAAACTGATGTGACCTTATAATAATAACCGAATAAGGTTCCAACACCAGGGAACTGCTGATATGTTGCTCTAGCTAAAATCATTTTGATCATTTTCTCTAAAGGGCAAATGGGAATTGTACTTCGACATGGCAGCACTGAGTAGTGTCCAGCTCCATCTCTGATAACTCTAGAAAATTCCTGAAGTCACAAAAATACCACGCTAAGTGCACACTGGCTGGGGCTCCAAGTGCAATTTTTATTGGGGGGGGAGGTTAGACCCACTGAACTACATTTCCCATGATCACCAATTTAAGTGCAACTACATTTTGCCTTTTTGTAGTTCGGTGGATGAAGGTGTTTCACTGACAGGAGTTAGGATTTAAATGACAGATGAGGAAAACATACAACAAACAACTTAAGAAAAGAAAATGATTTTATTTCTGAAAGAATGAAGTAAAACAAAAGCCCATGATTTTATGTAATATGTATTTTCCATGCTTATTAAAATCAATATATTTTTGCATAAATAAATAAAAAAAAAAAATGTACAAAGGGGTTCTCCATAAACATTTGGAAGGTGTTTTCTCCCATTCTCCTTCTCATTTGGCATTGATGATAAAACTAGTAAAATCTGCAGCCTTCCACCCCAGGGCTTATAACACAGAGATGACAGTGTTTCTATTGTATATCTATATATATACCTATATATAAATGCAAATATCTCTTGTTCAGAAAATTATAAGCAAAAATTAAAAAAAAATAATAATAAAAAATAAAAATAATACATTGCAGCGTATGGGTATATACAGAATACATGAGACAGAAATCGAGAAAGTCGAAAAACCACAGAAGTAAAAAAGAAAGCGTGCACAACATTAGACAAAAATGACAACCACATAACACACAAGGTTTTTCCTAAAGGCTCTCTGGTGACTCTGAGGTGAGAAGGACCCTGTATATTCCCATGAAAGTGGCCTTCAGCCTTTGGTCCAGAGCCAGAGTCTGAAATCCTCCCAGTCACTGTAGCCAAGAATTCTAAAAGCTGAAAACTCTAGAACTTCCATGACCAAAAATTTTAGAAGCCCCTCTGACAGAGAATTCTAGAACCCCTCTGATCAAGAATTCCACATGTTGTGAATTCTAAAGTCCTGTGGCTGATAATTTCACAGGCCAAGAATTCTAGAACTTCACTTTAAAGATCTTAATGCATGACAGAGTTCTATCGCCTCTATTATAATTCTAGAAGCCCTGCTGACTGTAGGATGCTTGCAACTGGCTGTGGAGCAGATGCACTGAAGGCTTTCTAGAACCAGAGAGCCAGCAGAAGAAGCAGCAGCAGATCCATTTGGCTCTTGACTGTCTGGCCTAGCACTGAGTTCAGAATGAAAGCTGGGTTTCACAACCTGTGCAGACCAGCTGAAGGTTTGGAGGACCTGAACCTGCCAGTAGCAACCACTATAGGCCTTGGTCGAGTCACATACAAGATAGAGAGAGAAAGAGAGAGACAAAGAAAGGGAGAGAGAGAACATGTCAACTCACCCAGTTTAAATAGTATAAGACCTTTCATGCACAGGCATGTCCACGATGAATAAAAGCTTGAGTCACTGTGATCTGCATGCCTGAAGCTGGATGAGGAGATCTTTCCTAAAATTGTCTAAGGACAGAGCATAATCTTAAATCCAAACAGCTTGCTACAGCCAGTACATGTGGTGATTCTGCTGTGAGTGACCACTAGAGGGAGCTACAGTAACAAGAGTGTAATAACTAGTACATCCTTAGACCCAAGTTAAGCTCGGTACTGCTTTGTAACAACAGATAAATGATATGGCAAGTTCTAACTGTGATGACCTTTTGTAACATTTAACTTAAGCTTGTAAGGTAAAAGACACTAAATATCGCTTCATAGTCTTGGTCTCATCACTTGACCTTTGGCATGTCACTGAAAAAGATTCTCATGACATTGAATTGAGTGAAGATCATGCATTTTTAATGGTACTGGGCACAACACAGACCATGCACCTAAACATAGGACATAGCTAAACCTCTCTCACGGCTTCTCTCGAAAAACTAGCTCCGAATACACAAGGTAACCTCCATGATACGGGCCGAATTGCTAAAAATCCATGCACAAAGGAGCAAACAGACACAAAAAAACCCCAAAAAAACAGCAACAGTTGGACATCTAAAGCACCATAAGGAAAGAGATTGACAGAACTCATCAGACTTGCAAAGAAGCTGTGCTTATCAACCTCTGTGCCAAAACACGCTTTGACTTTAAAAAGGGATGAGAGTCCCAGAGGCTCTAGAGATCACCATGGAAACCCAGGTTCATGAGCGTACACACACACACACAGAGAGACTGAGGCTGATTCTCTCTCCTACATGTCTGGTGAACAGCTCTCAACAAATCAACACCTTTCCTCACTTCACATTCGTTATACTAAATAATGACATCACCAGTACGCTACTGTGTGCTAACTTTTGTTATGACGCCTGGTGGTGCAGCACAAGTGGGAGACATCAGTCAGTGGGCCTGAGAGCAGTCACTGAAAGCAATTCGCACACAAAATGAGTGCTATGTTTCATGGTGTTACGGAGGAGAGATGACTGCATAGGTCAGAACAGAGAGGGAGCTGTAAACTCTACAGGGTGAGGCTGCCTCAGCATACTGACAAAACAGGTACTGGGGCTCACAGATTAGAATGATGCAGTTAAAGGGAGATAAAAGGAATCTAAAAGTGGGTATGCGCTAGCTCCAAGGTGGCCTTAGAATGGCTAGTGACAGGAAAAGGCGACCTCAACAGCTTAAAAGAAATATTCCAAGGTTTTTCCAGTCATTATCAAATCAGTTTCTTTACTATGCTTATTAAAAATACTGTATTTATTCACCCTCTGCAGTTTTCTCACTTGTGATTGGGCAATCGTTTGAAGCCTGAAATTCCACTAGAAAGTATGTAGCATGACACTTAACGAGTATAACAGCCATAAACTCTAGAGTTCAGTTTATTTCATAGTCTAATTATTGAATAATTCAAAGTAGTTAGTGGATAAAAAGCTTCAGAACAAAACGCCTGGAGTTTAAAGGGGGTTAGCAGCTTCCCTACTGCATTACATTTTTCTCCATCTTTCCTTTGGATAATCCTTCAGCTGCAGGTGCAGAGTTGCCTTGTACAGTCCACAGATCACAGAAGGGATGGAGGGTGAGCTGCTTAAACCACCACTGTGCTGTTTGTTCATCTGAATGCCTGTCACGCTCCCTTTCCCTCTGCTACATTCTAGAAATCGTCTGAGTTGCTGTCCAATCGGCTGCAGTTGCTCATCATAAAGCGTCTGGCCTGTGTGGTTTGAAGCGTACGCTATTCAAAAGAACCATATACAACCATACAACCTTCTGATGACCCAAGTATGGACCAGGGCAGTTGTGAAGCAGTTGGGAAAACACCTCAGTACATATATCTCTTTTTCTTCCACGCACACAATGTATGCATGTGTGTGTCTGACATTTCCCTATCCATGCCTGAATGGTCTGTAGCCACCCTGCCTCCTCCTCTTCTCTCTCTCTTTCCTCCAGGGAGGCGGATAAAGGGGTGAGAGGAGCTAATTAAAGACGCATCAAAGCATCACCTAGACGGCAGAAGCACACAGCCTGATACAGTAAAGAGCAAAAGCTGGAGACCGGCCACATTGGCACACAGGAGAACAGCCACCCGACTGGCACGCCATTATGCTTATCAGAGACAAAGAAAGAGACAGCGAGAAGAAAAAAGGAAAACAAAGACATGCTTTCATGTGGACGTTAGGGACCTGTTCCACACGGGCACTGGAACAAAAACTCATTCTTCGCCAACGTGTTCCATGACAATGCTCATATTTAGTGGATATCTGTCCTACCCAAGAGGACAACAAAACCTGGCAAATTAATTTTCCCTTACCAAGAGGAAAACAAAACCTGGCATATAAATTTTCCCTATCTGTGAAAAAACCAAAAACTGCTGTATGAATTTTAGCCACTAAATTCTGTGAATAATATTGGCACAAGCTACTCTTCATATTCCTCAGAATCCAGAGAGAATATTTTAACATGGCTATGAGCCATGGAAGCGGGGTGTGAAAGAGATGGCATATGTTCATACAAAATTGAAATTACAACTTCTGTCATTTTGGCAACTTAAACAAAAGCAGATTTCAAGCCATTGTAGCATTTTAAAAAGCATGGCTTTCAAACCCATCACTAGCATACACGTAAAATAAACCAACCAAAAAAAGGAGAATGTATTTAACAGCCCTGACCTCTCTAAACTCTCTTAATAGCAGGATAGGTAGCAAATATGGTGCACTAGTTAGCAGAGAAGTCTATGGCAGAGCAGTATAGACATGTTTAGTTTTTGCTTCACAGCCAGGAGCAGATGTGTTTATAAGGACGTTGTACAAGCTGATAAAATATGGTAGGCAGAGAGTGAAGAAGCAGAAAGGTCATGAGCAACACTCAAGTCTTGTCTAAGGTCTGCACAGAAGAGTACAAGTGTGTGACTGCCACCATTTCTGAAACAGCATCCTCACACTTCTTTCACAACACACATGAGAAAACAGGATAGATAGGTGGTTTAGAGGGTTTAGGTTAACCAAAAAGGTGAGGCCATCATCAGTAACTTTTTCACTTTTACAATGTACATTTCTAACCACACATCCAAATGGGCAGAGACCAGCTCAGTGTGATTTGATGTAACTAATCATACACATAATTAAAGTGCTTGTAGGCGCTGTACACCTCAGCTACTGATAAAACATTGAAATTTCCCTTGTTATTGACGTGAAAACAAAACAACTCCATGGATGATTCATTTGAGAATGCTATGCAACAGGTAACAGGTAATGTCTGTAATCCACCTACTAGGCTAGGCAGGGAATGCACCCTGCCAATCACTCCGCACCCAAATAAGCAGTGCTTAGAGGCATCTCAGTAACTACAGTCTTAAAAATAAAAGCTGTCAAAAAAGGTTCTTCTGAGCTACGCCATGAAGAACCTTTCAATGGATGGCTCTTTAAAGATCTACATTTTTATAAATGAGAATTAATCATGAAGAACCTTTTTAAAGTTCAACCTCAACACAATGTACATGTTCTATACGATTTAGAAGATTCTTCTAAAACCATACACCCAAGCCAAGAACCATTTGGGAACCTTTATTTTTAAAGGGTCCATATCCTACATTTTGAATAGGACTTTTTCCCTCTGAACTCCACACATGACATTTGTGTGGATTTATGTATCATTAATCATTTAACATGACCATTTTCTACCTTTCTTTATCCCTTAGAATTAAACAGACACAGTTTTGAACAGCTCAAGCAGTTAAATAGTTTTTGCTACTGGTATACGTACTTGACCTCTGTTTTGATTGATTACCCTGTATTAAGCCTCATTCATACAGCAGCCTTGGCTGTAACACTGCTTTTAACTTCAAGCACACCACAGAATGGGCGGGGCTAAACTGCTGCAGGCTGAATAGGTGGATATATGTAAATGCATTAGTTTTTGTGGCCTCACAAATCAACAAATTCAAATCAGGCTGTTTATGCGGCTTCGCTTCCATACATGGACTGTATGGCTTAGGTATGTTTTGAAACTTTAACATACGACATCAAACCTTTTTTTTTTACTCAAAAATATAGTTTTCTATGGACCTTTAAAGAATGTAAAAACAAAACAATGTTAACTTTAGTCTTTTCTGCCAAGACGACAATGAACCTGATTTAGAAATGACTGATTTACTCAAAGACAGTCTCTCCGAACCCATAAAGTTATCATGTGAAGTATAAAACATGTCAAACTTATAACTTCCCTTGGCATTACAGTCAGACAAAAATGAGAAACAATGAAAAATGAGTAACAGGCCATGTTAACACCCTGTCGTGGTGTGTGTGGGTGTGTGTAAGAGAACGCAATTTCAGACAATGAGGTGAGCATTCATGACAGAAATACACCCTTGCTTCCCCTGTACTCCTCCCTTATGCATTTCTCTCTTGCTTTTCTCTGTCCACTCCCCCCTCTCCTCCTCTGGCTCCCTGAATTTGGTGGTGGTTGGTTTTCCTCGTCTCTCCTCTCACTTGCTCGCTCAGTGGGTTTTTGCCGTCCTGTTTGGCACTCCGCTGTACACGCTATTACATGAACTGCATCTGCACCAAAGAAAGGCAAGAAACCAGATTAAAACCAGACCAGCTGTAAAGTCTTTATCACATCTACAAAATCCCTAACAGGATTATTTAAGTACGTTCTGGATTTCTGAATTTGCCATAGGTATGATATTGTAACATTCCATGTTAACACCCAAAAAACATCCAGATTGTAAAAAAAGAAAATAATAATAAAATAATTTTTCATTTTCAGCAGTGCTAGCATTTCTGGGTTGAGTATTTCGTTGCCCCATACACACTCTAAGGAATCCCCACTGGCAGTGTTATTCTAAAAGCACATCAGAGAATAACTGAAGAAAACAATAAAAATGACAAAGGCATATAGTCACAATGAGAGTTTTTATCATTATATATTTTAAGAGAAAAACTAGTTTCTAAAGCACGTTTAACCAGAAGTTTGAGTTTTGAAAGCAAGTTTAATCAGACGCTGGAGGTTTGGGAGTTCTCTCAGTGGTGTGAAATGCAGTCCTTACTCAGGCTACAGAGAGAGGCTAAAAAAAAGTTTAAGATTAATTGCTAGAGGGGATTTAGAAACACTGTCATGGCAGGTTAGGTGTGCATGTGCAAGTGTTGATGAAGAAAACCACACAAATTTAGCATTTGTTAAAAAAAAAGGTCCAAAAACATAAGAACAGTGTCTGGAAAGCAGAAAGTAGTGATTTGTAAATCCACTTTGACGTGCATTTCAATGAAGACAGTTCAAAGATGAGATGTTTAATGTTTTACCTTATTAAATGTCATTGTTTTTTGTGAATACACACTCATTCTGAAGTTGATGAATTCTGAAACTGATTGAACAAGAACTGAACGCTTGTGACCACTGCATACACAAATCCAAGTTAGGACTTCACTATGCACAGCAAAAAAAAGAGACTGATTCACAGTGGAAACGTGTACTGTGGTTTAAAGGGGCAAACTTATTTACTAAAATAATAGACAGTGAGTTCCCAAGACCAATGCACAAAAGGACCAGATTGTTACCAGTTTCAAGTTCAAAAGCCAGTGTGGTACAGAGTGTATTAGTGCTTAAGGAAGGGGTAACCTGCACATCTGTAAAGGCACCATTAGCACTAAAAGGTGGTAAGTACACATTTTGGAACAACATGCGCTGCCTTCTATACACTGTCTTTTTCAAGGACATCTATGCTAATTTCAACATGATGACACTAAGTCACATTCTGCATGTGTTACAACAGCAAGGCTGTGTAATCAGAGTGAGCAGGTGCTAGAATGGCCTGCCTGCAGTCCTGATCCATCTCCCACTGAAAATATGTGGTGCATTATGTAGAGCAAAATACAAAAACAAAGGCCCTGTAGACCGTACAGTTGCGCAGCTTAAGACCTGTATAATAGAAGTATATACTGCATCAACTTTTAGTAGTGATATAATTAATTCCACAGCATGAAGCAAATTAATAATTACTAGGTGTGCCTTTGTATGTGAAGACTTAATAAATTACTGCACCTAAGGACAGGCTTTTTTGTGTGTGGGTCTAAAATATTCTGTATTATTTTGGTTGTGTGTTCTGTGTATGTACCTGAGCTCCTGGAATTGGAGCGAATGGGTTGGTGGGTCTGAGAACAGGCTGGTTGTACATCATGGGCTGGGGGGTCATGACTGGAACCCCTCCCATCTGTCCCATCTGAGGAGGGACCTGGCAACAGATGTGTGAAATATCAAATTGTTTAGGTTCAACAAGAAAAAGTTTTAAACGTAATTGACTGCATTATTGGTGCACACTGAGCACTTTATAAGGAACAACTATACACCTACTCATAAAAATAATGCAGATATGGGCCAGCAACTTCATGTAATGTTCACATGAACCCTCAGAAGAAAAAAAGTGATCTCAGTGATTTTGACAGGGTTGTGATTTTTGGCATGATTGTCGGTGCTAGACAGGCTGGTTTGAATATTTCTATAACTGCTGATCTCCTGGGATTTTCACACACAACAGTCTCTAGAGTTTACTCAGAAAAGCGCAATAAGAAAAAACATCCAATGAGTGGCAGTTCTTCAGGTAAACACAACTTGCTGACGAGAGAATCACCAGACTGGTTCAAGCTGACAGAAAGGCTACAGTAACTCAGAGATATCCACTCTGTATGACTGTGGTGAGCAGAAAAGCATCTCAGAATGCACCTTGAGGTGAATGGGCTACAACAGCAGAAGACCACATCAGGCTCCGGTTCTGTCATCCAAGAACAGAAAGCTGAGACAGTAGTGAAACTGGAAAAACTGAGCCTTGTCAGATGAATCTTGATTTCTGCTGAGTCACACTGATAGTAGGATCAGAATTTGGCACCAGCATCATGAATCCATGAACCCATCCAGCCTTCTATCAACAGTCCAGGCTGGTGGAGGTGGTGTAATGGTGTGAAAAAAGGTTTTCCTGGCACACTCTGGGCCTGTTAATGCCAATCATTACTTGAATGACACTGCCTATTTGAGTATTGTTGCTGATATGTGCATCCCTTCATGGCCACAATTTTCCAGTCTTCTAATAACTACTTCTAGCATGATAATGTACCACATCACAAAGCAAAAGTTGTCTCAAAACTGGTATCATGAACATTACAAAGAGTTTAAATGTTTTTCAGTGGCCTTCCCAGTGACCAGATCTGAATCAAATAGAACACCTTAGGGATGTGGTAGAACTTGAGTTTCACAGCATAAAAGTGCAACTGCAAAAGTTGCAAAAAAATGTTAACATTGACCAGAAACTCCATGCCATGAAGGAATCCATGCCATGAAGAACTGAGGCTGTTTTAAAAGAGCAAAGAGAGGCCATACCCAGTATTAGTATAGTGTTCCTAATAAAATGCTCATGAGTGTATACAGAGCCTGCTACCCCACTAGTGCATGTGCACTCATGTACTTAGTCTTAATGTTTACATACCAGAGAAGCAACCAGAACGTGTTTTCTTATACTGTACCCCCGTATATGTATAATGACCAAGATGAATAGCTGGATTTTCTAAGTGGCCTTCCAATTTGGTTGCCAACTGTGATTATATATTAATTTTTGGAATCTAAATTAACCTTAATTATAATTAGGCACTTCAAAGGTTCAACCAGTCTTTCTTTGATTCAAAAACTTATATATCTGAATGAATATAGGCTTATTATGTACAATGTCAACTTTCCTAAGTGATACACAATTGTGACTGTAAAACTGAGCAATTGTGATTAATGTGTTAGTCACCATCATGCAACTCTAGTTCTGTGTGTATGTGTGTGGATGTTGACAGTCTGGGCAGCTGATGGTACTCACCATCCCATACACAGGCACTTGAGGTGTGGTCATGGGGAAGGCCATGGGAGCCGGGGCCTGCTGAACAGGACAGAACAGAATGAACGAATTAATGAGCAGAACTCACACATTATGAGCACTGCATTCCAAACAAAGTTATTCTAACTCAGTGTTATGGCTATTTCTTCACAGGGCCACCACTGTGTCATTACTGGTTCTGCATGCATATGGAAACGTTATGGAAAGCTTCCTCTCATCACTGATGCTCTTAGGGCCAGCCTAAGTCCAGCCATTTGTTCTTAACACAGACTAAAGCACTTCTGGAACTGGATTAGTTTTATCAGAGGAGGATCTTTAATGTCATGTGTAAGGTGTCTGACTTGCCAATCTGTATAAGATAAAGATTTAAACCTAATACCCTGGATGTACACCAGCATTATCAGGACTGCAGTACAATTTTTAAATTTCAACGTCTTTTAATAACTTTAAGACTTCAACTATTGAGAAATAATACAATTTCCACAGTGGACCTACATGCACAAACTCAAAAGATGCATGTATTAATCTATTTTTTTTCAAACAGATAGGATGATAATCACACATGGGTGTACACCTGATGTTAAATGTTAGTCACTAGCTCTCTTCTCAGTTTCCCCAACTTCCCCCAGAGAGAGCGAGGCCAATTGTGCTCTCTAGGACTCCCAGCCACGGATGGCTGTAGCATCACCAGGGATCGAACTCGCGACCTCCTGATGACAGGGGCAATGCTTAGACGGTTGCGCCACTCGGGAGCACAGATTTGTCGCTATTAGTGTGAGGTGGATTGGAACAGGGGCTTGTCTCATAAAGCAGTATTTCTTGCATAGCCAGCTAACTTTAAACTTAGATTGTTCTAACCCTGGATTTTTCTGTCTCACAGTGGTGAATCACTTTTTTCCCCCGGATATATCACCTTGGCAAAGTTAAGCTGCTGCTCCAGGTCAGGTTAAATGTGGGATTTCGCATCATAAACAGCTCTTGGACCAATCAGGGCAGAGTTTTTCACCAATCAGGGATAGCCTCATAGCAGTGGACCTCTCCAGTCCAATTTTTTTTATTCTTTGAAAACAAGCAGCTTGACAACTACTCGTTTCACGTGATTGGTTGTTCGTCATAAAGGTCATGCTATCATGTGAATAGGGACAAACACTAACAAGAATCTAAACCTGGGATAAAAGAGAAAAGTGCTGTAAAACATCATGGCTACATTTGTCAGGTTTTGTGGAGCTGAGATGGTTAGGACAGTGACTGAGGTAGCTCCAGGTTTAGCCTTTTAAAGAAGGCCATTCAACTACACAAGTACTATTATCAGATTAGTAAAAAAAACAAAGACAGTGCAGATTTATACTGGACTGAAATCATGGATTATGTGAGCGGTCACTAAAATAACAGAACCTCCCCAGGTAAAACTAATCCAGCTCAAATACGGCTTAACAAAAAAACACGACTCAAGTGACAAAGCAATAACTGTCATTAACCATGACTTTAGATGAATTAAGGTGCTGGGTAGGGAAAAATGCCTTGACATACCAGCCTTTAATAGAAAATATAAAAAATATTGTCTTTTTTACATCTATTCTGGACAGAACTTTTGCATATCACAAAGCTTCAAAGTCACAAGCTCATACTGTAGGCACACTTTGCTGTGCAGCAAGGATTGATTGTGAAGTGATTGTGAGGCTGCGGCTCAAAAGGAGTAAGAGCGAGCAGGACAGAAGCAGTGCAGTGCAAATGCAGGTGTTAGAGAGAGAACACAACAAGAGACAAAGAAACACATCCAACATGTACAGCGATATCAACACACACAGACATTCTACTGTTTCTACAGTGCATGGGAAAGGACAGAAGAGCAGGGTAAAGTCCACAGGACTTCACACAGTGTGCTGAATGTAGAGGAGCTCTGTTTAAACGAATCAAGAGAGGATGTCTGTGTGGGAGAGAAAAAAAGAAGGGGGGACCTCAACTGCTCACGTCAGGTTCAGCCAGGTTTGGATGTTTTTTTTTTCCCCATATGCACGCTCTCTCACATAGCCTGCCCGTTTTTACATTTTCCCCCTGCCTTAGTTTTTCTCCTTACTTTGTTCTTCCTCCCTAGGGCTATATAATAAATCGCATTTTAATCTATCAAAATATGAGCTTCCACAATAAACTCATATGTCATCACATGAAGGGCTGCGATGACAGAATGGATTAAATCATCTCACGTGTAGTGATCTAATTAGACTGGCAGGAACATAGTTCTTAACACTCAGCGTCTCACTTTTTACTTGCAATGGCTAAAAAAGGCGATGCTTTCTCTGCCATAATTACATGATGGATCCAGTTTTTCTACATTCATTTGTGTATCTGTTTGATGTCACGTCCACATTGACGTTAAGTTTTCACTGTGTTTTCCATGTTTTCAGTTTCAGTCGCATCGGTGTGAAGAGCCCTTGTGACAAATATTAATTTAATTTAATAATGGAAAAAATAAATTTTCTGACAGCGTTTTCCATGTATACCAGTGGCCTTACAGCGGGGCACACCACTGGTTTATGCGTAAAACCAGGACTGGAGTTTCAGACCGTGGATCGGAGTGCAGAGTACAGATGCATACAAGACGGAAATGATGAATGACGGACTCCACGTATCAGGTTATCGTTATCAATAATTAAAGATTACTGTTAAGTGGTCTGAGCCCTAATTATCGCTATGTAGTAATGTAACTGGTGCTATTATTAGAACTATCAGGTTTTAATTGGTATTGTAGGTATCAACGGGTCAGTTTACTATAGAATTTAGTACAGAGAGAAAGAGGAAGAGCGAGAATATTATTTGACTGAATGCAGGAGAGACAGAGGTGCGTGTACATGTGTGTGTGTGAGTGAGAGAGACAGAGTACTCTGAAGCAATACTCCAGGGATTATAATACAGGCCGCTCTGTTACATTGGGGTACTTACATAACCAGTATAGAACATTCCACTCTGCTGGGTTAGGCACAGGGGAGACAGAGAGAAAGAGAGGGAGAATGAAACGGAGAGCGAAGGACAGCATGGAAAAGGGAAAGACGTTAGACGTGAGAAAAATGCCATGAGCCAGTGTTGACCACAGAGGAAGCCAGAGAAAGAGAGAGTGAGAGAGAGAGAGAAAGAAAGAGAGAAGCCAGACCGGAGGAGAGAGGAGGGAAAGCGAAAGGTTAGTCTGAAGCACACAGTTAAACAGACAGTGATGTATATCAGTTCACACAGTGGTCAGGTCATAAAACTGCAGCTCGCTCTAATTCTAACTCTGTATCCAGGAAAGGAACACAAAAACAGTAACATCACAGTCTCACGCTAAAGCTGACTGTATCACTTGTTAATAGTTACCAGATTTCAGACCTTAGTGATGTCTTTTTACTGTATGAAGGTGAAAATAGGTGTAGTATGTGCAACTGTGTTTATTTATAATGTGTAGAACAGGGATGTGCATTCTGACTAAAGTTAACAAAGGGACGGATACTCCGTTAATTTCAGGGAAGTTACAAAATAAATAAATAAATTAAAAGCTTAGGTGTTTTTTTTTTTTGTATTGGATGAGTAACAGCTAACATCAGCTCACGTAGTTAGTGAAAATGCTGCGCTACATCCGCCACGTTATATCTGCCTACTCGGTCATGTGTTTAAAAACAGGTCTTTAACAACAACATAATAAAAATACTTGCAAATCTGAGCAAAACTTTCACACTGTGGCCTGAGTAAAACATGCAAATCAGCATTTCAGTGAACTGATAGCCTGTATAATTCTTTAATTTATCTGCCTGTGATAAATGTAAGGGATACTTGTGCAGCGATTTCAGTATTTTAATACAGGCACCTCCAGTGGTTAACTGAGTAGTTGAGTACCCGTGCACATCCCCATCACAACGGACTACGTTGAATGCTAAAGAACGTATAAGCCATGCAACAAAATGTGCTTGAGCATAGTGACTTTTCTAGATTCACCTCACTGTTTTTACATTTTTCTTCATGACAAATTAATTCTATGGTGGGTGTTCTAATTAATTAAGGCATTCATATTATCTAACAAAATATTAATAAAGTTTTTGCATTTTTCACACAGGCTAAGCTTTGACACCAAAGCATGACCGATGTGTTTATAGTGCAATTGAGACAAGTGGCATGTTTCTGCCATTTTAAGCTAAATGATCTGCTGCAGCACAAAAAAAACAGTTTCCATGTTCAAAATAACATCTGTAGTCCTTCAGAGATACTTGTTATTTGCTTTTTTAATTAAACAATTTGGCACATCCCTATCTTCCTGTGGGTTTGAGAGGAGAGAATATCAGAAGTATTGCTATGAATCTACATCAAGAGTGTGTGTTTGTGTATGAACGCTCACCACATGGGGCACAGGCATGGGAGCAGGCGGCATAGGAGCTGGGCTCCAGGCAGTCGTGCTGCTCATGGTTTTGGACTGCCAGTTTGAGCCACCAGTCAGCTTCTTCTCCCCAGGCTGTGTCCACTGCATGTCCGGCCTGAAACAAACACACTCACAGTTACTTGTTTATAAACACTGTCAATGTTCTTAAACCAGGACAAGGGATTATATGCATATCCAACACTGTATATGCAAGTACCTATACATATATTATGTCCCATAAGAATTTTCCAAGCCTACCCCTAATTCTGACCCTAAAGAAATGGTTCAGACAAAAACAAATTTACAGAGTTTTTCCCTGTTATTCCACATGCAGTCAATCAGCCAAGACATGTTTTGCATCTAATGTTTGCACTAAAGCTTTGAGGCTGACATATATAAAAAAAAATAATGGATGACATTAAATTTTTTTTAGTTGACAGGAATGTCTATTACATTATCTTTGCAGCTTCAGTGCAACACTAAGGGGAGTTCACACAGCGTTTTTCAAAGGCTGTGCTGGGCTGGGCTGCACATTTCATTTTACATTTTTACATTTTGGGCTGCAAGTTTCCCTGTTGTTAAGCAACTGCTAGCAAGAGTTAACTGGCTAGCTAAAATGAGACACTTTTTGCGAAACGACAAAAAACCTGAAATTTCTAGCCACTGCACTGATAAGACACCAGCTGTGCTAGCAAACTATCACTTCTCCACGTACACACAAAAGGTTTTAACTACTGCTATCAACTAGATAGCATGGTGCCGTTAGCAAAAATAAGCTTACAGAAATATGCCATGATGTGCCATAATTTCTTCAATTAAAGACAATATAAAAAACACACCTCAGTTCACAAAAAGCTGAAGAAGCAAATTGCAAACATAAAACATGTCTTGACTGACTGACTTCATCTGGGATTTTGATTTCTGGCTGAACCAACACTTTAGCAACTTAAAGAGTTTTACTCTTTCAGCTTAAACAAAAAAAAGGAAACAGATTTAGTAAAAGTCAGGATAATTTTTTTTCATCCAGGTGGTCCTGTTTTTCTCTGGTTTTCCTGCAAAGTCAGGACATTTTTGTCTCAAAAAGGCATGAAAAACACACACACACAAATACAGCTCAGTATTCACAGAACCATTCCACTCCACTATATCACGCATACAGAGCCCAGCTCCACTACCAAATTCATCTTTTTTGCTGCAAAAATAAAAAAAAGATGTTTATAATTGCTACTCACTTTTTGGCTGCAGATCCTCCAAACTGCAAATCTGAAACATGCCAAAAGGGAAGAGAGTGAGGGAGGGAGAGAGGGAAGAAGAGAAGGAGGGGGAGAGAGAAAAAGAGAACAAGAAACAGTGAGAGAGTGAGCAAGAGAGAGAAAGAAATGGTTTCTTAATAAAACAGGACAGGTCTGTTACACCTTCACAGTACTAGCAGCTCTCCAAGCTTCATCACTGGAAGCACATTCATTCATCTGTATGTCCACTGCTCACATGCTCCTACACTCAAACACTCCATATGGCTGCCATGGGTGAGTGACTGTGCTATGTGACTCAAATCTTCCTACAAGAGTCAGACTCCAGTGTCAATTCAGACTGGAGGCAAAACAGAAACAATGATTTGACTTGAGTCTCTCAGATACATGAGTCAGCTAAAGATAAATGACCAGGAAAAGACATGATATCAGTAGTTTTCTGGTTAGACTGTAATTGTTTAAGCTGAGGCTGCCATGATTATTCAATTAAACAATCCTCAATTAACACTAACATGCTCAATGAATCAGAAGTGATTAATTGGCAGTCTGTATGATGCATAACTTTAATGCCTACTGCTCTCTCTTACAGTGACAAAATGAGGCTGTTGGACACACCCATTTATATTTGAATGTTGCCACATAGTGGTTTAATATTTTTTAATGAACACTTCTAAAGTACACTTGAGAAATCTCAGTGCCAATCAACGCTGCACACAATTATCAACACTGCAACCTGACACTTGAATTGAGTTGCGAAGGTAAAAACTGTAACCTTGGATATTGTGATGAATGCTTATTCAAACAAACCACGTAAGGGACAGCTAATCTCCTGAATGAAAAATGCACTGATCAAGTTTCATTGTAATATTTTTAGTGGTAACTATCGGCAACTATTTTTGGTATGCACTCCGCTTTGCTTTTTACTTTCTTTTATTCTTGGCTATATGTGTATGCACCTGTTTCTTATTATGCAAAAATTATACAATAAAAACTGCAACACACACACGCATACAATAAAACCCACACATTGGCAGAAGGGTGTGTCAGAAATGAGGACAGATGGAGTGCAAGAGAGCTAGAGGGTCTGCCCTGTATGTACCTATGTGTTATTTGTTAAGCAGCATACATTCTTGACCCCTTAAGCCAATGCAAAAAAGTGTCTATTTCTGCAGTTTAATCTGCTGCTCTGTTAATTTCTGAGGGCTGCTGTTGCATTTATTCTGATATGAAAAGAACATGATCTATCAAAGTCAAAAAATTGTAGATTTTTATTTAGTTTGCGTCACCAACCACCCTTCTGAACCCCTCTGAGAGAAGTGTAGGGCATGCATCAGCCTTTTTTGGGGGGCCCAGTACCAGGCTTGTCGGGCTCATTGGGTTCATCCAAAGAAAAATAATAAAGAACAAAGAACGAGTGTGAGGGAATAAGAAAGACAATGGAGTGATGAGGGAGAACAGAGGGGATGGGATGGCAGAGATTGAGGAAGAGAGAGTGTGAACTCACTGCCAACGAGATTGGCCAGGGACGAGTCCAGGTCATTGGCCAGCAGCTTCCCTCCTGAATGAGGGGGCATCACCGGACCCTGACTGTGAGCTGGCACAGTGGGCTTCAACAAGTCTCCTAATGTATCAAAACCTGAGAGAAGAACAGAAGGGGGGAGAGATAGAGATAGAGAGAGAGAGAGAGAGAGAGAGAGAGAGAAAGAGAGAAAGAGAGAAAGAGAGAGAGAGAGAGAGAGAGAGAGAGAGAGAGAGAGAGAGAGAGAGAGAGAGATGAAATATTGATGACCATATCATCATTCAAAGAACATGCTCATCTTCACTCTGAAACAGAAACTATACTGCAGAGCAGAGAACGACAGAGAAACACACAGACAGAGCTTGAAGACACTGACATGTTTACAGAAGTATTATTCACACAGTTCAGCAGAGCTGGGTTACAGCAAGAACACAATGCATGACAGAAGAACAGAGATGTTAATTCCACAGCACAAGAGAGCGACAGCCTTCAAAAGGCCCAATAATCTTTAGCCGAACACTGAGGTAAACTACTACTGCAGTAAACTTTCAAAAAACATGCATGCACACATTTGAACACTACACACAAAATTCGCACGTCAGTACGATACGGATGTGTTTTAATACTACATTAACGAAGTCATCATTATACATACTTATCATCTTTACCAGGGAAATGAAAGATTATACTGAGCACATATCAGCAGATATACATAGACAGACATTAAGCTTTGACTGATATTTCAAACCCATGTTTGATGATGTACGCCATAAGAGCAGGACGTTTTCAAAACATTGGACTAATGTGCAGAAACGTCAGTATTTTATTCATTTTACTGAATATGCAATCCTATAAAAATAAGTGCTACATTTCTCTCTAATGCTAATTCAGGTAGATGTAATCCCAAATTTCTACAATTTATAAATGTATTATTTGTAGATACACATCTTCTCTAAGCGTGTAAAGGTCTATGATTGCACTGTTTGTGTTTGTTAAGAAGTCTTCTACAGAGGCAGTCCATTGAGTTGTGAGTGAAGGAACGCGGTGGTCATTAAACTGATTCATACAGCTCCCATAAGCGCTGCCCAGAGGGGCGATCACTGACCTCCTTAACACTCAATCACACTGAGTAATTCAGTAATTCCTTCTGTAAACAAGAGAGACCACCAGCCATTCAACTAATGACCCAAACGTTACTGCGAGACAGAGCAAGAGAGCGCACAAGAGAGTGAGAGAGTGAGAGAGAGAGAGAGAGAGAGAGAGAGAGAGAGAGAGAGAGAGAGAGAGAGAGAGAGTCAGGCTGGTGGACAGTGTGCTGACAGAGGCCACATTCAAACAGTGTGACTTACTGCTTCGCCAGCAGGAATGGAGGGACTGAGATAAAAACTAGTGCACTCACCACATCACACAGCCAGCACAGCCCGGAAGAGCAGGGAGAGAGGGATGGCAGGGGGAGAAAGAGGATGAGGGAGAGATATGAGAGAGAGAAAGAGAGAGAGAGAGAGGGAGAGATAGAGAGAGAGAGAAAGAGAGAGACAGAGAGACAGAGAGATAAGGAGTGTCAAAGCTCTGGAGTTAGCAAGAGTGGAGGAGGGTGTGTGAGAGCTTGTGTTGTTTTTGGATGAGGCTGAAGTGATGGGCGTCTGACAGACGGAGAAAGTGCGAGTCAGCACCCGCCCTCTAATAACACACACACACAGATCAACAGGAGGCACATACACACGCACACGCTTTGAAACTGCTAACGAGTGCACACAAACTGAAGGATGGAGAGATGACAACAGACTGTTCACAGCTACAGCCCAATGGATTGAGTGAGAAAGCAAAGTGAGAAAATAAAGAAAGGGAGGAGAGCTGCTGCTTCCCGCACAGAAACAAAGCAGACTATGCACCCCACCAGCCATCTAGAGAAGAATTTTCAGCATGAAAGAAACACTCAAGCACTTACTCACTGGTGTTACAACACATAGATTTGACTATATTATTGATTTTAATAATAGACTTATTTCTCAAACAATTCCATATGCTGGAAAATTCTGAGCAGAATCCCTTGAGTGTTCCATTAACTATGCTTTTATCCTTAACAAAGACAAAAGTACCGCAAACTGCGCTGTCTACTGAATTGTGCTTGCGCATCTTGAGCTGAGGCTGAAGGCAGTTAACTGAGCTGCTCACCCAAAATCCCCTTCATTGTCACATTCAGACGAAAATGACATTTTGACTCAGTGCAGATAAGAGCGCTAAATGCGGCTTCACCCGCAGAAGACAGAAGTTTTATCATGTGTCCACAGCAGGCATCCATGGATGGACAAGCTCCATCAGCCTGAGGCTGCTCTTAAAACTGCCTCATTCTGGTCTATCCTGCTTTAATGAAAGCTCTCAGCAGGCTGTGCAGGAGTACCTCATATTTTCAGTTAGGTGTATTAAAATATCACAGAAACCTCAAGGCTTCTGACGTGACACTAGAAGCATTCTGCACACTTAAATTACAACGTGCGTCCAAAGCTATTAAAAAATATATGTTAAACTTTTATTAAACTTTTAATAATTATACGTTAAGTGGGTGAGGGTGTAAGAATTTCAATACAGTATCAAAAAAATACTTTTTAATCGCCAATACACCTTATCAACTCTTGAGGATTGCTCATTTGCCGTCTTCCGCAGAGACCACTGTAAATGATTGAAACTATGTAAGTGCATCATATCAGACTGAGATGGGAGGACACTGGGCAGGGTTATGCTATGCACGTCCAGGTGTACTCGTTTATGTGCAACAACTCCAGAACTTCAACATATACACATTATTAGAAGCATTATCATGTGTTCAAAACATTTTAGGATGAAATAGTAGCTAGCACTTACATCCCACATACGAATACTGGCAGAAATGCCAGTAATGCTGTCGGCATGGCAATGTTTAAATGACTTCATGCTGCTGTTGGCTGTGTACAGCTGCCAATTCTGCTATGAAGTGGGGAAAGGCAGTTTTTCAACAGCTACATGTAAACACAGCATGAGGATTGCAATGTTGGGAGTTATTTTGTTCAGATGGCTAGCACAGTTAACCATATCTCAGCGAAACAGGTCTGTGTAGCACATAAATAGCACTCTGTAGAACAAAGACATTAACATGTAAAATATTGAAAATCGAATCTTGCACTCGGAATCAAAGATCACATCGAACCTGAAACATGCATCATAACACCCCTACCAATAACACTCTTCAAGAACAGAATAAAGGAGTTTAATTTTTACTATTGAACAAAGCATTTTATTCATTTAACCAAAGTCCAGGCCTAAGAAAAAGAAAGCATCATAGAGCAGAGAGGTTAGCTGGACAGACAGCATAGGTTATTTAGCTTGCTGCTTGGGGAGGCAGCAGTGGGTTAGATGCTTAATTAAGCTCATTTACTGGAGATTTTACCAGCTGCTGGCTTCACATCATTATTGGCACTTTGCGTTCCAAACACAGCGTCAAAATCTACATTCATGGTGGGTATGTGAGCAGTGGGCTGTGGAGCACTGCTCTCCAGACCTGAGAACAAAATCACACATACACAAATAAAACTTAGTCTCAGCTCTTACAGTGTTTGATCGTTGTCACACTATGGGTCTCTCAAAAGCCATACACAAACATGACTTTCATAGACATAGATAATTGGGTTTCCACTTCCTCCATTATTATGTTTCACACAGCGCAAAACAATAAGAGAGAAACCATCTTCTGCTTTTTGTTTCTGAACTACCCTTAACTACCACTTCATTGTCTTTCCCGTTCTTGGGTGCGCTAAGGCTGCATGATATGGACATAAAATGCAATAATAATATTCTGTGATAAATGTTCTATAAAGTTGTTGGATATCATGATGATGATCTGACATAGTACGCAATATGGTGCCTGTCTAACAGGGTATGCAACAAGATGTTTTTGTTGCTCTTTGAACAGGAATCTATTAAGCAAAAAAAAAAATAAATAAAAAATACAAACGCACAATTTGCTACAAGAAAATACTAATAGCTAACAGCACCACCGCAAGCACATTTGTGTGTCATGTAAGGCTGGTAGAAATAATGAAATAAATGTATCTCCAAAATGGTAACTTTACAGGAGAAAGAAAAAACATGCTTTAATGTAAGTCGATTGAACCAGACTTTATTCCAAGTAATTTGGGGCCATTTTCTTTGGTCCATTTATCATGAAATTTGCATACATTGTAACAGGCATTTTCAAATTGTGTCAAAAACTGAAAAACAACAAAAATGGAGATACAAGGTTTTGTTCCAACAGCAGTGATATATTGGTTACGAAAGTTCTTTAGGGAGACGCAGGTTTTTCTGTAGCTATTACTGCTTCTCACATTTTGCACAACTCTGTTGTGTATATGCGATAGTCATAATGTTTAAAGCATATGTACAACAATTAAGGACTGCAGTTTTTAAGCTGTGCACTCCATAAAATGGCTTTACAGCAGAGTGGTTATGTCACTCACTATGTAGACGATAGACAGGGGTTTGAGCCTGGCAATCTAACTACATCACTTTAGTGCTGCACATATGCAACGTAATTCAATCGGTTCTGTCACTGTAGCCCTTAATAAAGAACTCATCCTGGAAACTGATACTGCAATGATGATTAATTAAAATACGACTAATCATGCAGCTCTAGTGTGTTTGCGCGCTGCAGGTGTGATGTATGCACTGAGTGTATGGCTCCCTGCTGTAGTGGCACAGCGTACTGTCCCTGGTGCTTCCACTCTGCCTCCATCACACGCTGACCTACAAACCAAACCCCTCCCTCGCTCTCTCACAACAACATCCTTATTTCACTTCTTGTTTAGAATGACTACCATTTAGCACTAATAAGCCTTCATTACCCAACCTGCTCACACACTGCAGTCACTCCACCCATTCATCTACAAGAGGCATGTTTTAAAACATGAATGGACAGATGAATGGACAAATTAGACAGTGAAAACAGTGCATGAAAGAATTAATAAATTAAAATTTAAAAGAAATGAATGAGGACATGTTAATTACAACAATTTCTCAAAGTCTATGCAGTTGTTATACGTCAGCACTCTGTCAGTTGTCTCAGCACAGAAGGACAAAATGTTCCCTAAACAAACACAGCCTTTTTAATTCAACTCGGGCTGTTTTCAATCCCTTTCTTCTCTCAACATTAACACTATGACCTTCACTTAACAAAAGTAACCATTATTATTCTCTAATGGCTATTTTAACATCCTATTCCATTTCCAATGGTGCACCTCTAAAGCATTTGCTTGTCAGAGGAATGACTGAGTCTAAACAATAAACATGTTGATTGGCCTTCTAAAAAAAAAGTCAGGGCATCAAAGAAAGTCAGTGAAGCCTGGGCCTTGAATAAAGTAGCAGCCCAGTGCGCACAGTGTGTTAGAGAGAGTGTGGAAAGAGAGCTACCTCCCCAGGCACTGGTGGCTGTGGATATGGAGGGAGTACTCTGCACGGCAGGGATGAAGGCTGGTTGGAGGTCAAACAGGTCGCTGGTGAGGTTTGGCATGCTGTGGAAGCAGGGGGACAGTAAAACACAGTGACCTCAGATGATGTTTAGATAACAGTCTAGTACAGCATTTTATAACAGAAATGACAGAATCTATCCTGTCCTACCTAGAAGCTCATTGTATATTACAGGAAGCACACTGCAAATGCTAGTTAGAAAGTTATACGGGATGTCCCGATCTGATCTGACTGGTATCAGAGCCAATCAACGTGAATTTTGACATTGTTTAATCTATTGTACTCTATTCATGCTACTGTGGTAGAGCCGACAAAAGCTGATATTAACTATGACTTGCAGCTGTGAGGGACATTTTCAGAAGTTAGGAAGCACTTTCAGGCTATGTTCACTTCACTAGGTTGAAGTGTCTCAAATTTTCTACCTTTACGTGAGACAGAACTGATGTATACAGAACTATATGAATGAAAAAAAAAAAAATCTTTTCAAATCAGAACCGGAAACACTTTCATATGTGGTCTTAGATTGGATACATATCTGATTTAGGCCACACAACCTTAAAAGAGACTGGTCAGCTTGAAATTGTTTTTTCCATATAACCACAATCAACTTGTGCCAATAAATGCTGCCAAAGTATATAACCTTTTTTCATCTTCTCCCCAGTCATGAACAGCTCTTAGTAATCTTTGAAATTAAGGGGGCAAACTAATTTGATCAGGACATCCTTCCAGGTAATAGTTTGAAAAAAAAGTAAGAGCACCTGTTGGTGGCAGGGGTGGTGGTGTGGTTGGAGAAGGGGTCCATTGCCACGCTGTGGCTGTTGACACTGCTCGAAGACTGAGTACCAGGGGAGGCAGAGGGAGTCTGCATGCCGATCTCCTTCAGACGCTGATCCTGCAGAAACACATATGCACTTTTACTTATAACTCAAAATTTGCAACTTTCACGCCTTACAGACGGTGGAAAAGCAAAAACAGCATGAAGCTGTGAGCCTTCAAAATGTGGCTGACAATATGTGGCATTACTGATATACTGTAGTAAAGAAGTTCTATATGACGATAACTAAACTGCACTAGTATATACACATTTAAAAGGGTGATGCTGAAGACTGCCTAGCTAACACTGTGAGACAGCTGAGGTACTACTGTCATCAGCTGTTGGTGTTCTTATATTTGGTGTTCAAAGTTTGCTTCTTTAGCTCTGCACTGGAGCTACGGCGCTAACATAGCTAATAAATAATAGATGCTGTTATCAACTGGCATGGTGCAAAGTACATGCCAAAACCATTACATTTAGTTTAAGGCATGTTAAATTGTTGAGCAATCTCAATCAGACTTGCTTATGTGGTGTCTAATACTGTATGACATACTGTTACCTATAAAAATGGACAAAATGTCAGGCTTGACGATGGCAGCTAATGCTGTTATTAACTTTTTAAAAGAGATGCACTTTGGCCAGTTTTTCAGATAACAGTATGTGATGTATACCTGACCAGATCCACATGTTAAATTGGAAAACCTCACACCACAGTACCAAATTCAGACTTAGTCTTTTAATACAGACTGAAATACCACCACAGGGTGAAGTATTTCTAACACAGTATCTATCTGCAATAATAGCAACCAAAAGCCTAAAAACAATCACAACCTCACAGACAGAATTTGACTGAAATGAAAGCCTGTATTAATGCTACTAGTAATCCAAAAACACTGTTGACTAGAAACCACATTAACTAACCTACCGCCAAGACATACTGCAACTCTTGAACAATTAAAATTTAGCCCAAACAAGACCAACCACATAACAGAAACCATAAACTAAGAAAGACCAATCATAAACCTTTTCACAAACAAAAAGTGAAAAGAAAGTGAGAACAAAGGAAAGCCTAAAACTACAGTATATTTTAACCACAGGGTCCTGCTGGACCTCAAAATGTCCTCTGCAACTGTCAGAAGTCAAAAAAAGGGGTGTTTAAGGCAAAGCTGTGAACCTGACTTGAGTGACTAAATAGCTACCTTTCAAGCTCTCAGGGAAAACTTGCGACAAGTACTGCAAGCTATAATAAAATACAAATAGCTGGCAAACTAATCCTACTGGAGAGCACTATGAACAGTTTGCAGTTTTTGTAGCTTCTCTGAACATTTGCCCAATTCCAGGTGCTATTTCAAGCGACGGTGCTATCTAAATCTAGAGTACATTCCAGGACACCAGCTTTCCTGCGCCTGCTGAGGGTGTGTTTGTGTCCCATATGGGATGACAAAGCCTCCAGACAGGGACAAAGCAGTTTTGGCTAACCTCACCCTCCTCTCGCTGCCTGAGGCTAATCATTGACGGGACGAGGGCGTCTGGATTAAACAAACGCACACACATATGCGCGCACAACTACCTATGTGTGAAGGACACAGCATTCTCAGAGCAATGCATCTCCAATCTTGCCAAGTCTTTGTTCTAAAAAACCCGACAGGAAGAGCTAAGCCTTACCTTATCATAAACTGATCCAACACTAGGTCTCCAACATGAGTAATAGTTTTTACATCAGTGAAAGTTTATTAAAACCCAGCACATACAAATTGTATAAATACAAACCAGGACAAAAGTCACGAAAGTCACTAGAAAAGCACCATCATAATTTGCTAAATGTTTATTTAAAGGTCTCATGACGACACAGAACTGTTTCGGCACAGGACCTGTCAGCAACTGTTGCTAACCCTAACCCTAGGTTATTTAAACTCACTGTAAGGGCTCTGCAGCATTACGTCACAATTACATTCACAAGCAAACAGCACAGAGGATTTTGAAAGCGGCAGGCTATCTATTTAATCTAAGTGCAAAGTCCCTGTCAGTTAAGCTAAATAAAACTTCATTTTATTACCATTACGATGTGTAATTACGTGATAAAAATGTTGTATACAATTTAGTCCTATACAACAAATCAATCAATGCATAAGTCCTGGTTGTCATTTTTAACACTTTAATTAATGTTAATAAGCTAAAGTGCTTGATGTTTTAAGAATTCTTAAAACATTTTTTTCATGATTCCAGTTTCCACTGTGCTCTCATAGGAAATGTAGTGTTGGCAAAGCTACTGTGCTATGACTGATGAGGACAGGAGGAAGTAGGCTGATAAACAGGCGAATTACCAACAGGGGGTTTGCACTTTGCAGGTCCGTACACCTATCTGTAGAAACCAGGGCTGCACAATCTGTCTATGGTGTAAGATAAAGATAAATTCTCGCTGAATGTATACACGGCATATTTACAGCCATGCAGCCAGATGCTTGCATCCCAAGTTAGAGAGAGTCTGGCAAGCTGTACTAATAACTGTCAGTGCGCTACACATAAATGCCACAGCTGAAAAGTTAAGCCGAAAAAAATTAAGCTGCTGTACAGCCACAACAGAGTAGTTGATTGTGAATGCATTCTTCTTCTAGACTTTATACAAGTACTTCTTTTTACAAATTAGATAAATGGCTTTTTGTAAAGCCAAATAAACTACTAATGATAAACCAAGTTCTAAACCTAATCTAACCCACCCTCTGAAATGATTATTCTTCATCGTGGCTCTCTTTTCCACAGTGCAAACTTTCTGCTAAACTCACAGCAGCAAGTATACATACATACATACATAACATTTTTGTTTCGTACTACATTATTGAAAAAAAATATTTTTGGAAAACAAATTCAAACTAATTTTCAAAAAACGCAGGTTCCAAAAATACTGGCACCCAAAATTTCAGTATTTGAGCCTACCCTGTTATGAATGAAAGCATCTTTCTGTTGCATTTAAGAAGGTTGGAGAAAACTTGTGGAGGGATCTTGGACCACTCTTTCATGCAGAACATTTCCAACTCACTGAGATTATTGAGTTTTCTCTTGTGAACTGCCCTCTTCAATTGAGGTCACAGATTTTCAATTGGGTTCAAGTCTGGAGACTGAGAGGGCCATTGCAAAACCTTGATTTTGTGTTGCTGTAACCATGTCTTTGTTGATTTTGACATGTGCTTCAGGTCATTGTCTTGTTGAAAGAGCTAAGCACGGCCGAGTGTCATCCTTCTGCCACAGGCAACCAGATTTTCTGCTAAAAGTTCTGGTATTGAATAGAATTCATTATGCTACTGACCGTAACAAGAGCCCCTGGACCACCGACAGCAAAACAGCCCCAAAGTATCAAAGATTGTCTTAGTCTCCAGATGGGCTTCTTTTGTAGAACTCACCCAAAAAGCTTGTGGTCATGGAGGTGGTGTCTCACTGCTGATTTTGAAACGGTGAAACCCCAAGATGCAACTAAACTTTGCAATTGTGAAACTGTGACCTTTGGGCTCTCCGCCTCTCTTAGCATCCTCCTCATTGTGCGTGGGGGCAATTCATGGATACATCCCATTTCTGGTTTTTCAACTGTTCCATGCTTTTGAAACCTTTACTATGGCCCTGATTGGGCTTTCTGATAATTTCAACAGCGGACCTATTTTTCCCCATTCCCCTTTCAGTCCTAAGAGTCTGTATGTGGGCCCACATTTCAATTCCTTACTCTCACTACTTGCATATCAGTTTCTTAGTAGTCAGTGAATTATTTATAGTACTGGAACAGTAAGTCCTAAGATTAATAACTGAACAGTAAGTGTGTGGTTTAAGAGTTAATTCAAGTGAAGCTGCAAACAAAAACAAACCTTGATTCTCTTTTTTTTTAATCATTTGACAGTATTGATTTAAAAACACTCTTCTGATGGATGTAATGTGAGAAAGCAGGAGTAAGGACCCTTCACATAAATGCTGAAGCCCACCTTGAGTGCCTGCAGTCTGGCTTGCTCCTCCTCCAAAGCCTGCTGCTTCTCTTTCTCATCCACACGACTGAATGACATACCGGTGCTGGAGAGTGACGACACAGCACTGGAGAGAGTAGTGGCTCTGCAAACACACACAAAGGATGAGGGTGAAATGAGGTCTGAGACTTGGAGGAGGCGCAGTGATTTAAACTGATTTAATTACTACGGTCATACTGCTGATAGTGCAGTGCAGAGGTCTCATATCACTGGTAATCACAGCACTGCATGACCTGATTAAACTCATGAGCTTTCCTCCTCACACCTGTTACATCATTAGACTATGTATGAATCTACCATGACAATTGGTGATTAATTCTATTTTATCCTAATCTCAGGTGGCAGGGATGCTTAAGCAAATTCATTAACTTGGCTGATTAAGTGACCACCTAGGAAAGTTAACAGCCAACCATGCCTTTAGGACTTTAAGTATAAGTAGTACCATTTCTGAAACAAAACTCTTGATTTCTCTTAAGCAAATCACATTCAGAATTCATGCAGGTTATCTAAAACTGATTTTACAATCAAGAACAGCAGCTGGTTCAAAGAAGGAAATATGTTAAGCGGCCATTTTTGTTTTGTAGTTTCAGGGCATGTTTTTTATAAATAAGGGTATTTACAGAATATTCAAAGTAACATTAGGGGGTTCATATAATACAATTCCTCACTTTTTGAAGTAGAGTTTGATGTACTATAAAAACACTGCTCAAGTTTCAAAACATACCGTTCATATATGGAAACTAAGCCACACAAAAAGCCTGTTTTGAAGTCACTGCTTTTGTAATGTCATGAAAACCAACATTTACATCCACCTATTTGGTATTTAGATGTTTAGATCCGTTTATGTTGAGGTTATATAAGGAGTGTTTCAACCCAAAACACTTTTTGAATAAGGCATAATGCAGGGCAGTCAATCAGAACGGAGGTGATTTACATATATGTCTCTAAAACACAAACATCCTGTTTAGTTCTACAAGATAAAGTGAAAATGGAAAATGATCTTGTAAAAGGGAATTATGGCTAATTTGAGTACATAAAACCACATAAACATTACAAGTGGACTTCAGGGGAAAATAAATAAAATTCAACAACATGTAACACAGACAATTAACAAATAAATTTTCACAGCAGTGTACAGACTCAATTCTCTTATTATATTATTTATAAAAAAAACATAAGAAATTGGCACTGGTGAATGCTCTTGGGTTGATCACTTGCAGCAGTTTCTCATCTAACATGCATCCATTTTATCTGCGAATAAGGGCACTTAAGCAGTCAAAATCAAAAAGGGAAACGAAATTGCAAAGTCCTGGCTGCTGCTTAAGCGTGACACAGACAGACACTCATATCTTTTATTACATTTAGACGTTAATTTGAATTGATTTATTAAATTTAAAAGAAATAATTTTGGGGACTTTTTTGGCACCCTACTGTTGAACATAGGGACATTTTGCACTCTGGCCCTTTTTTTTGTCTGACGCGGAGCTGAATATACTGTATTTATGATCTGACTCCTGAAGGGTGATCCTAGATCCGCTTTGAAGGGCAGCCTCCACCTGCAGTGTATCAGACAGCAGTTAAATGTATGTGTACCTGCTGTCTGCAGAGAACTCCTTGGTCTTCTTGCCCTCCAGAGAGGCCAGGTGCTGCTCCAATGCCTCCAGCAGGCTGCTGGGAGCCTGCAAGAGAGAGAGAGGGGAACAGTGTTATAAGAGCCAGGAGAGGGCAATCAGGAATGCATAACCATTTTTCTCAATCTCTCACAAAGGCGCATGCACGCACACACACACCTCTAAATTTCAGAAAATGCCTGTAACATGCCATTACAGTAGTAAACGATTAAAAAGGTTATATGTGAGAGACCAAGAGAGAGACAGGGAGAGAATTTACGAGTGCAGTTAGGAAACATGCAAGATTAAGAATCCAGTCCTGAAATCGCTTTGCCAACAGCCAGCACACTTGCAGGCCTGTGAAAAGTATGCAGTAAGCACAGACGCTCTGGCTACTTCTGATTTTAAATACATACCATAAGATTTATGAACGGCTAGAATAAGGATGAAGAACTTAGCCCTACTTTCTGGGTTATAGCCTACAAGATTGATTAACAGCCTTTATTACCTTGTACTGGCCATATGGATGTAAAAACAAAAATACTCTAATAAAAATCCTAATAATCAAACAACACAAGATGCAACAGTTAAAGCAGAATTTTCAGAACTTCTGCACAATTAAATCATTAATATGTAAAGAAGGTAATTCAGAGTGGTTTGATGTGAAATGCTCTGTTTTAGAGAAACCAAATCAGAATCTGTCAGTAAATCAATACACTATTTCACATCAAAGCACTCGGAATTAGTTTGTTTGCACTGAATTGTGCAGAATCTTCGAAAAACCTTTGAAATTCCCCCTTAACTGAGTATTAAATATCTGTGCATGTCCTAGTAATGTGAGAAATATTTGTAATGCATGACATTGTTTAAAGAGCAGATCTACTCTGCCCACGGTCACTGTTAAAGTCTTAGATTCAGTGAAGACTAAATTCCTCTAATACACAGTGGCATTCACTTCAACTTTGCTTCTATTTGCCTTTAGCCATCTCCCTTAATGGTTCTAGATTCTGAAAGAAGCTTTCTGACAGCCACACTTACTTTATCACTGTTAATCCTGCAATTAATCTCACTGGCCTTTTATACTGATCTAGGATGTAAGCGTTTTTTTTTATGAGAGCTGGTGGTCTCTGCCATAGCGTATAGTGTGTGTTAATGGAGCTGGTAGGGCAGCACAATCTGAAACCCCAAAACTAACAGTGACCAACAGAAAACCCTAAAACAGTGTAAAAAGATGCCTTGTGAAGGCAAATAGCAGGAGAACCATTTTACAGAACAACTTTTACTAGAGATCCCCAAAAGTGGATGCCGCACATCTTAAAGTAAACGCCACTGTACAAGTTCATTTAGACAGTGTCAATATTAGCAGAGGCAGTGCCTTCAGTGTTTCAGAGAGAACTAGCTACTCTCTGCCAACTTTCCAGAGCACACAGCTAATGTTTAAACTGCACTTTAAGCCAAAGAGAGAGCTGTCTAAGCCATGGACTGGCTGGTGAGCCTGGATCTGACCTGAGCTTCGGTTTTCGCAAGCACTGAGCCGACAGCCTCAACATATAAAAATAGAAGTCAATGAGGAGTTGAAAATCAGGTAGAGAAGTGGCTTTCTAAGGCTACATTCACACTGTGGGTAGAATTGGCCCGAAACCAGTTTCTTCATACGTGACAGATTAATACAGATCAGATCAGTGTGAACAGTAAACCACAGTCTGAATCTGTCAGTTTCAATGCTGATTTGGGCCTTATTCATTGTGGTGGTACTGAAATTTAATACATATTAAAAAAAATGCGGTAATGTGACCTCTGTCTGAACATCGGATGAGAATTCATGCGACATTTACGTTAATCCAACTCAATCATCATGTGTTACTATGGTTACTCTTTACACAAGTACGGTGCTTTATAACAAGAGAAATCAACAGCTATTCATTTTTGAAAACAACAAGTGAAGCAAAGGAACCAAAGCAGTTCCTCAGACCAAATGTCCTTAGCCAGCATATTTTACTCCTTCGCTCTTAAGAAACTCAGCATCCTCCCTCTGCTAGACCAGCTTCCCCAATTACAGGAATTCAAGTTTAAAGCAGCAATCTATAAAGATCATTTTAATGTTATGTGAAAGGAGTCTAATTAATCGTAAGGAAAGGCTGCTGTGCTTGTTGGATGAGCACACTGAGATCAGAAATCTTTTGTGCACATGGGTCAATTCAGGAGTGTTATGTATTAAGACCGGTGTTAGATATAGGTCACAAAAAAGGGGTTTGTGCAGTAAGTGTGATTTGGGCCACTTTTACCTGCGGTCTGAATGTAGCTGAATGCTCACATTGCTGGGACACTTTTCAGTGCTGTGTGAAGCTGAAGATTTCAAATCAACTTCGAGCCACTTTCATATTATAGTCCTAAACTGTATATCAGTATACGTGGCACAACCGTTAATGATAAAACTACATAGATACTTCGTTAGCATTCACTCCCTTTAAATAAAAAAACAAAAAACAACAAAAGGCATGCAGGGCCTTCCAGATGTGTACACACAACAGAAATGAGTCACTTACTAACTATGAATGAGCACCGATGGAAAAATCAGATCCATTCAAAAAAAAAAAAAAATCAGAATTGAGCTACAAGGCTTGTACTGAGAACATAGCCTAGAATTTGTTCAGGAAAAAAGAAAAAAAAAGGAAAAAAAAAAAGAGAGAACTCTACCTAGAGGTGTCAATTTCAGAACTGACAGCTAAGACAAAGCCTGAAGTAATCCAGCAGCTTTTAATATACCTCTGCTTTCTCTCACAGAGACACAGGGAAATCTTTTGATTTAATGGCTAAATAATGCATGCTGATGCATGTTTGCTGAGGACACTGTGAGGTTACATGAATACTTTATAACAGTCCTGCAAATTGGCCATTGTGCAGCTGGACTGGACTTAAAGGAGAATGTTAGATGTAAAACATCAGCTTTGTTTTTTCTTCAGTATTTTAAACACCTCCCACACGTAGATGCAAGCGTGCGAGGGCATCATGCAAAGTGGGCAGACGAAGCATGGGCTGGGTCAGTGGGTTAACCTTGGCTCAAAGGGAAACTTTTATCTTTGAAGTTACATAAACTCTGTTTGTGGCAGCATAGAGCCTGCCCAATACAAGCAGTGCACATAACCCATCACCTACAAGGCAAGATCCTCTGGTGGTCTGAAAGAACAATAGATGACCTGTTACTGAGGAGGTAATATGTATTTTTTGTTTGTTTTACTTACACAAAGGCATGGACAGCTCTCATATATATATAATGATAATGATACAACAGTGTGTTTCCACAGTTAGCATTCTAAAGGCGTTTTTCCACCACATGTGGTACGGCACACTACGGTTATTAATTCGAACCTGTTGCTCAAGTACCTATGTCCAATTGTACAGCAAAACTGGGAAAGTTGATGAGGTTTACTGAAGCTTGCGTGGTCATATGATTTCTAGCACAATGCTGCTGTTAACAGCAAACACAAATAAGAGCAGGAACAATAGAGGAGCTTAAAGCTCTGATTTAGCTTTTGCACAGTATTTGGCTTTATGCAAACTACACACAGCGAATCAGGTTTGAAAAAAGTCAGTTAGGCCTGGGTGATATCTAAAAATAATGAGAAGGATACTTTCTTGGTAAAAACATGGAATTATGGACGTGTGAGAATTCTGTGACGACTATCGTTTCAATAATCTGCACATGTTCCGCCTCCAGATAACCCCAGCATGAAGGTTAATCAAATTCAGCATGGGTGGTCAGGTACAGTACCGTTCACGTGGCCATGGAAACAATCTCAAATCAACGAATTTCCTGATCAATGTAACGCGTCATAGTACACTGGCTGGTGGGATAAAAAAGCCTCTTCAAATATTGGCATCATGGCTGCATTTTTAAAATCTCCAAGTACTATTCCACCTTATTCACCTGTAGCCTAGCAACAGCTCCTACAGAGACAGCTTAATGGAACAATTTTTTTTCCCACTGAATGTGAATAAACTTCATTAACCACTTTCTGTGTCGTCTCAAAAGCTTATAAAAATATCAATAATGTAACTGTGGAATACCATAAAGAAACGTGAATGCCTTATGGCATACTTATTACGGCAGACTTGATTTTTTTTTCCTCAGCAAAACAGAAAAGCATGTAAAACAGTGAGGATCATGATAGAACCTGTAAGACAGACTAGAGATACAGAGAGAGACGGGGGGATGGAGAGAGAGAAAGAGAAAGGGGGGAGAGAGAGAGAGAGAGAGAGAGAGAGAGAGAGAGAGAGAGAGAGAGAGAGAGAGAGAGAGAGAGAGAGAGAGAGAGAGAGAGAGAGAGAGAGAGAGAAGACACTGAGGGGTGACTTGAGCAGTGCAAGAGGAGGAAGTGGAGATGATATGCACACTGACCTGAGTGAGATCTGGGATGTCACCCTGATCAATCCCAACTTGCTGTGTCATAAAAAAACAAACAAAAACAAAAAACAGGCAAACACAAACAAAGGGAAGGGGATAAGAAAAGAATATATAACAAAGGATCATTAAATCATGCAATGACTTTAAAAATGGAAAAAAAAACATAAAATAAACAAACACCACCATCAACAGAAATGTGGAGGTCAGGCATGCCGCAGTACACTCAGACAGAGATGGGAATGAATGTTGAAGCGGATGCTTCAGACAGCTGGGACTAGACCATAGGGGCCGGTGTGCTGGGACTCAATACTCAAAAGCAATTTAAAACACAAAAAAACCTCCTACACACACACACGGACAGGAATGATGATCGATTCTTAAATGATGGTTTGCAGAGAGAGAAAAACAGAATGATAGACATTCTTCTCAAAGATTCAATTGTAAAGTCACATCTCAGCGATGCTCTCTGCATCAAAACAGAAGCCGACCAGCAAGATAAGGAGAGAGAGGGTGGGAGAGAGGGGGATGGGGAGCATAAGGATGGAGAGGCAAATAAAGTAAGACAGCATAAGGGCTGGGCCAGGCCGGTGAAGATGAGAACAGAGAGGAAAGTGCGGAAAAAGTGAGTGAGACCACACAGGAATTCATCAGTGTCATGGAGGAGGAGGGCTTTCGCTGTGTGGCTTTAAGGAGCTCAACTATGAAAACATATACAAGCCCTCCACACCACTCCGTTCTGGACCACAAATCAGCCACCGCTGTGCTCTGACACTTTAGAGACTTCAAACTGTGTGACTACACAGTAGGACAAGCAGAGTGAGAGAGAGAGACAGATAGACAGAGAGAGAGAAATATGGTGAGAGAAAATGCTGAGAGAATGACAGAGATGAGAAAGTGAGAAATTGAATGAGAGAAAGATTGAGAAAGATGGTGAGAGAGAAAGATGATGGGAGAAAGATATTGTTAGAATGAAAGGAAAGTGTGAGAGAAAGATGGTAAGAATGAGACGAGAGAAAGAATGAGAGCAAGAAAGTGAGAGAGCATAAAGTAACGATAGAGAGCTGAAGACAGAGTGAGAGACAGCTACAGTGAGAGTTTGGGAGTGTGACAGCGAACAAAAATGAAATCTTTGATCAAACTCTTCCTCAATCACTGCCGAAACTCTCTCACAGAAGACAGAGGATCATTATCAAAAGGCTGCTGATGCTGAGGCATCTTAACCTCGCTAACGTGGGGGATGGAGGGTATGACCACCATGGGTCCTTTCTGCTAATAGGGGGCTCAGGGATGCAGGTTCACACGGCCTAAAGCAGTTCACAGTTATCTCCATCTCTGTTTAAATCAGGCAAAAGACATCCGTCAAAAACGTCAAAAAATGCATGGTATGACTGGTGTCTGTGAGTTCGGAGGGCATGAGATGAAGAGGAGGCCTCACGGTGACTGTATAACGTCTGAGACTTAGAAAAACATCCGACCCAAACGCATGTGTGTCTGTGTGTACATGTCCGTAAGAAAGAAAACAATACCTCTGCCACTTTGAGAAACTCTGACAGCTTGGTCATCCTGTACAGGAATTTCTTGTAGATGTCCAAAGCATCTTTGCACTGGTTCTTCTTCATATCGAAATATTTTTCTGAGAAGAAGGAGCGAGAAAAAGCAGCCATTAGCCAAGCAATTTGAAACAGACAAAGACTGTAATTACCACATCAGCGGCCTGTCAAAACACATGCATGGTTGCCTGATGGCACTGCCAAGATCCAGATAGAAGCTGCAGGAGGCAAATTGTCCTCTCAAGGACATCTAGCACATCTAATGCTTGTTCAGAGCTGTCAACATTGAGGATCAGCCGTTTAGCAGCCACTTCTTTTATAAACGACTGTGCTATTATGCTAAAAACAGCTTAGAGGAAAAAGAAAAATTGTTCTGGACATTTGAACTATGTCAGCACCAATAATGGTGTTTGGCAGGGCTTTGCTAACACAAGCTCCTTCTTGAAGCGAGCATGTGCGAGTCTGTGCAGGTGGCAGGTAAAAGCCACAGGAGCTGTCAGGCTTTAACAGCCACAGCGACAACATGATGCAGTCACACATACTTACAGCCTGTTCTGAGAGAGTGAGAATAGGGTACACTTTCCTCAGAGCGAAAAGAGGACACACATTTCTGAGAGAGTGAGAATAGGATAGACTTTCCTCTAAGAGCAAGAGAACAGATCCAAGCGAGAGAGAGAGAGAGAGAGAGAGAGAGAATGAGAGAGAGAGAGAGAGAGAGAGAGAGAGAGAGAATGAGAGAGAGAGAGAGAGAGAGAGAGAGAGAGAGAGAGAGAGAGAGAGAGAGAGAGAGAGAAGAGAGAGAATAACACAGAATACTGAGAGACTATCCACTCCTGATACCCCCTTTCCACCGTCAAGGTACCAGTGCCCGTGCTGCAACTTTTTTTAAGAACCAGATTGCATTTCTACCTCAGAATGATTACGTAACGGTCATGACCAAATTTGAGCTGATAATTACCATAAAATCATGTAATTAACAATTTTATTGTCTTGTATTGTTCAACATGGGTAGCTATTAAAGCACAAGCATAAAGCAGCCAAATCGGCTGATCATTTTATCTTCTAGCTGTAGATTAGGGCTGTATGATATTGACATAAAACTCAATGTTCGATAAAGCTGCCCGATATCACAATGACGATATGAGAAGCGATAAATTATTATTAAAATAGTGTGCCTCTGACTGGATGTGATGCAAATAACATTTTTTTGGATCTGTAAACAGAATTCTTAGTAACCTCTCCTTTAAGCAAACAGGAAAATACAAAATTATAAAAGCACCACTCTCTATTGTGCAAAATAAATATACTAATAGCTACTTCCATCAGAAATACACACACATTTTTGTGCACTGAAAGGCTGCAAAATAGTCAGCATCACCTCAACACCAGGCCACAAAAACAAACAAATATATAATTATCTTTTACATAGGCACACAAGAATGATACATATTTATTTACTTATTTATGTTTAAATAAATATGTTTGTTGTGAAAGTAACTATTACTGTCTTGCACACTTAAAACAATGCTGGGTGTGAGAACAATTCTAAGGTTTGATGTGTTTTTACAGTCTTGTAGTTCAGGATGGAGAAGTTTTTGAGCTGTGCACACAGTAGCAGCGCTCAATCCCAGCATACAGAAGCACTCATTTGGCTTCTAAAGGTTTGTGCCAGCAATGTTATGACGTCTCTCTGGCGCTGAATGTTTGAGGTAATTTGATCCGTTATGTCATCACCACTATAACAATATGTTCAATGCAGAAACTTGTATCACCACAATGATAAAGATATGATTTATCATACAGCCCTACTGTAGAGACTTTGAAGCTTCCAGCTGGTGACAAACACATTGAGCTTAAATCAAATAACTTTACTTATCCCAGCCATTTAAAGGTGCTCAGAACCAGTCAGTTGTCTCAATACATATCTCAATAAATGCGTGTTGCTTTGTTTTATTTACACGCATTTGCCTCAACCTAATTGTTGAAAATGTTCGTTGTGACTTAAATATGTAACTAAAAATAATAAGCCAACAGCTGTGGCAAATAAGTGGTCAGCAGTTAAAAGTGATCAGGAGAATACGTGATAACTGGCATGACCAACTGGATGTGTACATTCCTATTCCTAAACGTTAACATTACTAACAAGTAATGAAAGTACATGTCACTATTTAGCAGGATGCAAATGAAAATCATCCTAACTGCCTACATTACCTTTATTACTTCTTAGCCGTCTAAGCTTGTAGCAATGTATTATCTTGCGTTTTCGTTGCGAATCATACTGCCATTGAAACTGTGGTTTCTTCCACTGGTCACGGATGACTCAGTTTTGTCCTGTTTCCAAATACAAAAGGGCAGCTCTTCCTGTAAACAGCTTCAAGTAGTGAAGACATCACCCACACCATGACCCTTTGTGTCACTGGTTCCTTGGTACTAGATCAGCCATTTTATCAGATGGAATAACACAGATTTTGCTGAGAACCATTTTTTTCACAGTTTAGTCACTGCCAGCTCTTTGCACAATGCTATCAGCCTGGGCTAATGTTCTTTTTCTGAGACAAGCCAGCCACCAAATGTTCTCCAGCTGCTGCTCACACAACATCATTGGACAGCTAAACGTTCTTGAAAGAGAGCACTAACTGCCCAATTCTGCGTATATAAGTGGCTGGCTATCGCTGTGATTGGCTAGCATTGCACAACATAATGGACTAAGTGGCAAAACAGGCTTGGAGACCTGGAAACAAACCAAACACATTTTAATATCCTCCTCTGTGTCTCAGCCACACATAGCTTTAGATCAGGCACTGGCTTCAGCACCTTGTGGGTGGAAAATGGCCTCACGTTGAACCCAGGGCTCACTCCTCAGAGACAGAGCATATAGAGAGAGGATATACTCCTCTGGCATCAGAAAGCAGGGAGGCTTACCCAGCAGGTTGATGACCCCCTCATTATAGGCAGCAAACAGACGGATGGAGTCTTTGAACAGCAGCATGAAGGCAGCGTTGATCACACCGTTAGTAAGCTCATTAGGGTTGGCCTGGAGAAACATACACACACCCACCCACCCAAATATCCACACACAAACACAGAAGAGATAACATAATGCTGTTTACAGATGATCTAGTAGGTAGAGACATTTGCTGAAGTGTTCACTTGTCAGGTCTCAAGAAGTCTACACAACAGTACAGAAAAACAAACTGAGAGGGTTTATACTTGCAGACACACACGTACACAGACATACAAATACACACATGTGCGTAAGAACGCACACACACGCACCTGGAAATCAAGCAGAGCGTCCAGCTGGTTCTGAATAATGGGCAGAGTTTTGATCAGCTTCTCTGTATTCATGGTGCGCATCACTCCATCAATACTGCACAGCGGACAAACACACATATGAACAAACAAATACACAAAAAACAAACAAACAAAAACGCACACCATGGCTTGATATCTCCTCTGTCTCAGAGGCTCACTCCTGCAAACAAACCACAAATGACTAGTCAGGGCCGTTTTTTCTGCTCGGCTCCACAGCACTGTTTCTCCACCCTCTCTATGGGGAGCAGAAAGGCTCTCACATATTTGCTCCTAGCCTTGGGAAAGAGCAACAACAGTGAATATCAGGGGAGCTAGAGGAGGGTCTGCACGTTCACTCACACTTAACACTGCAATGTGAACGCAAACGAGGGAAAATAGCTTGTGGTGACAATGGAACAGGGCTCTGAATAATGTGAGTCATACTCCAGCTCAAACTGAGCTCCCGAGAGGCAGAGCTTTACTCCCATCTAAGTCACAGCATTTAGATAAATCAGCCACTTGATCAGCAACTTGAAAGGCAACTTCATTAATGCAGTAACAAGCAGGTTTGCCTAGACTGCAGCCCACAGAGTTACAGGTGCCAAATTAATGAACTAAAAACACAGACCAAAATGATTTATGAGATAAGTTATAAGCAATACATATATTTAAACTTATAAGCTAAAAGCTTATTGCACTATGCTTGTAACACTGAGCTAAACCTGAGTTAGTTTGCTGTGGTGTGCTCATAGTTAAGATGCACTACTGGTGCTTTTTTTCCTGTTCCTGCTCATCAAACCTGAGAAAAAAAATACTGTGCTAAAAAATTCACATAAAATGTACCTTACCATGTAACTTAAGCACCTTTCACACATACCCTTTCACTCTGAAATTCAACGGTGATTAAACTGGAAAGGGCCAAGTGTGAACACAAGTTGGAGTTGAAAACCCAGCAAGACTGGGGTGGCAGTTAACTTGCCCAAGACCTAGTACAATTCCTGTGAAACTAGCAGAAGGACTTGTGTGAACAGAAGCAGACATTACCAGGAAAGTTGAGTAACATATTACGCCTCTGCTTTTACAGTCAAGCTTTTTGCAAGTGGAAAGAGCCTTGAGAGTACATTTTTTATGATTCTAGTGGAATATCGCTGGAGAGAAGGGGCAAAATACTGCTGTGTACTTTGTGTGCGAGTGGCTGAAACTGCACAACAGTGACACAGCATGGCCAGCAAAGCGAAACGCTTTTTGCTTCTATAGTCAGCTTCTATTGTTCTGAGCACAACACTCGTATTTTGTGCATGATGCAGAAACATACAATCTCTTGGCAATTCAAGTTGAGGACTTTCATAGCAAATGTGAATGTGTGCATCTCAGGAAAATCATTTTAATGAGTTTTTAACAAGCCTGAACACTATGTGTGAAAGGATGTCAAGAATGTATCAGGTTTTGAGTGCAACAGCACTATTACAGACAACAACCCCCATCTTACCTATATGTAGTCTTTAAGGCTAGACAAGTTTTTTTTTGGAATGAATGAATGAACGAACGAACAAAAGCCCAGACATTTGATTTACTAACCCTCTCTTCATCTTGGTAAAGTCCACGGCCACAAGCCTGTAGGACAGAGCCTTCTCATTCAGATACCGGCTGTAGCGCCTGATAAAGGTGGACATGTCATAGCCTGAGAGAGTGAGAGAGTGAGGAAGTGAGAGGGTGAAAGAGCATGAGACTGAGGAGGGGGGTGGGTGGGGGTTTAAATACAGTCTTTGTTTTCTTTTTTTAACAAAACCATACAAATTAGATGCCACTCCTACTTACCTTGCAATGCACCTTTATCAAGGAAATTGTTCAGATTGAAGAGAGTATTTCTTGAGGCCAGGTACTGAATGAAACGCTGCAAGACAAAAAAAAAGGAGAGACAAAGCAAAAGACTGATTACAATCAAAGCACTTAGACTGATGTTTAGTTACACGTGAAGTATAGCTGATGCCAGAGCAGTACTTTAATCTGGAATCTGACAAATGCTAAAACACTGCAGATAAGAGAACGCTCCCTGTTCTGGCTGAAATGGGTGCAGGCTGGAAAACCATGTGCAAGACCAGACTCACAGCAGGCTCAAGAGTCTGGGTTAGGAAAGGCGTGCTGGGAATTCCCAGAAAGCAGAGCCTGCTCTGCTTGGACTTGATGGAACACTGCATGATTATAGCCCAGCGATTGGGGGATTCACGCCAGGACAGTGATGTTCAAACAGAGACAAAGAAGTAAACGTCCCAAATACTTATCCTACTATAATAAGCCACAGCACCACAAATCACGCCCTCTCTCACATATATTAAAACAATAAGTAGGCAGAATACCCAATTTACTTGCCATACAGGGTCAGAATCCACTAAAGCAAGACTATGAGATTACCAGACAACTTGACATGTTTTAAATAAGTGTGTGATGATTTAGGTATGCAGCTTTCATAATGCTAATTGTGAAATGAGCCATAAGCATTACTTTGTAGCCATGTTAGCTTTGTAGCTCCAATGCAGACCTGAAGAAAAACCTCAGGACACCAAAACATGCCTACTGTTGGGAGTAGAAAACTGTAAATTAGATTTTTCCCTAAACTACTGCTTTAAGCGGTTGCAGCTCCTGATACCCTCCTACCTATTCATTTTAAAAGCTGAACAAGCACTCTAAACAGCTTTAGCTTTGTTAGGGTTTTATATAACAATATAAATGTAAACTTCACTCTCAAGGTCAAAAGATCATTGTAACCAGAAACAGAAGCAGAGGTGTGAAAAACAAACAAATCACACATCATTAACTGGATTTAGTGTAGTGCAGAGTAAATATTGAACAAAAATTGCTGTATTTATAGTTTGATATTTGTTTGATATTTTGATTTTTGTCTGTTCCAACTACCCAAACATCAAAAAATATATAATGCATAAAATGCATCAAAAATGCCTTTAAGTATTGTGATATTATATTTTTGTTTTGGTATCTTGACAAAGGGTTTCTATAAGAAAATGAGTACAGTAAAATTTGTATTTATTTATTTTTAATCCCAAAGAGAGATGGCATGAAAACTTGGTGACCAATCTGCAGTCAAGCAAAAAAGGCTTGCTGCCAGGGGCAAAAGTATTTCAGGGTCAAGTTAAAATTTCTTAAAATGCTTCTAAGCCCTTTTTTTCTGTGGGAAAACTCAGAGGCTTTTTACAGTGTAAGGCAATGCAGCTTGGCCATGTGAAATAACCTGAGGCTAAGAAAGCTTGGTTTCTTGAACTCCGCAGTAATTCAAAAGTCTCAGAGGGCCAGTTCACCTAACCAAGGTAAATTCAGCACACTCAGAGAAAAGTGGGCCTCTAGTAGAGAAACTGAACTTTAAACCTGACCTAAAGAAATCTTATAAGGTAACTGATGGCCGGAGAGCACTTTAAAGAGGGTCATGTGATTAGAGCTCAGAGCTCAGAGCCAAGTTCCCCCTTCACCCTTTTCACGCAGTTCCTGCGCTTGGTCAACCAGGAAAGACTATGTCTCAAACTAGGAAGTCATTACACACCACCTGACACCTCAACTCCTGGAAAAAGCCATCCAATGCCTTATTCTAACAGCGACTCCGTAGACTCATATGGCTGAGCAAAAATGGGAAATAACATTTTACCAGAGAACGTTGGCTTTTAGAGGACCAATGATTATGCCGGTCTTGCCTAAACTGCATTAACTTTGGTGCTGTTTCAACATTGCATACCATGTTCAGGAGTGTCCTATAGCTGAAATTAAACTTCCTGTGGCCTAGAAACCAGAAGAATTCGACTGGCTGCATTCACATGGAGATGGTCTGGACAGTAGGAGTCACTTGATTTGCTTTGTGGGGCTACTAATTGCTTAAATCAATGCATGTCAAAGCTGAGACATTTACATTTAAAACAGAAAAGGTTAGTTTTCAGGCTGTAAGTTAGCCGACATATTGGTTTGGCTGATATCAGCTTATTTTGAGGTTGTGCAGATTTATTGGTATAGGCAAAAATCAGAGCAATGAAATGAACCAATAAAGCACAAATATTTAGTGGCATGTTGTAAAGAATGAAGACCTCTGATGAAGAAAACTTTATATTACAGCAATACAGGCTAAACTGGTAAATCTGAAAACAGCATCACAGTTAAAATAAATCAATCAAAATGCATCTAAACCTAACACTGAGCATAACATTTTTTTTTAATTTAAAACCCTGATTGACAAACCAACAAACATAACTTTCCATGTGAGTAGAGAGCATATTAATGAAAACATCTGGTTTTGTACAGAACTGCCGTCAGTGAAGATTTGGACGAAAGACATTCTATTGGATGAAATTTGGTTTGAGCTAGAAGGCAAAATTTAAACCATACACAGCTCGTATGTTACAGGGAGCTAAAGTAGTTGAGGTTGAGTGAGAAACCTTTTATAGCTTGTGCAAATGACCAATACATGAAAATTATAGAAGCATTAAAAAAAAAACCACAGGCATATATTTTAGTCTAATCGTAAGCTTCTGTGCCACAGCAAACAGCATATCAAATTGTTTACTGCCTCAGACACATTCAGTACAGTTCATTTCCATAATGACACAGAAATGCCAAATGCGACTCATGGAGAGATCTAGCGCAGCAAACCGCAACGAGAAAAAGGTGCAAATGGACATGATCCCAAGTCCGAGAGCACCAGTTTGAGAAAGAATCCCCTGGATCAGGAGGACGTTCACTTAGGAAGACCCGAGCAGCAGGAAGAACCCTCAAGCTCCAGCACACAAATCAATAGCATAAACTAATGCAGCTGCCTTTGTATGCTCACTTTTATCCAGTCAAACTTGGGCTCAGCAACTCCAATCCTTCAACTACTTTTTATAACACCAAAGGCTAAAGGTACTTATTCAAAACAAACCTCAGTACCATAGGATGGATACACAGACAGATAAAAATCAGTAAGAGCACTGGAGTCTGTCCTGATAACTGTGAGAATAAACCTTGAATATTGACAGCATCAAACTGTTGTTCATTATTAATGCAGAAGGCTCGAGCACAACAGTGGCAAAGAGTTTTTCGCCCCTTAAGAAAACACTGATCCAAGATCAGATTTCAGCACCATCTCACAACTCTCGATCTGCATGTTGCCAATAAAATCAAAACCTGGGTTTTCGGGAGCACAGCTGTATGTGTGTATGCATGTAATTCCACACAGAGGAGCGATGCTCTTTTCTCTCAAGTTCTGAGGTTTCTATGGATACAGCACAGGCAACCAGCACAGTATAAATAAAAAAACAGGAGAAAAACACCAGTGCTGAAAGGAGACCATTTATTCTTAGAGAAATCAATTTATTCAGAGAAGTGGCATATTTTGTTGGATGTGGCTATTTAAAGGCACAATATGCACTGTAGCGTATATGCTGAGATATGAGACACAGAAAAGAAATCTGTCTTCATGAATAATGAAGCAAAAAGGCCAATTCATTTACCACTACCACTTCCACTTGGCAAGATCCATACTACAAAGAGAGAAACGCACACTTTTAGAGCAGAACTTTAATAGTCACGTCACATAATTTCTGAGGAATTACCGTTGTCATAATTAAGCTAACGCTCCATAACCAGATGAAAGGCAAATGGTCTGATTTATCCTGTTGCATATGTAGCAGCATTTCAAAACGACAGTACTGCATTATGCTATTTCCTCAACCTGTTGTTGTTCGAGTGGGAATTTAGATGGGTCTGAGCATCTTGGACACCAATAAATATGGCAACAAACTCAAATGGCTCCCTACATAGCAAACTATGAGTTATGAAATTTCAGCTATTGCACCCAAACAGCTCGCTATATGACCAGAAGGGAATTGTGCACACGTGGCTTAATACCAGATGACTTTGTTAAAACATCTTATGCACTGTTCAGGAGCCATTACTGTAAGACCTTGTGCACTGCACAAGGAGTGACTCGAGATTCAACCTATAGGTGGGTAACTGACCTAGCCATGCTCCAATCACAAATGTGTTCCTTCATAGCCACTGTTAAGGTTGGACAAGCTTTAGAGAACACTTGCAAAAAACCCACTCAACCTAACGTGAAATCAAAGTGATCTTTGTTGAGAGTCCGTATGTAACAGTTTTAAATACTGTGCTATGGAGCTGGACTACATCAAATCTAAATAGGAAGACACATGTTGCACCATGCTAATGTTAGCCTGATTAATCAGAAATGAAAATGATTTAAAATGTTATAAGTAGAGGTGTAACAATGCATGCCATCGCAATACAAAAGTGTGACTGTGCATCATGGAGAATGGACATTTTATTAATTATGTCATCTAATGTCATCAAATAATGACTAGTTTACAAATGATCAACACCAATCAACCTCACTCCAGCAACCGTCTTACCTCCCACGTCTAATGTTACTAGTAAGTGGTGCAGCAACAATATTGTAGCCATCATTTTTCTTAATTCAAATCGTGGGTCGAATTTGTACACCTACAGTACTTACCTACTCCACATTTAGATATTTTGACAAGAGAATTGTGCATTACATTTTCTATGTAGCAATAGCTGCCATGAAAGAATGCATTTGTAGGTAGAATATGGGAGACATATCCGGTGCATGGCCACTGGAGCCATCATTATGAGTAGTGTACAAATGTCAAAGATCCAGTTCAGTAAAGGGAAGCAATATTTCTCCCCAAATGTCATTTATCCCTCTCCCTTACTTATAGGTATTGATGAGCAGGCAGCAGGCACTTGTTTTCAACTCCGTTCAAGCATTCCTGCTCTGGAGGAGATAGAGGGAGAGAGACTGGAGGAGCATGACGAAGTGTGTGTTTATTAAAAAGGTAATTATTACCTTGGCTAGCTCACATCACTCAAACACAGCAGCCATTATGCAAACAACAGTGCTTTCTGAGCAAAGAGGAGGCACCAGTATTCAAATACAACACACTAGTGGAATGCTTAAATAAGCCCACTCTTTTGCATGGCCCACAAGCAGAGCCTATATTCGGAATAACAGCCAAATTACAACCCCCAGAGTAAACCAATCGGAATAGACCCAGAACCTTTCCATTGTGTCCATATTGCAAATTACAGCAGTCCTATGTCTTTGCGAGGGCTGTTAAAATCCACCCCAGCCACAGAATTAAAAGCTAACAATCAACCCTGAAGACCTGTTTTCCTTGGCTATATGTGTGTGTGAGGCAGCTCTCATTAAACAGTGTAAAAAGCAGGCAGTTATTTATCTTTGTAACACAAACACTTTATCTGAGCTCCCAACACAAGCCATACCCTCAAGTGATCCCTCAACACACACAGAGCTGTCAACACTCCTTGGCAATGATCAGTCTCCAATCTTCACACTTTCACACATACACTTGTATACACACCCAGTCAACCCCCACCCACATATACTTCCCTTATCTTCACTTTGTACTCCCCTCAGCCTGTTTCTTCTATGAGCTAAGACTGAGTGTGGTTATTTGAATGTATGGATATCTGGGCTCAATGTTCACTTATTTAATCGGGTAACAGAAAAAGACTTGAAGCTTGGTTTAAAAAAGAGTATTATTTTGTCTGCAGAACTGCAGAAATCAGGACACATGCAGTGAGCGGCATGTTAATGAGGAATTCAATCAATTTTTCAAAATTTCTGCATAACGTCATCTTTAAGATGTTAAAAAGACACTCAGATGAGTTTGTTGTGAAATTATGCATTGTGCAGAAACTTTGACTAATATTCTTTACAGAACCAGGGGATGAATGTCTACAATGTATGTAAATATTGCAATATTATTTGAAATCCAGTACGATCTATGGACACATCACGATTCTTCTGTTTTTATATGTAATGTTGATTATGACAAAATAGCTGCAAATCTGAATAAAGACACTTTCTTTTCCTACTATGCTGCATTACAGTGCCATCCTGTTACATCAGGCAGCATATTCATAAATCATTTCATGTAATAAGCTGAGATGTAGCTTTTAGAGGAATTAAACTCTTCAGACATCTGGTTCCCCTCACCACCACCGTGCAAAAATACTGACAATTCTGTTTCTCTAAAACAGAGCACTTCACACAAACCACAGAACGACACAGAACGATACAGAACGACTTTCTATACACCTTAAATTATTTAGAAATAAAAAAAATAAAGAGGGATATCCCTCTTTAAGCAAAATGGCAAAAACTACACAGAGCCGTATATGTAAAGATTCAAAGATGTAAAGAGTGTGTTGTGACACAGACCAAAATAAAATTTTAAATTAACCAAACAAACAAACAAACAAACAAACAAACAAGTACGGATCACCTTTTTGCCTTTTTAAGCGAATGTACTTTTGTTTTTGTTTATTATTATTCACAAGAGTATGAAAAAATCGTTGGTATATTTGAATCCTACTCATTAAAAAAGTGGATATTTGAATAGCACAATAGGGTAAAATGCCCGTCTGTACTACAAGCGTTTCCACTGCTTACACAGCCCAGTTCAGCCTAGTGTGCTTCAGCAGCTGCTTCAGTAGCAGAGGTCAAGCCTACGCAGCCACATGAGGGGCAGGGGGGTCCCAGTCTGAGGGCAACCGATTTGTCAACTACTCAACCCCATTAGAAGACCAAACAGCCTATTTAAATTCTGCTCTGTTCCTTTCTGTCGTTCTCCAAGTTATGTCATGTCCTCCATCATTCTACTGTCAGCATTTTCCTAGTCACTCTGCCTTTTCTTGCCTATCTCTCTCCCACACACACACACAGTCTCTCTACCTCTCTTTCCCTCACGCTGACTCTACCCATTTATCTTTTCCAGCCACCCTCATTCCCTCGATCCCTCGAGTGGCGTCACAAAAGCAAATTGTACATTCAGTATCTAGGCCACTGGTGGGAGTGACTCAGAGAGCATCTCACAAACACACACACCTCTCGCACGAGCGTGTCCTTATGATCAGCACTTTATCAGTGTGTCCTCCACCGCCGGGACACTGTCTGAGTCTACAGACGTCCTCCAGTTTGTCCTTGGAGTTTTACACAGTGCTGCTTCACGCCCGGTACCTGAGATCAGATTTACCAGCTAAATATCCAGCACTAGATTTCAGGTTTAGACAGCAATGCAGGCAAAAGGTATAGGCCACTGAAACTATTTTGGGCTGCAAAAATGCTTTTTTTTTTTGTCTGAAAGAGAGAAATGAACAAAAGTTCAGGGAAAAAAAAAAAGACAAAAATTAAACAGACCAACAACAGTGTTTGAAAATTTTCGAAATAATTGTAATGCCAATGAAAAAGAGTGTCAAATAGTGAATCAAAAAGTAGTTTGATCCCTTCGCTCTAACACGTTGCTAAGTGTAGTCATACTGAGACAGTTTTGTGCCAAATGTTTCAAATAAAATTCACAAGCAATATGTTAAATATTAAAATGTCCAAAATATGTTACAAACATAAATAGTGACTGTTAAATCAAACTTGAAATAAACGCTTTACTTGTCTTGCTTTCATTTCTTTCTATACGCTGATTGTTTTTTTTTGCTTCCGGAATGGCTCCTCTGCTTCTGAAATCTTTCTTTTGTCCTGCACTTTTGGCAAACTTTCATAGGGGCAGGTCAGAAGAGGGCGCTCACCTGCACTCACTATAGTCAACTGATCTGGAGTGACGGGTCTTTTGACACATAACCACTCAGCATAGACCACTCCAACACAGGGGAATGTCGTACTGAGTGCTGTCTTGGTGCAGCACTGCAGCAGCAAGTCCGACGTTATGAGCAATGATTGTCACATTCCTTTTAAATTATTAATGTTACATGTTTGGGGTCCTGTGTCAAACAACAAAACTGTTACTTTGGGCACTAAAGAACACCAACTTTGTTACTGAACTGGCTGTACTACCTTTCGAGATTAGCACTAGCAGCTGCTACCAGCCTAGCAATGTCCTCTAGGGCTAACTAGGCTAGCCATACTCACATGCAGGAACTAAACAGCCAACATTAGATTACAGTATTGATGTGAAGACAGTGATTTGGAGCAGCAGCATTCTAGAAACTGGCATGATCAAATAGAAAGCCTGTTTCAGTGACTGACACAACAGCCTTCATAAACCCCAGAATGTAATCGCCAACCACGACACGTCAACTTTATTCCATGACAGGGCTGTAGCTCACCAGTAACCAGCCCATAAAAACTGATTTAAACAGCAGCAAAGCTCACCTAGTTAGCCCTTTAGCAGACACTGCTAAGCTAGTTAGCACTACCAGCTACAAACCCATTTTCAGAAGCAAAAAATATCAGCAAAATTTTCAAATAGAAAAAATAAACAAAATGTTCAGTTAGTTATAAAAATGAGTGGAAATGACTTTTCCTTTCTTAAATACTTAAGATTTAACCGTCATTATTTGTTTTTGGAACTAATTTGTACGTGTTGACTTAACCTTTTGTTTGTGGATTTCATTGTTTTATCTGACACTTTTGGCACAAAATTAACTCCATACAGCTGCATTAAAAAAGCATTTGAATAGCAATGGATAAACAGTGTGGAGGTAGTTTATGGCTTCTGCAAGAGAAATTACTCAAGTGATTCATAATCTCTGTTCATGCGAAGTATCAGGAGACAAATAACACCCAATAACAGCTCCATCACAGTTCGATATCACTTGAAAAAACGACCTTCTCCTCAATATGCAGAATACAGGAAAGCAACAGAAGCCAAAGAACATCGCTGGTAACAAATGCCATCTCTAGCCACAGTTTTTGAATGACTAAAAATTCACAAATGACAATTCCAAAGTATAACTAATAACTAACAAAAAATAGGAATTTATTGCCTTGGATGACCAACTGTTCTCTGTTGTCAAGCGGCTACACTACATTCTACCTCATGCAGTGTAGGCTGAAACAGTCCTTATAACCTAAATGTGAATAGTTAGCATACTGCTGTAAGCTGTATAGACCAATATGTACATGCATCTGTTTTTTTTTAGAGATGTCATGAGAATCGATGATACATTAACAACATACCTTAAGTGTTGTAATGTTATCCTTATTTTAAAATATCCGTTATTTTTGTGTGAGATAGCTGGCATTACTGTGTAGTCAACTATGTTACCTGCAATGGCTAAATGCTAAAAGTGTGTTTTGAAAATTTAACCATTTAAACCGTTTATATACTACATACAAACTTTTCCTTAAAGGAAAAAAAAAGTGTTTTCGGTTTTCCATGATATAGACTCTTCAAATGCCTTCGTCGCACTTGCGGCACATCTCCCTGTGAACGACGCTTGTTCTCCGTGTCATAATTAAAGGTTCGGAACTGGCATAAATTGCACTGTTTTATGATAAACAATGTGTTGCAGTGGGTAGCTAGTTACCAATGGTCTTTAAGTTTGTGTATACAACAATTTTAATTACCGTTTTGTGTCTGTCCTATTTAGAAATTCATTTGTTATCATAAAATCAACATTTTAACTAAATTACACGAGTGGTTAAGGACTTGGAAGTGCAAGGAAACAAGGTTTGTTTCCCACAGACTTAGCAGAAGGTAGACTGCATGTGCACGAGGCTGTGTATTTAGGCCAGCTTGTTTAGTCAGTGTACATTATTAAGCAATGTGTCCACATGTAGGCTGCTCTCTCAGCTGCCATATATCATTAGATTGTGCATTTGTGAGAGAGTGTCATGCGAGAGAGAGAAAGAGAGAGAGAGAGAGAGAGAGAGAGAGAGCGCACCCATTTCATTATCATGTGCATCACCTCGCTAAAGTCCACAATATTGTGTGTGTATGTGTCTCACCTCATTGCCGTACATCATTAGGTGGTGTGTGGTAATGAGGGCTTTGAAGACCACCACCCAGCTGCTGTTGGCTGTCCGCTCAAACAGAGTATCGGCCAGCTGGGGCACGTTCACGTTCATCTCATTGGTGCAGTGGATCAGGTCTGGAATAAAAAACATGCACAACGCACGTCATTGAGGCAGCAGCTCAGATTCAAGGAGAGCAACAACTTCAGACGCATCATGATTAGACCGTACACACTCAAACATTCATAAAAAAACTTCAACAACGTTGTTCAGTAATTCATAAACAACAAGATGCAGCCAACCGCTTTCCTCATTCACACAAACAGAAGATATATAAGCAAGTATCACTTCCTCATGTTAATAAACATTATCCACAAAGAATTTTGAATAACAAACATGCTGTTGAAGTCTGTACTGGGATTTAAACTGTATAATATCTTGAGGGTATATTTACATGCATATTATTTGGTCTACAAGTTCACAGACTACATGTGTCATACAGACCAGCTACTGGATTTTTGACTAGCTGGAAGAAAATACAAATGCGTCAAAGCAGGAGCTTGCCAACACCTTCTGTGAAAGACAGACTTTAAAAGTACAGCAGAGCCGAATTTCTCTCAACGTGCGAAGAGAACTCGATATCTGGTATGCTGTCTCCACACTCCAGTCCTAGAGAGCCACAGCAGCACACAGTTTAGTGTTTTCAGGGCTCATAACCACCTCTCTTAAACAGGCCTGTCATGAATCTTGGGGAACGTTTAAAATTTAAAGCAGATTAAACAATAGTACTCAATTAATCATCAAACAAATCAATAGATTACTTAATATTTCTGGCTCCAAGGTGGAGCAACTATAAACGTTAGTTCTATCGTAGAGAGACTGCGATCAATTTCGATCCCCAGTAATGTCACAGCCATCCGTAGCCACAAGTCCAAGAGAGCATAATTGGCTTTAGGTGGGTAGAATGGCCCTCCCTATCCCTCCATCACTCAGTGAGACTCTACTTAATGTTGACATTTGCTAGCTGATGTAACAGAATTTGCAGTTAACTTTCGCACATGCTATCAATCACACTTCCAGCTCAGTATATTGTATGATAATCAGTATCGCATCATGCCAATATCTGCAGAAAAAGCTAAGTATATGATATCGAAAGCGGAAAAAAACCTGAATCTGATCCAGTCCTGTAGTAAACCTATCCTAAAATACCATTCATTGTGTGATGTTAGCTGCGTATTTGGCAGTAGAGTGTTTTGAGTAGTCCGAGCATGATAATTAGCATCTCACTCAGATTTAAAGAATCAGTTTAAAATACAGTAGTTTTTAAAGAAGAAACACTGCATTGGTGTTGACTGATACTCAAGATTTCAATATCAGTATCAATATCAGAAAAGAAAAAGTGGTATAATTCCCTCTAGGGGAGACCAAGTAAGCTGGTGGAACTGGACATGACAAATGTGGGAAGAAAAAAATAAGGTAAACCGCCCTACCAAAAACAAACAAATAAATAAATAAATGAAATCAATTACTAATGTAATAATCACAGGTGGCTGTGTGAAAATTTGGGGTATCTTCACAGTGGCTGTCTACGGGGTCCCTCAATGCACACTACATCTTTTTTTTCCCCATGCTCCGTGTTAGGAGAAGTACCTTCACTCACTCACACACACAACGCTCAGTAAGACTTGTCTGTGAGGGTCCTCTGGGCCCGCCCATTGTTTTAATGAGGAGCTCTAAACTAGTGCAGCTCCCGGTTGGAAAAATGACTGATCACAACCATCACCCAGAAGAGCGAGCACAACTCTAAACAGACTAATGTATTTAAAAAGTAGACAGGCCTATTAGAAATGTGCACTGCATCTGTGTCCTGTAAAGTATAATGAGACAGTCCAATATGGGTAACTGAGGAAACAACATACTGACAGACAGTTCTGGTTATAAATACAACACAAAATGAAAAATCATCATTTAATGCATGGACATCTAAATCTAAATGCATTAACAATCCCTAAATGTAGACTGCTTGCATCTTTCATTTACATTTCCTTACATTCACGTTATTAAATCATGCAGCTTAGTCAGGAGTGTGAAGAATTAAAAGGCATCTACATAACAATGTTTAATTTATAACATGGCTTCTCCATTTCTGTCCATCTCTCTGTGGCCTTGTACTGCAGTCCTATTTTCTCTCTCTCTCTCTCTCTCTCTCTCTCTCTCTCACAGTGCGAAGAGTTTCTGGGGGGAAAGACAAGAAAGAGAGGAGAGAGAGAAAAGGAGGGGAAAAAAGGCAGAGGATGTGCTGACTTAATAAGATACTTTTGGATGTTATTGATCACACAGACAGTTGTCTTAAACCAAGAGAGATGGGTGAAGCAGGGAGACAAAGAAAGAGAAAAAGACAGACAGACAGAAAGAAAGAGGCAGAGAAAGAGAGGGAAACAGAAACAAAGACAGAGTAAGGAAGAGAGAGAGAAAGAGCGAGAGTGTGAGAGCGATATGCATTCTCTGCACTACAGCACCGCTTGCAACATTGTAGGTAATCTTGTAGGAGTGATGATGCATGGCTGATTTCCCTCAGCCTCGGCCAAAGCCCTGAGACACTGCGCAAATCCACCATTCTCTGATTTTCTTCTTTCTCACTTTCACTCTCTCCTCACACACACTCACACACACACACACAGGAAGATAAGCCTGCAGCCCAAGGCAGTGCATTTCACACCAATGCACACACTCAAATATGCCCTCAGTCTCCATTCTAAAAAAGAGACAGATTAGGGATACAGAGAGCTAACTTTCTCTCTCCACACAGATATATGAACTGAGAGTACTGATACGATACGAGTCGACAAGAGCACTAGTGCTCGGTTATAAGTACCTAGTGCCAGAGATGGTGACTTAAGTCATTACACATGTTGAGTGACTCACACACTCAATTGGCAAATACTTGAAAGGCGAAGGACATCATCTAAATTTTCAATGGGGGTGCAGCCTATGTACGCTGCAGTACGACATGAGTAATATTTGCAAGTTGTGAATATTAAAGTTATGAAAACCTGGACAAATGGCCAGCTACTGGATTACTGTCTTTTATTTAAAAATAAATAATAACAATAATAATAATAATAAAGCTTTAATCTGTTGGACAGACCAAACCACTACTCACAGTAAAATAACTGTTGGCTAGCATGTAGTTTGGATAGCAAGTATACTAGCTAGCGCAATAGCTAATTTAGCTGAAGGTGTCAACTAATCTAGTTGATGTTTTAGTAAATTACAGATCACATTCCATTAAAGCTTACCAAAACTTCAGCTAGACTAGCTGTCATGCTAGCTGGCCAGCATACTTTCGAAACAAACTACAGACTAACCAACCATTTCATGTTGTTTTACCTTTACATGCGCTTACTGCATGTAGCACATCAGACTTAACGTTTTCTATAATGAAAGGCTTCTTATTTGAAGCCGCACTGAACTCAACAGGCTTTTACCAGGGGTTTCAGAAGACTAGAGACTTAACTTGCAAGCCAGAGACTCACACCAGTGCTCTGTTAAGATACTTGCTTTTCATAAGTAGCAACATTTATAAACGCACATCATCGTTGCGCAGAAGCAGCCATGCACACACAAATGGTATTTTCTGGGCTTCTTCTCTAGAGCTTTATGATAGAGGTTTGCACAGGACTGATTTTTCAGTCCCGCTCCCGCAAGATTTCATCCCACTTCTGCAGAAAATCTGCCATGCTACAACCTAAGCATCCAACCACTACAGACCCAAACTGCCTTTAATGATGTTTATTTTCACGTATTTGACTTAAGAGCACTTTGCACAGTTGTGGCTGACTGACTTTCCGTAGCCTATATTCGCATATGTACATAAACACGTTTATATAAACACACACACATACACACAGTAATTATTAAGTGATTATTATATCATATAGATTATGTTCATAAATTTGAGGGATTTCTATGAACACGTGTTGTCCCGCTCCCACCCTTACTGGACTGGCTAACAATTAAACTAAAAAGTTGACCCCATGCCGCAAGATGTGGTACATCCGCGGATAGACCTCTATTGTATGCCACTAGATTCATGCACAAAATACACACCTGTGATGTACACTGGCTACAATGCATCATTGTTTTAAGGCACATTTTATAGAACCGCACTGCTGCAATTTTATAACAACCATGACTAAGAAATAATATCAAATGCAGTGCTATGTGATTCATTTAATTAGGCAATTTTCCGGGCCGATACCTATTCAGTGCATGGGATCAGTAGTATATCCTAGTACACATAAACACATACAAGCTGCTCACTAAATGGGACACATTCCCTCAATACATTTGCATTGCAGACGCATACATGCATTGTGAACAGTGTGAATCCTGTCAACACACAGGCTCTCCCGCAGAGCGCATGTGGAGGTGAGTGCCCAGCAGCGCGTGACGAGTGAACAGAATAAGGGCACCGCCAGGAACCAGAGCACCAGCATGATGTCAGAAGGTCATCACAGCTCCGCACAGACTGGATCTGACCCCTGCCCGTGTTTCACAGCCTGGCGTTGTGTAGGTGCATGAGAGGAGCATTGTTAGACCAACACAGAACAGGCTTTCGAAGCAATTGTACCAGACTGTTCCTGATACTAGCCAGAAGAAAATTAATGGAAGGGACAACAAGCTATATAGCTGCAATATGCAAATGATGACAGTTTCTGTGGTTGTTTTGATCAGTCAAGCTATTCAAGTAATCTAATAAAATAAAAGTACAAAAAATAAAAGTACCTTGGTCAAAACAACGCGGGTGAACATTTTACCAGTGCATTTATAACCCACACAACACATCCAAATCAAAACACATAGCAAAATAATACTAGCATTTTGTCTGTATGTCCCAGCTATTATATTCTTCTTTAACTGGTGCTGGCTGCATTTCACTCTGATCTGAGATGGGTTTCACTTGTCCTTTTAGAATGGCTTAAGGAAAGGATATGGTAGAAAGGAGTTGGTTCTAAATGAGAAGTATAGGGTCAGTTCTGCTCACAGCTCTCCCTCATCCCTCAGAAAGACATTATGCAGTCTCAACAGCAGCTGAAAGCCAGAGGAAAGGTGGATAAGATAGAGTGCTGAATCA